GTGCACTTTAGCCGAAAAATGCCACCGCCTTGCATGGCCCGGCCCCGACTTTGTTTGGCAAGGCTTGGGCGGCTAATTAGGTGCGCTTTCGCCGAAAAATAAAGCTGCCCTGCCGGGCCCGACTTTGGCAGGGCCGGGGCGGCTAATCAGGTGCCCTTTAGCCGAAAAATACCGCTGCCCTGCCGGGCCCGACTTTGATCGACAGGGCCGGGGCGGCTAATCAGGTGCACTTTAGCCGAATGATACCCATTCCCTGCAATGCCCGGGCCCGACTTTGTTTGATTGGCAGGGCTTGGGCGGCTAATCAGGTGCGCTTTAGCCGAAAAATACAGCTGCCCTGCCGGGCCCGACTTTGATTGGCACGGCGTGTGTGGGTAGGTAATGCACAGCGCCCTAACAAAAAAAAAACTGGGGCCCCGGTGCGTACAACTGAGGCAGGGAGTGGGCGGCTGAGCCAATCAATGGAACAGCCTAGCCACAGACCAAATACAAAATACCTAAGCCCGCCTAGCACAGCCGAATGCGTGTGAGCGTGAGGCGCCCCGGGTGTGTAGGTCAATGCAGCCTGGCCCAAGGATACCAGAGCGGTGCCACGCCCTTTTCTGGCAGGGCGTCGGTGCCTGATTGAGTTAAGCAAGCAACTTAAGATCGTTCCTGTCCACGCACTAGAACAGTTCTACAGCGAAGGAAAATTTGGAGACGCAACCAATGTAGGTTCCCAAAGACGAGAATTCTACACTTATGTCTGGATATTGACGGTTGCGCCTGCTTGGCCACAGCTTCAATTCTGCGTACGCCCCACGAGCAGCAAGCCAGTGTCTTTCTCTTGGACCACTGACGCGCACCTATGAAAAAGCTGTACTGAATCAATGCAACGCTGTCCTCAACACTGACGCTGACGCATAGTATTGCCATAAGTGTCGCAGCTCAGGTGAAGCAGATATACTCACGCTAGCATAACAAGCATCTTCTGGAGGAAAATGCTAATTACATCGTAACAAACGTGACGAGCTAGCTTTTTCTCAAGAAGCAAGAACGCCGGGGCCGGCTTCGCCTGGCTTCTAATCCAACACCACACATGTTGAAGAAAGGGCAAGCAATAGAGTAACTACATTGATCTTGATCATCTTACAGCATAGAAGAAAAAGAACCAACTAGCGGTGGAGAGACAAGCACGAAGCACTCCTGATCTTTATCTTTATCTTATAGATGTTGTACATGTACTAAAGCAATATTACAAATAGCAGCAACTTCATCAACTTCTTCTCCCTGGAAAATTCTTTAATCATACATGGACCAATCATAATTTCAATTCCTTTCCTCAAGAGCAGGCCCAGGCGGACCTGGAACATAACTTTCGCTATCGTGCGCCTCTGCGTCTGGACTCGAAATATGACCCGCACGCATTGCAATCCCAATCGCCCTCGTCGAGGTCGAGATCATGTCAAGTAAAGAATATTAGAAATACAGGCTATAGCAGAAACTCTGTGATCATACATCAGCTCGAGGCATGTCGGTGGTCGTGCTGGTGGGTAAACCACTACATTACATCATTGCACTTTCGACCAGGTGGCAGAGCGCCGTGTAGCAGCTTTTGCAAGCCAGCTTCACACACTCGCGTCTGCATTTGTCCGTTTGTTTCGAGCACAAATTGCGTTGTACTTGTATGCGAAAAGGAGAAGAATATTTGAACAAAAGGTCAATAACAATATGAATATCAAGATGTCTTTCGCTACACAATACATGGCAACCGTGTGCTAGTTTCGTGCCGTTTATCACAATGGCTGCCGGAACATTTCGCGCACTCACAGCTGCTCATGTCATGCGGAATGGCAAAAGCAGGAGCTGCGAAAAAATCAGCTACTCGCTGGTGATGAAAATGAAATCTTGATGTTCTCGGAAGTTTTTTCCAGTGTTCAGTATGAAACAAAAGCACTTTTTCGTACAAGAAGTAAAGGATTTGTGCGCTTCTCAAATCCTGCTGATCCCCACGTTTGCGTTTTTCGCCAGTTTCCGCAGTACGTAGTTCAAAATCCCGCCGTGTTGGAAGTATTCCAGTTCCGGTTCCGTGTCCAGCCTCGCCATCACGTGGAATGTTTATCCAAGAAAAAAGCATTGTCGGTGCAACTTTCTTGGAGGAACCGCATTACAAATTTGTCTGGCATGACAGCAAAAACCTGTCATGCGCGGATAGTACGTGAAAACGCCCTTTAATGGACCCTACGATGCATGCCAAGCATGACAGACGCAATCACGTTGCATCTTGCGCATCACAAATTTACACTAACAACGTTTTTTTCTTGGATAACGTTCTGCCGTCATTCACTTTGACCACGACCTTCGCCTTGACCCCGCCGTCGATGCACTGCTGCTTCAGGTTGTCGATGGAAAACCGTTGTCCTGTGCAAAAGTACCGCACTTGTACTCGTCAGACGAGACATGCACAACAGACCTATCTTGCCAACTGATCGTGATCTAGTTGTAGCATGAGACATTGCATTTTTGTTCGTGAGCAGTAGATGAAGCATAATTGCATTGTTGCCTTTCATTGTACTAGTGCGCTACTTTTGCGATGCGTAAGCGTTCCTTGCCGGTCAGCTGCAGCTTGTCGGCGTTCTCGTTTTCCATAAACTGGAGGGGCAGGATGCCCATGCCCACCAGGTTCGACCTATGGATGCGCTCGAAGGACTCGGCGATCACAAATCGCACATTCTGCAGAAACGGTCCCTTCGCCGCCCAGTCCCGACTCGACCCGGAGCCGTACTCCTTCCCGGCGAGGATGCAGCACTCGTCGTTCTCCTGCTTGTATAGCATCGCGCAATCGAAAATGTCCATCACTTTGCTATAGCCCGCTCAGGTATTACAATCTCAAACGTTACAGTAGAATATGGAAATCGAAATCTGTGATGCAAGAGCGCATGATCTAGCCTCTTCCCACAGGCTTGCGCGTGACAGGTTTCGGAGCTCCAAACCGCACTATAATCCGGCGAAATTTGTATTGCAGAAAGTGGAACGCTCTGCGAGTCTGTCATGCTCATCATGCAAGACAAGTCCCAGATTCTACTGTAACGTTTGAGATTGTAACGTTTGAGCAGGTCATAGTTGCTGGTCGGGTGGTGGACGGTCTGCGGACCCAGTTTTCCGTTCATCAGCTTGTTGATCATGCGGATGTTCGCAAAAGTCCCGCGGGCCATAATCTCGTCGTTCCCTCGTCGCGAACCATACGAGTTAAAGTCCTCCGGCTTAATGCTACGCTGCATCGAATTATGCACGCGAAATAATGATGAGCGCTCTAGGCTTCCTTGGAAAGGAATTTCTCTACTTGAAGGGGGGGCTGCGTCATTTATTCTGTAGCTGTCACGCACACGAAATATCGCGCACTCGAATAGACGCGCTTTCACGTCGTGCTGCTGTGTGGCATAGATAACGCCCTTACTCACGCAACGTTTCATACGTACTTCTGAAGCACATCACACCATCGTGAGTATTGCTACGCACCACCGAAAACTGTGCGTGACATCAAAACAAGTAGCTTATGCTTGTTCCCCGCCCTGCTTTCCTTTCGGTACATTTGAACAGGAGCGGAAATATTACCAGGGCTTTCGTGGCGCAGGCGCTGTAAAAATTTCGCTCGGATACAGATATCTTCCCGCCGGTGAGTTCTTGGCGATTTTTCCCGCTGGTGAAATGTGGTCTGTCGTGATACTGTCTCCGCAATTCAACAGGCAGTAGGCGTTGTTGACCTGATGGTGATTTCGTTTTCGTTTGCACACACTCATAAATATGTATAGTAGTAGCTCAAGATAGATCCGTCCACAATGATAAAGATCTCGCAGCCGCATGCCGTGAAAAACAAAGGCAAAGCGGATTCGCGTGCTGTCGGCTCAAACGAAAATAAATTTCAAAATGCTTCAGTTTTGCGTGTAGCTTGTGCAAATGCGAAACTGATACTATTGCACTTGAAACGCGATGGAACGCGCTTCGCAGCATTTATTTTTGCAAGTCAGCAAATACGTTTTTCAAGGCCGTGGGTTCCCGTGCGACGCCCTGGAAGAACGGTGGATTGTGGATGTAGGTCGACTTGTCATTCCAGTTATATTGCTTGCCTTCCTCCACAACCAGTTTCTGCCATGCGGTATGGGGGCGAAAGATTGATGGTGAATCTAATTCTAAGAGTAACTGCAGTACCATGTCTTCACATCTTCTTCATGCAGAACAATGAAGAAAGATAATTGACTTGCAACCCCATCCGTAATGACGTTATTCACGACGGTGTTGCGTCATCATCGGTTTCATGACGTGCGTGACCGCCTTCTAGAAGTTGAAGTTGAAAACAAAAACCAGTGCACCACAGCTAAAATACTTTTGCGTATTTAAATGCCGTTCCTCGATGTCTCGAATGCAAAAGTTAAAACCTTCTTGCTCCTTGCTGAAACATCCTCAGACTTTCGCTTGGATACCCATCGGAGCCGTTTGTCACCCGCGAGTAGGCATCCAGGAACTTTTCTGCCGTTACGAACTCTTGCTCCAAGGCACCTGAAGATGGATTTTGGTTTTCATTGTCGCTTCTGTTGTCAATTGTTTGAACTACTTCGCTCGATCATCAACAAGCGGGTCGCGTTCATGACGCTTCCTCGCGCTCTACCCCCAATATCACGGATGCGTAGATCCTTTTCCTCCTTCAAAGGGATGATGTAGCATCTGTTCATCTTGCAAGACTGTTTTTCAATTTCCTTTTTCCGTGGTTACACTTAAGTACAAACGATTCGTGATCAGGTGATCTCGCGTGACGATGCCACAGACCGAAGTTCATCTTTTGCAGCGGTCACGATGACACTTTATTTCTCTTTCAGTAGAAGTTGCATGACATCATCCGCTTCCGCTGCCCCCCAACGTAATATTTTTCGTTTTCCGCCTTGCTTCTTTGTTTCTTTTACAACACCAGCACTATTAAAAGCAGCACTCTACTGTTTTCTGTTGACAATGAAAATGAAATCCAAATCAAATCAAAACCAAGTTGTAAGTATTACGAATCTCCTCCGGATTTGGCCACAAGTCTTTCAGAAACACGTTTCCGCTGATCGGTTCCTTTTCGAAGTCAATGTCCATCCTCCCTGCGAGTGCGTAGGCCACGACCAACGGCGGACTGGCCAGGTAGTTCGCCCGCGTCAGGGGGTGCACCCGGCCCTCGAAATTCCTGTTGCCGGACAAAACCGCACCGACCACCAGGTCCTTTTCCGTGATCGCTTTGGACACTTCGTCGTCCAACTCGCCCGAGTTCCCGATGCAGGTCTGGCACCCGATATGGAACTGTCAGGATTGAAATTAACAAAGTTGAAAAAATAATTTGTGATGCATAAAATCTATACCAGTTGGACCCACAGTTTCCAATCGGCGCATGACAAATTTTCCTGGCCTCGAAGCAAGTCTGTCATGCTGTTTAGGGCAAGATGGCTGCGCCCTGTCATGCTACTCAGCAGCCCAATTCTTGACCCTTCTCAGCACTAGAATCTGCCCCCTCCCTTGCGCCTTCAGCAATGTGTCGCATTTTATGCATGACAAATCATTTCAACTTTGTCGATTTCAACTCTGACACATCCATACCCGAACCCGGTCTTGTAGAACCCGAGCTTCTCCAAATCTTTGATCAGTCCCGATTCCTCCAGGTAGCTGGCCACCACCCCAGAGCCCGGACTCAAACTGGTTTTGATGTACGGCAACACGGAGAGGTTCTTCCGCAGCGCGTTCCGCGCGAGCAGCGCCGCGCCCAGCATCACGCCCGGGTTGCTCGTGTTGGTGCAGGAGGTGATGGCTGCGAGGACGCAGGACCCGTGTTTCAGTTCGAATTCCTGGTTTTTGTACGTAAACTTGACCGTGTCCGCCAATTTCTCCTTCGGTAACCCGAACCCCTTGAAGCCGATCTTGTTGGTCAGACAGCTCGTGAAGTCCCGAGGCATGTCTTTTACAGACACGTAGTCGTGGGGCCGCTTCGGCCCGGACACGCAGGGCACAACCGTGGAGAGGTCCAGGTGCAGCACGTCCGTGTACTTGATTTTCGCGTTCAACTGCTCTGATTCCTTGTCGTACAGCCGGAACAGCCCGTTATGGAAGCGTCAGGATCGAAATCGTCAAAGTTGAGATAATCAATCTGTAATGCAGAAAAGCGATACAAGCTGGAGCCCAGTTTGCAAGTGGCGCATGACAAATTTTGGGAGCATGGAAATCCAATTTGTCATGCTGTTTGAGCAGAGAAGACTGCTTTTGTCATGCTATTTTAGCAGGTCTATCTCACACCCGGAGCAGGCTTATAATCGGCCTCAGTTGCCTGCTCTGCAAGACAGGCCCTTTGCGTCTAGCATTTTATGCGTCACAAACTCTGTCAACTTTGACGATTTCAATCCTGACACTCCCATACCCGTTTTCCCGAAGGTAGTTCTCGATCCGCGCGACCTGCGCATTGTATGGCATTCTCAACTGTTACGTGCTCAACTGTTACACGGATTTGTCATGCAAAATTGCCATCAGTTTCCAGTTCCACTTGATCGAGGTGCTTAGCATGACAAATTTTCGAACGGCTAAGCAGCATGATAATCTGTGGCAAATCTGTGATGCGAAAGCTGCAATATTGCCACTCTCACTGTTATTGTTCTCGCATTACAAATTCATGTAACAGTTGAGAATGTAACTACACTTGAGAACGCCATACCTTGCTCCGCCCGGTTTGGACCAGGTACTCCATGGACTTCGCGTCCGTCGGAAAAAAACCCATCGTCGCCCCGTACTCCGGACTCATGTTCGCGATGGTCGCACGGTCCGCGACGGTCAACGAGGCGCAACCGGGGCCGAAAAACTCGACAAACTTCCCGACAACGCCACGCTTCCGCAACATCGCCGTGCAGGTGAGAACCTTTTTCGAAAAAATGCGGGGTGAATGGGAATGGAAAAATATGCCTCATCATCTTCATCTCATGTGAACGGAATGTACATGTTGCCCGCGGTTCTCGAATAAATACAATTAGAATTACAATTACAAATAGCCGAGAAAATGATAAAATTATTCAGAGTAGTACTAGTACCAGATCGGTCGCTGTGCAGAGTTTGTCCATGCTGTTCGTGAGTTCGAACCCGATCACTTCGGGTAACACCATGGATATCGCCTGCCCCAGCATCACGGCCTCCGCCTCGATGCCGCCGACCCCCCACCCCGCGATTCCCAAGCCGTCGATCATGGTGGTGTGCGAATCCGTGCCGACCAAAGAGTCCGGGTAGAGCAGCCTTTTCTTTTCCGGTGTAGTTGATGACACAGATTTACTTTCATCCTCAGTGTTGAAAACCACTCGGGCGAGGTATTCGAGGTTGACCTGATGTACAATCCCGCTGCCTGGCGGCACGATCGTCATGTTGTCGAAGGCCTTGGCGCCCCATTTTAGAAACTGGAAACGAAGGTATGCAAGGGCCAAACTCTGCTGGGGCTGGAGGCGGGAATACAGAATCGGGGTTTAGGTTTTGATCATGTTCAAGAAAATTTTGGTACCTACTAGTAGTAGTGACTCGTATACAAGTTGCATTTATCTCTGCCCATAACCCATGCCTTTGCTGGCTTATTCCCTTTCCCAGCAAAGTTTGCATCAATATCATAGCTCTTTGTTTCTTTCCATTTCCAAATCTTCGTTTTTCTTCAGCGCTTCTGGGGTCCGGCTGAAATCAACCTGGAACAAAGAAGTAAAACTTAAATTGGTGTTGCAGAAAAAGTAGTCCAACGAGATTGTCATGAACGGGTACGTCGACCGAAACCGTAACGAACAAACCTGGAAAAAAACGCTAAGTCTTCTTCATCGTACCTGCACACTGTGATCGATCACAAGATCTGCCGGGCACAAGGGGTTAATCAGCGTCGGGTCCCCGCCCAACCGTGCCATGGCGTCCCGCATCGCTGCAAAGTCCACAACCGCGGGCACGCCGGTGAAATCCTGCAGCACCACCCGCGCGGGCTTGAAGGGCACTTCCACCTGACCCGCATTTTTCTGCCAGTTTAAAATATTCTCCACGTCCTGCTTTTTCACTTCGAACCCGTCGCAGTTGCGCACCGCCGACTCCAGCAGAATGCGGATGCAGTAGGGAAGGGTGTCTACGCGCTCGTCCTGGAGTTTTTTCAGGGAGAAAAACCACTTCTCCTGATGATCGCCCAGTTGCGTCAGGGTGGAAGCGTATGCATGCTGCGGGGGTGCAGCTGCAGTAGAGGCTCCTGCAGCCGACATCTTGAAGTTTCGGGGAGAGGGAGGGTAATAGGGGCCGTCTCAGGAAAATGTGGAAAGAGAGAAAGCGGGTGTGTCCTCTTAAGGATCAATTTCGATTAGGGGTAAGTACGATCTTGGGTATAATTTTTGTCAGGGGTAGAAGTGCTGCTCCCGCAGCTAATTGGAAGTAGCTGCTTGTAGGTATATGAGAGAAAGACGAGGCGCTGACTGACAGCACTTCTGTTTCTCAACAGTGTTGTATATATAAGGGAAAATCTAGGTGAGTGGAAAATGTAGCGTTTATTATCACACGACGCTAGAATGTTTTGTGATTGAGAGACAGAAGGTGGTCTAAACAGGATATTTGTGCTTATTTGTGATTTTGCTTACATTAAGCTACTGACGTACGATGAGAAGGAGGGAGAACAGAGCACTCGGCTGACACTGACTCAGTGCCTTTCCTGGACAACTGTCCGGTGCCTCGGTGCTAGGGCTACACTCGCACTCCGTTTGCCTCCGTTAAATACTTGACGAAAAGAGTAGAGATGTGACACTTTTATTTAGATACTTAACTCATTCGTGGTGAGCAGGGCACCGCAATTTCTTGACCACCAGGGTAAAAGAACGACCGTGTTTTTCGTGGCTTTGTCTCGCTTGTGGTACTTGCGATTCTTTGCGGGGCCTGGTTTGGTACATATGCACGCTCTCAGGTGATGATGATGTGGTCTTTAAATAATTTTTCCTGCACTCGGTTTATTTTGGTGTGAAAGAGATGAGAGGACGCAATTACTTTTTTTCCTTTGTTCTTTGACACTCGCTGTGCAAAAGCCACATGACTTCTTTCTAATAGTAATAGTTCTCCTCGCCTCTCATTTTGATATTTTCTCTCGTTCTTCATCTTTTGCTTTCGCCCAAAGAGCTTGAGCTTTTGTGTGTTTGAGACAATGGAAGCTAGAATACTTACAGCACTCATCGTCGTGCATCTCTCCTGCGCGTACTGCTTCAAATAAGTAAATCCAGAACATTGCGGCCCCATTCACATTCTACATCCCGTGTAGTTAGACATGACTCAATAAGATGGGGCGAAAAAGACGGAAAGCAAACCTGCTCGTGCAGAACCTTTTGGACCACGCCGGCGTCAACGACAACGCGAGCGCGATCATTTGATTCATACTGGTGAAACCATCTTGTCCCATATTTCTCTTATCGCAGCTGCGATTTTGCAAAGCAATCGAAATTCTGATTCCTCCGCTGAGTTTTAGTGACAACGGTGGCAACATTGTCTGCGGATGTCTGTGCGACCACCTGGAGGTCATCTTTTTGCTACATAACTATCTCAATGTTGCCTGCGAGACGAGAAACGATTGTACAACAGGCTGATACTTACCGTGTTTCATAAAAACATTGAAAAAAATCCTACACTCTTTCAATCTCATAATTGCGAAGATCACTAGGTGAGAACCTACAACAACCCCGGCTCTGCTCATACCGCCAATTGGAACCCTTCCATGTTGGTTGCGATGACGTAAAATTCGCGGAAATTGTCCTGCCACACGTGCACAAACCGGAAATGCCGCCGCAGGGAAAGAAAGAAAAGGTCTTGAAACTCCGAGGGGTCGTCGTGATTTTTCTGGCTCAAAAAAAATTTACTACCTTGCCGGCGAGTTTTTGTTTTGATGTCTTCTTCAAGAACTTGCTCCTTCTGCTGACGCATCGGCTCCTGGTCAACACTTCCCGCGCGACTTTCAACCAATGGCGGGTGCGGCTTGCCCATATCTTCTTCTCCTTCTTCTGCCGCGGCATCTTCAAAAAATTGGAGCGGTGAATTATCGCTGTTTACACGACCCGCCTTGTTCGATTCTTCATGATCTTCATCGTACCCAAACAGTTCCATTCTCCTTGTGCTCTCTCCCGGGGTGACGTGTCCCGTCGCGTAGCTGCTCAACCCGCCCGGATTGAAGCCCATCTGGGCCGCAAAAACAATGTTGCTCCGTTTCTTGGAGGAGGCGGAGCCGTGACTGTAGTTGTCGTCATGGTGATTACTCTCAGTTTCGACATCTTCGCTGCTCGTTGGGCTGCCAACTATGTGCTCGTGGTATCCGGCTAGATCTCCTGCGATTTGGTCGAGAACCCCTTCCACTACATCGGAAGACCACGGCGGCCGCTGAGTGGTCCCCGCCTGCCCATAGGGTCGTGAAAAAGTTCGCAACTCCTTCTCCACACGCTGTTGCAAAAACACGTGGCAATACTCGCACAGAAGAAACGTCGTGTAGTACTTGCGCGAGCCAAGATCTTGCTCAGTTCTTGCATGAGATGAACTTCTACCCACAGCAATGGCATGCTGCTGCAGTTGTCGATGTTCTTCTTCACGACCACTTCTTGAATCAACTTCCTCCTCTACTGCCCGACTCCAATTCATCCTTCGGCTTCGAGGCGCTGTGTGCAACCATTGGAAGAGATCTCGTCCTGCTCCGTAAGCTACGAATTCTGCTTCGTGGAAAAACGAGGTAGGAATGAGTTGGCTATGGAGGACTCCGGTCGACGTCCCACTTGAATCATTGTGGTTTCCTGCTTGAAGATGCACCACCTCCTCTCCGTACAGTTGAGCGGCCAACACTCGCACATCGGAAGAGGAATCAACAATCGTGATTTTCCCGATCCTGGATGACGATGAGGAGGAAGAGCCACTAGCTCTCGATTTTTTCGCAACTCTACCGTCTTCGTCCTGCTCTTTGAAGCCTAGAACAGCTTGCAAGCCGGTGCCCAACCCGCCCCCGAGGATCACAATGTCGATTTTCTTGTTCGCTTCGTCCGGAGAGTTTTTGCTGCTGGCGCTAGTTGATGTCTGCAGCGCGTTAACATCATGGGCGTGACGTCGTCCAGCACTGCTTCCTTCAGTAGAAGGCACTACGAGTTTCGGTTTCCCCTGGTCTAGCTCTTCTACAATCTCTGGACCTTGCTCTTGTTCCCCACCGTCTTCATGATCTTCTTCTACGACATTAATTATTGACCTCAGCGCCAAATTGGCTAATTTCATCGCCGGAATGGCATTCAGGACGTGAATCCTCGTATTGAAACGGAAAAATACCCGGTGGCTGAGGTAGCTGTGCTGCGGCAGGTCGTCTGACTCGTCTTCTGGAAAGTAGGAGGCGGCAAGGGGATCTTCGTCTTCGACGCCAGTGCTGGGGGTCTTCAGATCATCTCCTCTGGTTCTTTCCTGCTCCTGTTCACGACTTTCTTCATCTTCTCCTGCTGCCGCATCAAGTTGCGCAGCCAGCGCGGCTGCGTCACTGAAACTCCACACTTCCAGGCTGCAAGATGTTGGGGCGGTGAACGAAGAGGTCACTTCGGTCGTTTCTTGTTCCGCATGTTCAATACAACCCGCCTTTCCGACCAGATACTTGAACCCACCGAGCGTGTCTTGCAATTGCGTCTGCAAACCGTCCCACTGCGAAGAAGAAGAGGAAGACGAACCTGATTTACCAAAACCCGCACCGAAGAGGTAGGTTGTGTTGCTAGAAGTAGTCTGGCTTTCGAAGACAGCTCGTTCTCCCCCTGGTAGTGCTGCTCCTGCGCTGACTTCTGCAAGGTTTAGGCTCAGCTGCAACGCAATGCCCATAGGAGGTGGCGCCGTAGTTACAACTTTCGATCCGGCAGAAGCTGGAGCATGATCGCCTTGTTGTTCGTGTCCTACTTCTAAGTTCATTTTAGCGAACTCATCTTGCTCCACTCCCACCGTTCCCCACAGCTGCACGCCCCAGCGTACGAACACGTCTTGCAAATCGAAAATTTTTGCCGTGGCTTTTTCCAAGTCAGCAATGAAAGTGCTCGGCTGCAGAAAAACCGACGTTTTCGCGTCGAGAGTTGCGAAATCCTGGCACGTTGTAAGCTCCAGGATGATTCTTGTGCGTCCTAATGCTGAGCTGACGCGGCTTGTAGTGCGAGACGAAGTGCTTTCGCCTGATGTAGAAGTAGACGTGGGCGAGCTCGTTGCAGGCCGTGGCCTCACCTCGTTGTAAAAATGCAGCGTCAAGTGCGATTCTGACAGGATGTAAAGAACCCCCGCGTGATGATGCGGACCAATTCCAATTCCACCTTGTTGATCGTGATGTTGTTCTCCAACAAAGTAGTTGAGCGAATCTTCTTCGACCTGAAGAACTTTCTTCTGTAACACTGTAAGGTTCTGGTGCGCTACGATAAAATCGGCCAAATCGGTGAGATTCCGGGCGTGCAGGTTGACGTCGTTGCTGGTTCTAGGACGAGGAGGACGAGAAGTTTGCGCTTGGCGGCTTTGCTCGCTTGTGGTCTGCACCACATCATCCTCAAGAAATTCTTTGGTGCTGCTGGGGAACAAGTACAAAATCGCGGAGAGCTGCTGCACCGACATGCTCGGTCTGGGCGGATCAACATGGTTATTGGCGGAGTTGTATCCAGGCTTCACTGTCTCATCTTCTGACCCTGTGAAGATTGAGGACGGCAGGTCGACTTCAGAAGAAAATGCTGACGCTCCTTCCTCATCTTGCTGCCGTTGCACCCTGGTGTCGTCCCGCTCCTGGTCCCTAGGCTCGTCTTGCAGCACACTCGTCGCGTTGTTTGTTCCAAGCAGCTTACAGCGAGCTCCGCCCTCAGGCGGGTCTTCGGCGCCGGCACCAGGCTCCTGGTCGTGGTTGGACTCACATTGTGCATCAGAAGGATGATGAAGAGTCCTTTCGGCGGAGCAGGTGTATTGATCGTCTGCCGCACAGCACGCATCTCCCACGAGCCTCGCCCCGGAAGATAAAGGCTTCCACCAAGGCTGTTCGTAGCGACTGTTGTCCACGGAAAACAGGAGAACCCGCTCGTTTCGCATTGCAACCGTCTCCGCCGGCTCTTCCGCCTCAGAGAACGGAAAAAAACCGGCGGGGTCAGATCGATTCCTTGGAGGTGGTGCTGGTTCAGCGACTCCACCATCTACTTCGGTCTTCCATGTCGTGGGTTGATCGCCTGGTCCCACAGCTGCTGCTTCAGCCGCGGCACCAACTGCAGCACGGCCGGGACGATCAAGATCCTTGATTTCGTGATTCTGGTGCCCTTGGAGAAGCCACTGCATTGCCCTTGTCGGATATGCGACGGAAAGAGAAGCTACGTCCTCAACATAATCGCTGCAACTACTGCGCTTGAAGCACTCGCTGTAGTCGCAACCTCTAGTGACATTGAAGATGATCGATAGCTCACTTCAAGACCATATTTCGATGCAAGTGCTGCTACATACTCTCGCTCCCCTCAATAAACCGCAAAAAGAAAGTGAAGACGAGCTTTCTTCCCGCCCTACCATAGGCGCCTGATACAAAGCGTGCACTCGGCCGCAGTAGTGCCGGAGTGGCTGCACTTTGTTCTCTTGCTTCGCGGGCGGAGCAGCTGCCAAGATTTCCGTCGCCAGCGCCCGGTCTACGTTTTCCTCCCCCGCCTGTTGGAAAAACGTTTCCGCTACATTGCCATCTCTCGCCGCGAGCAGAAACAGGGTCCCCACGTTCCATGTGGGCGAGTACTGCTCGTAAAAGTGCTGAAATTGTGTGTGTTGCGCGACCCGGCTGGCGAAGGCGCGAACCAGGTGAAGAGCGGTTGCCGGCGTGGAGGTGTTCTCGAATAGCTGTTCTTCTTTGCTCATCATAATCCTGTCTTGATCACCCGGAGCCGTTGTAGAAACAGTTTCGTCCTGAAGAAGTGGAGCCTTCTCTTCGCGTCCTCGACCTTCTTCGTCGCGTTCCATGGTCCGCAACACCTGCTCCCAGGAGGGCGCGTCGCCCATTTGCGATGCAAACATGCCCCGCTCAGGGTCCAGGTGTTTGGTGAATGTCAGGTCGACCAGCTCGGCTAGCATCTGTTCGGAGAAAAGACCGGCGTCCGGATCCACCAGATCATAAACCACGAGTTCGAATGTTGAGTCAGATGATGATTGATGTTGCTCGGCAGCAGCTGCTGTCGCGTTTCCGTCTCGTGCTTGTGCTCCTCCCCGTCTGTCGTCCTGAGTAGGAGGAAAATCGCTACTATTTACCTTTTCCCGCCTCAACCACTCAAAAACGTCTGCGAACACGACTTCCGCGCGACTGTCTTCAAACGCGTTGCGGTGCATGCTCGGTAGGTATTTCTTACTCATTTCCACCACATCGCGGTCCAAGTCAATCATGACCACTCGCTCCACTTCTCGCCACTTCAACACTTCCCGCAGGGTCGCACCCTCGCCCCCACCGTAGATCAGGACCGTCCTTGGGGGCCGCTTCTCCCGCAGATAAAACGTCAGCATCGCGGGCTGGACCAGAGCCTCGTGGTACAAGTGTTCCCAGCGAGTGCTCGATTGCAGGAACCGGTCCAGGTAGAGCCGACGCTCGGTTTGTAGGGAAAGAGTGTTCGCAGACGAGGATGGAGCTGCTGAAGCTGCAGGATAAAAATATTCGTATGCAGTGCAAACGCGCAGCTCCTCGTCATCGTTCCCAATTGAAATCATGACGGACAGGAGTTTCAGCGTCCTATGCTCCTGCAGAAAATCCATCAGAAGCGGAAAAAATACTATTTTTTAGCCTCTATTCACACGCTCCTCTGTGATACCAAAGTCATGCAGTGATAAAAAAGTCAGTTGCTTCAGCACATTTTTGTCGACGACATAGAGGTGCTGCCTTCTTTGATGCAATACTTGGCGCTCCCGATCATCTTCACCCGAAACATCGTCCTCTGCCGCCTGGAGCAGGACCCTGGTCTCGACAATCCGTATTTCTTGGAACTCGGAGCGGTGCGATACCAAAATTTTAAGGTCCTTTCCAAACGACCGCCCCGTCTCATCGGTGAGACGGAAATCCGACTGAGACTGTACTGGTCCTCGTCCGCCTGCTGGACCTGTTGAAGCTGTACTGTCATTTTCTCCACCGTTTTCACTCGAAGCAGACGGCGAAGATGCACTCCTGCCCATCTTCGACTTCGGTGGTCGTGGTTTACACTGTAGCAGGTCCGCAAGTCCATCGAGCACGCCAAGAGAGGACGGAGACGCGACAACTCCACCGCCACCGCCGGCAGCTGTTGGCACAGCAAAAGACGGCGAACGACCGACATTCGTGATATCAATATTCTTAGCCTCATTACCATCATCTTGCTGGTCCACCAGCAGCACATGGTCGGGCCGGAGCTTTTCGACCGTGTTTGCATAGTCCGAAACCTCCACAAAAACCACCTCAAACTCCGGCCAGCTATGAACGGCGATCTGCACAACTGCCGGGACATCGCCCGGTCTGCCTTTGTTGATACTATCGACACGGTGAAGTGTCGCATTTTTGCTGCCGCCCGCACCAGTCTGCCTACTTTTGGTGTCGTGGTCCACCTCGACAGTATTGCGGTAAAGGCGCAAGAAACTCACGCCGAATGGAGAGAACTGGTGGCGCAGAGCGGCCCATTCTTGATCTTGCTCTTGTGCGCTGCCTGAAATTCTTATTTCTGTCCCCGTGGTTACATCTTCAGCAGCTGTGGCCGCTCGTTCACGTTCTTCATCAGACTCTTCCTCGTCATTTTCGAGTGCTGTAGTTACAACGGTGTTTTCAACTGGCAGTCCTGTGCGTGTTTGCCCGGTTTCCGCTTTTAGCAGTCTGGAATGTTTATTGCTCTCGTCTATTTCTGATATAATCTCACTGGCCGAAAAGTAGGACGGGGTCGTGTTTCGTGGAGCAACCAAATTCAAGTAGTCCGGACAAGTCGCCCACCGATCAACAACGCTTTCCAGTAGCGTAGGAGTGTTAATCAGCGTGAAGTTCCTACACTGGCCGAACGCCACGGACAGTTTTCGAAACCAAGGAAATGGTACCAACGCCGGATCGACGTGTACTAGTTGGGCGTGCTTTATTTGACTCCGACTTCCAGCAGAAGACGAAGACCCAGAGCCATTTTTGTTCCTCAATTTTCCTCCCCGATAGATTCGGTCGTGAAAAATTTGTTCCGTTTCCGTCCGCGTCGCAGCCGTCGGGGGGGCGAACAAAGTGCTGGCGCGGAGGATGATCGTACTCTTGCAGAATAAGAATAATAGTGATGCGGCTTGAAAGAAAACAAGTTGCAAGCGCGCGGCCATGAGACGAAAAGTCATAGTGAAGCGGATTGCTCGGGTTTGGTCATCAGAAAAAGGCGTCTTGTCCCATGCTAGAGTACTAGTCGTGAAGAAATAGAGAGGTAAAAAGCGACTATTATCGAACAAGAAGATAATCCGCTAGGCTATTATGATAGATAGTCCGACGGATGCACGAAAGTAAGTACGGACCAGCAGAAGTAGTATTTGTAGTGGCCCACAAAAAATCAAAATGAAAATAGCCCCGCAACACGACAAATCGCGTACCAATAAAAAGTAGAGCCCCACTGCGCATGCAAGCGAGGTACAAATAAGCACAGCGCCCAATCCCTTAAGTATACGAATACGACCACGAGATGAAGGCGGATCACGAAGACGATATATATGTGACCACCGTGACGCAAATTGAATCAGACCCACGAGACGAAGAACTACTCTTCAGATGGGATGCTGGAAACCAGACGGTGGAAATCAAATACTGACGACGCAGCCGGTGCCGCCCTGAAAGCAAGACGATTGCAAAATCGAAGACCAAGAGTGCGTGGTTACCACGTGTCAGCACAAGAATTTTTTTCTGATCCGACTTTTTGAAACCATGACTCCCGAACGCAACGGCCCGCGAGTGAACAAAGAACAAACAGGAAGATTAGCGAACGAACTCAGACAGAGACTGTGACTGACGACGGATAGAATATGAGATAAGTGTGGCCATTGCCTACTTGCCCGTAATGCAACTCTTCCTGCTGGGAGGTTAAGGTTTCAACGAAAAATAAACAGGAAGGCAGAATTGAATTTCCCACGTTGCAGTCGATCGGATCGGTTACCTCCTTCTGTATCTTTTGCTACTTTTCAAAACTACTGAAATTTCATGTGCATCTGCGTAGCCACCTCAAGTTCAATGCAAAAGCGAAACCATGACCAGATGGATCTAGTAGCGGTCTGACCGCTACTAGATCCATCTGGTCATAGCGGTCTGCCGTCAAGAGCTACCTTCATAGAAATTCAAGAGAGTGAAATCCTTTAACACGGGAGAAAACTCACATCTGACCAACAGAGAATCGGATGAAGCAGAATAAGTGAAGGGGAACCCTAGGAAAAAGTAAAAATGAAAAAGAAAAAGCAATTCACCAATCAATAAAAAATAAAAGGAAAAATATGGGATTATATTGGACGCTGGTCGTGTCAGATTGTGTAAATTCAAATTGTGAAATCAGATTACGAAATGCAATCAGGTTACTGAAATAAGATTACGAGATGCAATCAGGTTCCTAAACGAACCAACGTCGAGCGGCCCCAGCGGTCCGCCGGAATCAGTGACGCGCCCAGCGAGCCGACCACGGGGCTGACCGACGGGACCAACGAGAACCACGACGGGAAAAGAACACAACCAGACGAGCGGGCAAGCCGCGGGGGCGCATTGATTGGCGTAAGGCCGGCCGGCGGCGGCTGCCCTGGCCGACGACCAGAAACCCCTAACCCTAGACCCCAAACCCAAACCCAGACTCCTGATTTCAGTGATATTCTGAATTCAGTAACTTGATTGCACAACTAGCCTGATTGTAATAATCTGACTTCATTTCGATAATCTGATTCGAACCGAAGCCGATTATATTTATAGCTTGTTCAGGCACTTAAGAGTGAGAACTCCAGGAGGTTGTGGCATGTACATTCGCTATTCGAACCCTATTGAACAGCAAGTCAAGAATGCTCTTCCGAGAAAACTCATGCAGGACGCAGCTTCTTCTTCTAGCGGGTGCGGCGGCCTCCGGGAAGAAGTCTCCGTCTCCGTGAAGATGATCGTCTTCGTGTGTCAGATTCTCGCCTGCGCCAAAAATCGATCCGACGCCGATTGTCGGGTGCCGAAGTTGTCGCTGCCGGAGTTGCCGGTGCCGGAGTTGTCGCAGGTGCCGGCGCCGGAGTTGTAGTCGGTGCCGGCGCCGGAGTTGTCGCTGCCGGAGTTGTCGGTGCCGCAGTTGTCGCCGCCGGAGTTGTCGGTGCCGGCACCGGAGTTGTCGATGCCGGAGTTGTCGGTGCCGCAGTTGTCGGCGCCGGAGTTGTCGCCCGCCTTCTCGCAGGTGCCGGCGCCGGAGTTGTCTCTCGCATTCTCGCAGGTGTCGGCGCCGGAGTTGTCGGTGCCGGTGCCGGAGTAGTTGTCGCCCGCCTTCTCGCAGCTGCCGGTGCCGGTGTCGTCGGTGCCGCAGTTGTCGCCCGCCTTCTCGCAGCTGCCGGTGCCGGCCCTGGTGCCTGCGCCGCGGAACGGGCACGGGACCGCGCCTCTCGTTCTCTACTTGGATCTGTTGGGGCAAGAGACTGCCCGGCCAAGCTGGAGAAAGCTGCAGCTGCCGCTGTTCGCCGCCGGCTGCTTGTCGCGGTGGCAGCTAGCTGGTAGTTCGTTCCTGCGAAGACGGCCGCCGAACTGTAGAACCGGCGCCGGCTGAAGAGGGTGCACGCATGCATGCGGCGCCTGCTATACCCCCCACGACTACGGCTCTTCGGACACTCGTGCAGTTCCCGCAAATCGCAGGTGTAGATCGACTCCTCGCCTGCTTCGACTCGGTTCCGCTCCGTGATTTTGTGCCCCTGGGCCTCTAGCTTGGAGCACAGATCAGCCATGCGTTTGGCCTCCTCAGCATCTTCAGCATTTTGTTCGGCCGCCGATTTATCGCTTGCGTCGCTCATATGGTCACAACAGTCGTTTTGTTCCCAAATCGCGGATAGCTCCACACAGTCGCTGCCCTCGTTCATGTGTATCCGGTGCAAAAGATGGATCAGTTCCGTGTAGGAGAATTCCTTGCTTTTAGATTTCATCATACGCAAACTTTTTTACCGCTGTAAGTGTATTTTTTTACGTACTACTTGTCAACTTTCGAATTCTAATCAAGAAGTGGAATGTCCGTGCAATTTATTTTCATCATACGCGATTTTATTGGCCTCCGGACATTCATGATCACTTTTGCAATGCATAATCTCGACGCAGTTGCAATTTTCCGCGTCGCTGGTGCGTGTCGTGGCGCCCACTGCAGCCGAAGCGAACGGCACTGGAGCGGCAAGTAGAGGAGATTCCGCTGCATCATAGCTCCCTCCCAGAGTTTCCTGCTGAGGTCGGGATGCCACATCATATGTCGAACCTCCTCCGATCGCCGCGTGGTCGCTGTCCCAGCTGCCAGGAGCATTCGACGCCTCTTTCATCCCCTCGCCCGCGACGCGCAGGAATGCCTGAGAACTTGTCATCATCTCCCCGTTCAGTGGACACGTGCGAAGCGCCAACTTTTCCATCACGGCGGCAGCCTGAGTCCCGGCGGCGGCGGTATTCGGTAGACACTGACACGGTCACGCACGGCAAGTCCAGCAATGCTAACAATGACAATGAGGCAATTTGCATCGCTGAGCCGCGGCTACGCACGACAAGTCACGAAACTACTACGTACAACTACGTGGCAAAATGAAGGTCGTGGCCGCTCTGGCTGCGGCTGAGTGCCCATCATGATAACTTTCACCTGACGGCAGTTTGGGCGAGCGCTAGAAACACGAAGATTCCCTTATATTCAGTGTCGGCACAGCCACGCTAGCCAATCGACAGAGCCGATTATTTGCAGCAGTCGAACAAACGCCTTCGCTCGCGCTATTTGCTCGACGGAGTCTCCTCTTCGTTTTTATATTTTCTTCTTCCAAAATCACAAAAGAAACCTTCATAATGTACAGTTTTGAGGAAAAATCATGACTCAGTCTATGTTGCATGATTCAAAACGATTTTTATACATCAGAGATACAACCCAAGAGCAGCACGTCTAGTAGTCTATTCGGTGTTAAACAAACTGCAACGCATACTTTGTACATTCGCAAATCGAGTTCGACCAAACTTAAACTTTTTCCGATAGAGAATAACAACTGGGTGCTGAAACGACAATGACAAAAAAGAAAACATCTTGCTAGAGCAGCTGGAGTAATTCAGAAAAAAGATTCGAAAGACAATTTGAATTGCATTTCGATTTCCACTGCGTGAGCGTTGAATCCATGTTCTTGTGATGCCAGCACCAAGAATCATGTAGTGGTCATTATAAAAACTTTTTGATTCGTGCTACATCTAAGCTAGTATAGTAGTTTCTGATAGAATGTTAACTTCTAGAAGAGCGACATAAACTATAAACTTTGCGTGTACTTCACGTTCGAGATCGGTTTTCACAGACACTTATAAACCGATGATCTTTCAGAAACAAGATTCTTTATTCTTAGTACTTCACCTGCTTGTTACTGTGGGAGAATGAGCTTTCGCCCGAGCCCAGCGTCCAATTCCGCGACGGTAAGGTAGTTCCGCGTCGACAAATCGCCCTTGGAGTCCAACCACTCGCATACGGTTTCCGCTTCCGTCGGGGTCATCATGTTGTCCTCCGTGAGCCACTGGATCATGTCATAGCAGGAGATACCGACCGCGTGCTCGCTGCCCATGTGGTCGCGCCACGCGTTCTCGAACGTGACGTTGCCGTCCACCAACTTGTGCATCCGCGGCTGCTTCCACTGCTGAAACAGGGCCTCAATCTCCGGGTTCAGGTCCGTGATCTGCATCGCCATGTTGTGCTCCGCCTGCCCCATCGAGTCCCACGTGTTCTTCAAGTTCCCCTCGTATTCCAGCTTCCGCATACCCCGGCAAAACTGCACAAAGTCGATCTCGTGCTCGCCGTTCGGAGCCAAGGCCTGATCAAGATACGATGATACTGTGCTGTTGCAACCAATATCTTCCCAAAATTAGGAAAAACCAGAACTAATAGATCAAGCAACATCGTATGATTATCATCGTCGTGGCTTGACGGGCGAATTTCGCTGCAGATCCACAGATGCACGTCAGTCTCAGTGTCAGGAATTTAGTATAGTCATAAACATTATACTTACCTCCGCCCAAGCTGCCTTCAAGCTGCCGTACCTCTCGGTGCACAACGTGAGCAAGCTGATGCATTCCGGCGTGTAGGTCGGTGGGTAGGGCTTCTTGCCGAATTCCACCTTTTTGTGGGCCGGTACCACAATTACGCCGGGCTCGCTACCGGATGGGGCGCCGGTGTCTTCACTCCCTGGCGCGACTACATCGCCGCTGTTCATTTCCCCCGCGGCTACGACCTGATGGAGGGAGGTTAGGGGATGAAAAATCATGCCATACCATCCCCGATCGGGAAGCTGAAAGTGTTGAAACTAAACAAGTCTGCTACTACTTAATTGTTCAGCTAGAATGCGTTAAAATCCAAAGAAACAATATACAAAGCTGAGTCATCCATCATATTTAAATTTATGTTAGCCCACCTCGCCAGTCGGTGGCGTCGGCATTCTTTCCCCGTTCTGATCCGCTGTTGGTCTGTGCTGCGACGCCGAGCTCGCTGGTCGCGCGGGACTGGTGGCCCCGGACCTCGGCTCCGCGGGCGAACCCTTGGGCGAGCTCTTCGGCGAGGATTTGGGCGAGGCAGATTTTGACTTCGGCGAGGATTTCGCACTACCACCGTTCTTCTTACTGGCAGCTCCCTCTCCTTGCGTCGAACCGGTGGATTTTTTGTCCGATTGTGCTCCCGCCCCGGACCCGCCGCTCGCCGGCCGGGGTGAGCCGTTGGGTGGCGAGGCAGCCCCGCGGCGCTTTGTGATCAGCTGCGGTTCCGGCACAGACGTGTCCTGCTGTTGAAAGTCGTCGCTCGCAAGACGCTCCGCGTCCGAGGGTGACAGAGGATCTTTCAGCGTCACCTTCAAGAGGGAAGGATCGTGGAGCGGCTCACCGGTTTCCTCGTTTACGGGGTTTTCCCCCGGCGGCGGAAAGTCCTGCTCGGTCGACCACCTCATGTGGACCTGGCATGAAATAATACGTTGATCATGATGGGTATTGCTAAGCGTCGTGTCACGCATGTTCACGACGTGTTGCAGCAATCTAATCTGCCCACTGAATAATTGATTGATTCCTATCGAAGCGAAAAAAAATTGTGGGGTCTGCATTCGCACTTGCTTGTAGAGAACCAACGACATGAAACTAAGACAAAAGATCATCCCAGCAAGAACATACGTCATCCTGATTCCTTTCTGCGCTGTGCCGGGCGTACCGGGTGAGTTTGCTGGGTGCCCCGACTTTTGCGAATTCCACGGCCTGTCCCCGAATGCGCTTCTTGTCCAGCAAGTCCATCCATTCGAACACGTTCTTCACGTCAAAATCTTTGAACTGAAAGGGCTGCAGCATCCGCGCAAAGGACTCCAAATCCAACTCGTTGCTGGTGCCGATGTGGAAGGGGTGAAAGGCGTCCAAGATGTTCCCGAATCGCTGGACGAGCTGGAACTGGATGTCGCGCAGGCACTCGTGCGCCCGCGGGTTCAGGTCCGACATGGACACCATGCCGGAATTTTGGTAATCCAACGTTTTGAACACCCGGTCCACGTTTCCGTAGTACCGAAGCCGCGTTTTACAGTTCTCGTTGAATTCGTCAAAGGTGAGCATGTTCTTCCCCTTCGTATGGTACGGAAAAATTCCCCCTTCCCCTCTCGATAAGGCACGCTGTCATGCTGATTTTTGACCACAAATCGCATCTGTGATGTAAGAATTAAGAAAGCAACACCACACGCTCCGCCCCATTATGTAATGCAAATGCTGTTGGGCCTAGTACAGCATAGACGTTCCTCATGCTAAGTGCCCAGGCCAAAACCTTTCAACTCCGGCACGATACATATGGGCCTGCAGTCCTCTACTGCAAGACAAATCTGATTTGTGTACGCAAATCCAGCATCAGAAATTTCGTTTCGATCTGGGGAGGGGGGATTTTTCCTTCTGATACTTCGGGTCTAATGCCTTGTACCAGGCGTCGCGGACGGATTTGTATTTGCGCCGCAACGTCCCGAGGAACGACTGGGTCACCTTGCACGGGTTGTAGTTCGGGTCGGGAAGGTGTGCGTAGTCGGTTTGCGTGCTGTCGGGCAAGGGGGGTGGGACCAAAGTCGGCCAGGAGGACTGCGTCAAGGTTTGGGGTGGCATATGGGATTTTCAATTGGTGCTCTAATATTTGTCACGATGCTGCACGACAAGGAAATCGGTGGACAAGAATAAAGTAGCCGACGATGGGTTTCAAAATTGCGTACTATCAACATTACATATTGTCTCCTCACGAAGCATGACAACAAATCGCCTCGTCCCAGACGAGTTCGAACAGCCCGACAAATATTGTGAGCGCATGGTGGAGAGAGATAGTTCGGTTTCCCGGATAAGACTGCATACCAGACTTTGAGGGTGACGATTGAAAAAATCCACCACTACCACGCGTCGTGCCTGTAGGTGGTGTTATTGTGATGTGAGTTGTGCAAGATGAAATTGAAAACCACATGCCATGTGAACAGGTGAAGTGAGTCGATGAAACAGCAAAAACTAGAAGTACTTCCGCCCCCGCCGCCTAACACACTGGATCCGCCGGTCATGCGCATCGGGGACATGGCCGGACTGACACTGCCGCCCAATGGCCGTCCCTTCTTCGGCGTCTCAATGGTCGCGAAAGAGTCCTGCAAGCCCTTTGCTTTTGCGATGGCAGACTCCTCGCAGAAGTCCTTCAGCGTGATGTAGCCGCTACTTGCCCCGAGTTCTTCCAAGCCGTTGGTGTTTACGTGCGACCACACTTTCTTCGCTTCCTGCTCCGGAAACGCGCTAAAGCTGGTGACGGCGGCTACGAAGTCGTTTATCTTGACCTTGTCCGTGTTGTGCGGGTCCACGAACTGATTCCAGGCCCGCTGATATGCTGTGCAAAAGCACTATCGTAGTCGTTATCGTTTCATGCCAAAGCCAATTGCATAGCGATAGCATGAAGTACTCAAATTCAGTTACTATCAAGTGTCTTTTCCAGCATAATATTCAAATTTTTCCTTTTTGTTTTTGTACTTCCAAAAAATTTATATAATGCAATTTAGACCCGTCGCCGTCGTGTGAAGTAGATGCTTTTGCAGTGCTTAGCAAAATGCTTCCATAGGTGTCGATCATAAAAAACTTTAGGTCCTTCGTTGCCTTCGCGCCCTTCGGGTCCACTTCGGACAGCCCGACGTGGTGGATTTGGTTTGCGGTCACCTTCGGCGGCTGACTCATGTTCCCGAACCCGTTCTGGGTCTGGTTGTGCATGGCCTGCGACTTGACCGTGGCGGCCGCGGCGCACAGCTCCTCCCACAGTGCCTTCATGTTGCTGTCAAATCCCATGGTCCGCACGGCGGAACAAAATTCGGTGAACCCCAGCTTTCCCTGGCCCAGCGGGTCCAGGGCCTCGTTCCAGCCCTTTCGGATGGACCCATATCGTCGGATCAAATTCTTCCGGAACTGCTTGCCCTGCTGGCCCAATCCCGCGGTGTTGTTCGGGTTCATCGCGTCCACATGCTTGCGGTTTTCTAACGCCGCCTCCCGCGCACTTCGGTAGGCGGACGTGGTCTGCCGCTGCAGAAACTCCTCAAACTGCTTCTCGCGGCGCGACCCCTTCATGGTGGTGTCGTTGTAGTACTTTTCTTATTGCAAGGAAAGCTCCCCCCTCCCCATATCAGAACGCAATTTCTGATGCTGGATTTGTGTACACAAATCAGCTTTGTATTGCAGGAAGGCACTGCGGCCAGATCCCCAGGCTAAGCAGGGGCGTATGGGTCTAGTTGCTCAGCATGGCAAACGGCTCCCCTTTACTAGGCCCAACAGCATGACAAATCGCTTCCATAATGGGGCGGAAGCTTCTGCCCTTGTGTTCTTGCAAGACAGATGTGATTTGTGGCCTCAAATCAGCAACGCAAATTTTCGAAAACGTACCTTTTCGATATGGGGAGGGGGGATTTTTCCTCTCAATATTTCGCGCTTTCTCTCCGCGTAGTACTTCTCCATCTCCCGTCTGGCCTCCAGATCGTCCGACAATAGCGGGAGTGGGGGCGCGGCCGGCGGGCTCGGGGCCCGTTTGATGGGCGAGATCTCGGCCTTATCCAGTCGCTCCGGGTTGGACAGCGTTTTGATTTTATCGTCCAGGTACAAAACGTGAGCCTTGTAGTGCTTCTCGTACCTTAATATCAGTGAATAGACGAGATGTATAGAAGTTTTCTTGTTTCACCTGGTCACTTTCTATGCTGCTCAGAACAAGACTTCAACAGATTGACCTGTGATCAGAGTGAAGTAGATGCATATAATTGGGCGCTGCTTAGCTTGTGTCTACTATGAGAGCGAATAGAATACATTTATGCACGGTATGAAATTATGTCGCCGCAGCTTGATGCTGAGACGTGAGTGTAATAGTAATTCATTTTACTTCTGGTTCTGTTCTATCTACCATTCCCGCCAGCTGTGGAGCATTTCTCGCAGCTTGTCGTTTTCCGTCTGTAGTTCGTCAATCCGCGCACAGAGCTCGGTCTTGCTGGTTTTTGGGCTGGGGGAGTACAGAGGCTTCATCCGGTCTGGCTCCACCTCCTCCTGATCGGACTTTACGCTCGACCGGGCCGTCGACCGCGGCGAATAGTGCGGCGACCCGTGCCGATTGAATATCATTTTTCTTAAGTCGTGTAGTTCCTGTCAACCGTGAAAGAATCAAAAGGGATTGTATGTCGTGTGTGATTTGCGACCTACGGACGGCTTATTCTTCTAGATGATAAGGATAAGCCAACATTTGTTAATTATTGTCCATGATACATCATAATCGCAGATCCCTTTGAGAAAAAAAAACAATCCTTGGTACAACTGTGCGACAACGACAAGATATGTAAAAAGGAGGCGGTTGTAGAAAACCACAGCATGATGAGGGTCGGACTTTAAACAAAAAACGCGAGTGCAAAATTCACAAGAGTCCACGATCTTGCAGCTGGCAAGTGAGGCCGACGAACAAGACGAGGAAGTCTTTTTAGTTTTACTTAAGTGCAGCAGAGCCAAAATTACCGACGATTTTTTCGACCTTCGTCTGTTGTGCCCGAAAAATAAATGGTCCACGAAAGTTGCCGCTGACGATGTTCGGATAAGTACTGAAACGAGATCAATAGATCTCACGATTTGAGCAGAAAGTGGGAGAAGACCAAGACGATGGTGACATCGATCTTCAAAAGCGAAATTCCAACGAAGTGCTTTTAGACGATGACCTACTTGTCGTGAAGACCTACGAAATACCTATTTCGTTGCGAAGTATCGTTTCTTTGAGCGACGGGCAAGTAGACGACGACATGAGCATAATACACCCCAACCAATCAAGAACATAATTGAACTTCAGCATGGGATAAATCAATGACCCACGTGATCGCGAAAAATGCGCATCACAAACACGACGATACGTTCACTTTTTTGTACTTGCCACCACATCAAGTTGTGATGGAATGATGAATCATGAGAACAGCAAGGTCGTCTCTTTTCACGTCTCTTTTCACAATGTGTGTGATACATGAACATTTAGACATCTTCCAGGTGATCAGGCAATCGCAATTCTAGTAGGCAATAGAGGTGTACAGTTTCTTTCTTCAAGTGTCGTGGGGCGGCAACAGGGACGGGTAGTGGCATAAGGGCAAGGGTAAGGGAAGATGACGAAAAATATGATGAAGATGTCGATGTGCCTGTGCAAGAATGAGGAAACGAATATTTCGATATTTCGTTATCAACAACTGGTTATCGCTAATATCATTTTCATGTAAATATTCTGGACGTGCCACCGAGTTCTCACTTTCATCACCACGTCGCACAATTTCATCAGTATCACATATCAATACGTAAATTTGGAGGGATACATAGCATTCCCATTCGCTAGCCGATGAAGTGTTGCTGGTGGGGGCGGGGCTTTTGATTACTGTAGAGGAGGCAATCTCAATCTGTATGTCGCGAAGGTGGAGGTCGTGTATCCATGGGAGCGTTTGTCGCAACGCGCGTTCTGCCGTGCGTGAGACAAAGTCTATCTTCTCCGAGGACTAGTTAGTAGAGTACTTTCCCGTCATCTGTTCTTCTCCTTTACGTTTTTCATGCTTGAAGATGATAACAAAGGAGATCACTTTGTAGCTCGTGCGGACGTTTAGATTTTGCAGGTCGTCACAAGAAAATCGCTGCCAGCAGGGCGGGTAAAAACTCCTATGTACTATTAACGCAGGGCAACAAAACAGAAGCACGTTTCGGCTCAAGATTCTCGTCTGGAGGTTAAGGTTGTGTTTACTGCTGTGCAGAGCTGTGCAAACCTCTTCAAGGGTGTAGTACATTAGTCAACAGCACTTTTCCAAATATATAAATCTTGATTTGATCTCGGCTGAATCGCTTGCAAGAACGAATAACCTGTGCAACATGTTCGAGTAGCAGGAGCAACATGCATTGATTCTTCTTGTGCTTCTTCTGCAGCTCTTCTAGGTCACACCTAGGTGGAGTAATATACCAGCACGGCAAAGCCTTATTATGGACAAACTACATAAGACGGCGACAAGCCGCTCTAGCTCTTCTATGCAATGGCTGGTAGAAGATTATTCATCCACGTGAGATCTTCATCTCGCTGGCTGCCATAAAACTAAAAGGATGATTTTGATTTATATTGAAACTAATAAATATTTATTGTGCACAATAAGTAGCTTAGACATCTACTTCGCAGCACGTGCCAGTTGTTCTCCGGGCCTGAGATAGCACGGCCGCGGCCGAGAAGTTGCTACATCGAGGGGTAAAAATCTTCATCATAGAGAAACTACAGGAAGTCCCCCCACCACCAGCACCTTCTCTATACTATTCCAGTGCCTTGTTGGCCTCCGGTAGGGTGATGGTGTAACACCCTGCGGTATCGTACTTCGAGTTCTCAAATTCGGGGTCGATGCCACGGCAGAGCTCCGGTATCCAGTACGTGGAAAATCCGGACTGGCAGGAATCTTTGGCCGTAAAATACACACAGAAATCCAGCGCCAACCCGAAACACACCGTTGCTTTTATGCCCTGTTGGGTGATGTTCTTTCGAACTTTTCTCCACTTTTACTTCATTCGCTTCATCAATCATAATCGTCCGGAGGATGTTGAAGCGGATCGGGATACAGGGATGCATGAAAAAGGAAGAGCATGAAAAGCATCATGCATCTTTCAGGAAAAAGAAACTGTTTTAGTTTTTGAGTACCTTATTCTTCAGATGGTCAGCGAGGCCCGTCGGATGTCCCCCGTCATCCATGAAAGCCGAGTAACTATCCCAGGGAGGCATGGTACCCTTTTGCTGGACGAATTCTCCCTCTCTTACCTCGGTGACGAACTCCGCGCCCTTGGAGCCTTGGACGCAATGCACCGGCCAAAGAGTCTGTGATTGTGAACGTCACACATCAATAAGCCAAACCCACTATAATGTGTATGTGAATGTATAACATAATAAACGAAGTACTAGACCATTCCACTACACCCATGATCGACTACAGAACATTCAGCATCGATTTCGGCCCAACAAATTTCCATTTTTATCGTCTGCTATACCTGGTCCGTGTCGATTATTTCGCCCGATTCCTTAGGTCTCGAAAGCTTTTTTTGAGCGGCATGGAAAGGAAAAAAGTCTTTGCGATTTTTGACGGGCCACCACCACGACAACTGCAGGAAGAGAGGAGGCGGGGGCGCCAGCAGCTCAGGAATGAATGCAAAATTTCCTTCGCAATCGCATGTCTGCAACTGCAATAAAAAAAATCCTACTTTTTATGAGGACGCTGTTTGCATTGACAGCAGGTCTTGGGGCTCGACTAAAATTTGCGCTGCGTTTCATCATCGCACGCGTCCATGAAAGGTCCTAGCACTTCTCCACATCGCAACATTCTTTTTTCTTTTCGTACGTAAATGGCACCCCGCCGTCGTGATTTTTTGCGAAGCTCTGATGATCTTCTGGGTGCCAGTCTTGGGACCACACGATGACCCTGATGAAGATGTAATTTTGACACGTAAGCAGAGCGTCAACAACAAAGGCAGCAGCTTTTTTGTTGCAGAAAACACAAAGACGCTGCCACACACTTGTTTCAATACACGTAAACAAGAGAAGTAGAATCGAAGGCAGTCTCGAATCGGCTAATACTAGAGAAATCTACCTTCCCTTCCCCCTGCATTTCTCAACAAAGGCGACGACGTCATCCTTGTATTTTCCATAATCCGCGCCGCTGACGGCTAGATTGCCCCCTTTACTTATCCGCTGCAAAAGAATCGGGAATAATATCGACGCACCGCAACCGCATAAAGCGAAATTAAAAGCTACAACTTGAAAATACAAATTTTTGTTTCATGTGTCGTTAAATGATGCGTCTATAATGTCGACAAAGAAGCAAGAAGAACGTCTCGACTTCAAGCACAGTACTGCTATCGCAGTGGTGCGTAATATCTTCATGCGACTCTTTTGCCATGTGGATACCCATGAAATCGTGCTGAAAGTCCACTACTATGATGGCCGTTTCGTCGTTGTTCAGCACTTCGTCGGCTGGCCTTGGTGCCGGCCCGGTCTCGAACTGAGGTATCGCTTTTGGCCGTGTCTGGCTGTATCTTCCCCGATCTGGGGAGGACATCCCGGCTTGCAGTGGGGGTGCGGCAGAGTCCCGGTACACTACGTCCTTGTCGAAGGTCACGCCTTTTTTGTCGTCGTCCTGTTTCTTCTTCTCATCCGGTGTGGTCGGGGTCTTTGCCGCTTCGCCTTCCCCATCCATCCTCAGCTTGCTTGGCGACGTGGCCCCGCAACAACCAACCATTTTTGCAGCCTTGTCCTGCACTAAACTTCACAAGGAGATGTTGAAGCAGCCCCGATACAAGCTTCAAGCTCAACTACCTCAAGCAACAAACTACACAAATTGGAACTACATCAAAGTGAAATTTCTTTCCCGTGCTTCTCTGATGATGCACGGTCTACTAGTGCATCCCGTAGGAAAAGGCACCGTAAAGATCGCTTTTCAGCTTTATTGCCGTCTCGGTGTTCACTTCTTTTCAACTTTTTTAATATCATACACTGAAATAAAAGTGGCTGCTGCATCAAATACAAATAGCAAGAAGTACTCGCTGTCCTTTTCGACAATAAAAATAGCGGGAGTAAGTAATTGAATTGATAAACGGACGCAATAGGTGCGCTTAAGCAAATTTTTCTGAGGGATCTGGAATAAAAGCATTCAAAGGAATGCAGTGTGTGGCACTGTATAAAGTCAAGCTAAATCACGTCGATATCGCCGTCCCTGCCTCGTCCAATTATTTGGCAGGACCAGAAAAACAAAACTTCAATCACATGTGATCACACTAGCACCTAAAGGTCTCTGACAGTCATGCCCTCTGTCGGGCAGCTATCGTTGTGCAACTCCCTGCACAGTAGCACTTTTCATGTAATGGCGATTCTACTGAAACTATGTCTACTTACTCTCTTGCTCTTGTTCTCTTTCCTCTCCTCAGGTCGCTGTTGAGATGAAGGAAAAAAAAACGCACGTCAATGCAATGCGGCTCCTGTTGCTCTCTGTTATAGTTTCGTGTCGTTTTTCGTTTTCCGTGTGTTAGTCTTTCTCTTTGATGTTTCGTATCGCGCGAAAGAACATACTCGTGTGTTTTCGGATGATCTAGCACCAGTTCATCTTGTCATCATCATGTCAAGAATCACAACAAGACCTGCGAGAAGTGCATACTTCTTGACGGCTGGATAACAAGAACTAACAGTTTATGCGTTTCTGATGTTTGTTCATCGTGCGAACGTAGAAAGATCCCGCGATTCGTACAACAAGTTGAAATTGTGCGAAATCTATGACAGGAACCTATATTAAAATACACTACGTCGTGATCTCCTGCTGATAAAAAAACTTCTCGTCTTGTAGTTCTTGCAGCTTCATGCTCATCCGACTACTTCTCCGCTGGGTACATAATACCCACAACGTGGTTGCCAGGACCGTCTTCTGTAAATCTCGTCGGATGTCGACTCTTCTCGGACTATGGAAGTAGACGCAGAGACACCCTTTCTTGTGACACGTGAGAATGTGACTGACTTTCTTGCACTAGAATTCCTAGTTGTACACGACCGTTGAGAATATATTGACTTGGAAGAAGCTGCTCCGCGAAGATCCCTCGGTATACAAGAAAGAGCTGTTTTTTCTGCTCATGCAATAAAAGTCGAGGTCGACCCATCACACACTCTTCATGTGCCGCCGACGCCATGAAGGATTTTTCCCAGGGGATTGACATTGACATACTAGCAGCTCCCAATCGAGGCATGGCATCAACCGAAAAAAAAAACCTACGTACCTCAGAAGAGTTGCTCTCTGCCTCATAGCAATCGGAGACGTGCTAGGTTCTTGTGCGGCTGTGGCGGAGATGATGCAGAAGTGGAAGTAGGTGAAGGTGACTCCGAAGTGGTTATGTCTTTCGTTCCAGTCCTCGCTGGCGGAGGAGAATCATCTGACAGGATTTCTCTCATGCGTGCTTCCTCCACAAAGTAGTTCTCCGTCTTCACCTCGGCGTGCATGTCGTGAAAGCCGATGATTTTTATCAGGTTCGCAAACCTGACAAACAGTTCCTCGGCCCACCGCACCGCCACCGCGCCCTTGGGCCCGTCGAGAAAGAGACAGACGCGGTTCTGCAGTGGATGCTCTTGTATATTTTGAACAGATTTTTCACGTCGATCGCCATGATCTCCAACTTCCTCGTCCATTCCAAAAACTTGTCGGTTCTGTTGCTGCAGTTGCGCGAGCAGCATGGGAACCAGATCGAAGGCGTCACCCTCAAAGATCCGCAGCAAGTTGGGCTGGGATTGGATTTGGTGAATATGAGCAGTTTGCGTAGTTTCTCTACTTGATGCACTTCTTGCTCCATCGTCCTCCACCACTTTCGTGCAGTAACTGTCGGGTGTCCGACCTGCCGGCAACGCCCGATCGATAGCGAAGACACGGCCACGTTGAGGATTTTCCCCTGCTCCTTCAAAATATTGACACCAGTACTCGGTGCTGCTGCCCTGGAAAATGCCCGTTTCGACTATGACGTTGCAGTTTTGGTCCCGGACACTCTCCAGAAAAAATTGCGCCTCGCAGGGCAGCACTCCGCTGTCTACCGCGGGGCCCTGCGGAATGAGCGGGGTCGTGGTAGCTTTGCCACCACCTTCCGCTTCTTTGTCCCGTTCCTCTCGTCGAGTCGCCACGCCTGCCGACCACCGTTGTCGCATTGTCTCGGAAAATTCAAACGCAAATGAGCCTTCGTCAGGTGATTCATTGTCGGAAACTTCTACTGCTTCCGAGTGCCGGTCCCGAGTTGGTGTAGAACCGGACAAAGATGACTTCTTCTCGTGATCGACGAGAAAGTCCGACGCTGCGTAGCAATACGGCGTATTTTGCAAGCTACTTGCAGCTGGGAGCACAGGTTGACCTGCACCTGTTGGTCGAGTTCTGTGCCTTTGTTCTTCGTGCGCTGCATCATTTCTTTCATTCCCTGTTGAAAAGGCTGCAGAGCGCGAGACAAGATTCCTAACATCCCCGATCTGTTCCATCCAGTCGAGCAGAAGCGTTTGCGCCGACGGGGCGGCAACTGATGGGGAAGCTACAGGCTGCGTTTTCGCGTCAGTCGCTGTCTTTTGTTCCGGTACTACGTTGGAGCGGCCGACGTCACCAATTTCATCGTCCTGCACATCATTTGCGATTGCCTTTGCTCTCGCACACAATTTCGCTCCGCGTGACGCGTAGTCAGCGTTCCCGAAGAGTTCAGTCACGGACTCCGACTCCTCTGCGCCACCGGCACCGTATCTTCTATTTGCTGGCACGTGATGGTGATGCGAATTCTGTAATTCAGCTCGTTCCTGCTGGCTTATTTCACCACCTAGAGCTGCCAGTTCTACCTCTGGACACAGGTACCCGGAGAAGATTGCGGAAGCGAGCTATGGATCCACTATTCGCCAAACATGCGTATTTGCATTTGCTCGAAATATTGAAAAATCCTCAATAGATATTGATATGAAACGCCACCTATATGAACATACGCCACACCCTCCAAATCCCCTCCCCACCTCAGTGCCAACGAAGTTTCTCGCATCGCTGACACGACCGCCAGGGCACAACCATTCGCTGAGCTATCAGTTCCCTGCGTGTCTCAATCAAAGTCGGAAGACAATTTCTAATCCGAAAAATGAAAACAATCAACACCGGAAGGGTTCCAAAAATGAAATCAAGTAGCCATCTCTGGCCTGGTGAAACAACACAGAAAAACCCAAGCAGCCTCCACACACACACCATAGCGCGCGGGCAGTCGGAATATGACGTGGGGGGCCTACCCCTAAGGCACCCGGGCCAAGAAGAAGCGGGGCCCGAAGGCGGAACCGCGGCGCGGAGGTTAATTTGTTTTGGGGGCATTCTGATTTTTTTTGCGATTTTCAGCTGAGGGACAACATGTTGCGAAAATTTTATTTTGTGAAAAAGCGCGCCGAGAAAATTAAATTTAGGATGTTGGGTGTTTTGACCCAACCTGCGCCGCAGGTTTGTGCAGGTTGGGTCAAAACACCCAACCTGCTAAATTTAATTTTCTCAGCGCGCTTTTTCACGTTTCTGGCAGCGGCCGAGGAGGTTCGGCCGTTGCCAGAAACGGACAACATTCGCGACGAAAAGCCTGTGGCTGTTCGGAACAGCCACGGCGTTTTCATCATGTTCTCCGTCGTTGCCGTCTAGCTGAAAAGGCGCGCGCGACCTCGGGACGCTTCAATGCGGAAGCTTTCGTCTTTATCAACTCCTTCAAAGACGAAGAAGCATGCAAATTCCACCACTCCGCTCTGCTGTTTTTGAGTCGTTTTACCAGCAGGGCCGACGAGTTGGATAATATCGCACAAAAAAAGTTGCACAATTACACATTGCGTTGCAGGCCAAGCAAGACAGACAAGCTCTGTCATGCCGGATATACATAGGAGCCTAATTTCGTATGTATTTTCCTGTAGGATTTCTGCATTGCAGGTTTTCTCTCTCGTGCAGAGAAATTTGCATTGCTAAATTCACTACAAGTGTGTAACTGTATACACTTTTTTCGTGGGATAGATAAGAGTGACGATTCAATACTTATCGAGGAATTTTCAATAAACCGACCAAATCTAAATACGCAGGTTTGGGTATATCGTTGGGTATATATTCTACCTCTGGGCACAGGTACCCGGAGAAAATCGCGGTCGCGAGCGTTGTCTGCTGTAGCTGTTCATCAAATGCTGAATCAGGAGCACTACTAGCAGCGTCATGATCGCGCAGCTCCAGTATGTCGACTATCGGCGCTGCCAACGCTCGGAAGAGTGGCGCCCACGGGATAAGGCTTTTGTCTTCCGGAAATCGGGTCAGCAGGGTGTCGACGAGAGATGACGGGGAGGAGGACGAAGGTGGGGATTCTGAAGTGGTAGAAGCTCCTTCATTTTTAGCATGCCTCCCAGGTCGTTCCTTACTGCTATCGGCAGCTTTGACACCTTCCAGTACAAGAACTTGTGCAGCACTTGTAGCCTGCCCCGGATCTCCATGCTGCTGCTGCGCTTCCACTGCCTGCCACGCCAGGAAGAAGGAGTTTGGATCCGTCAAAAAGTCAGTGACACTCGGATCGTTCGCGTTAGAGACCGCAGCGAGAAACAGCTGGCTCGCGAAGGTTCCCAGAGGGCAGGAGGTCGTGTTGGGCGGTTCAGGTTCTCCTGCTTCTGCAGAATTCCTCGCAGGTCTTTTATGATCCACAACGGCTGTTGCACTGGAAAAGGAGCTCGCATGCTCCACATGCTCCAGCGCTGGCTGCACTAAATCTTCCCTACGCAGCTCCAGCTCGCCGTGTCGAGGGTACCACGCCCACAACCGCAGCGCGGAAAAAAAACGACGCCACCGGGTTCCGGCAGGGCTGAGGGCATTGGCCGACAAGGCGATCTCGCTGCCATCACAGATGGCCATAATTGAGTCTTACGTTGGTTCGGTTTACGGTTGGGTCATTGATATTTATTTTCTCAGGGTCAGGAGACAGCGTTTACGTTACTTGCGGCCCAGTATGTATGTACCTATGATCCCTGATGTCCTTGTGCTGTCGTCCGCCACAGGAAACAAATGACTTTCACGAAAGAGAACTTGGTTTGCAAGTTCTCACACTCAACTACGGAAACACGAATCAACAATAGAACCTAGAGCAGCACACTCTTACACTACAACCGACGGGGACCGCAGGCATACCAGAAGTTACTGACCGATGAAAAGGAGTACTTAATCAAAAAATTTGAAGTAGGAGAAGCCACGTCTTGCGGACTAGCAGCTTTCGTCGCACTAAGAACGTCGTAAAGTTGCTGATCATAATTCACAAAAACTAAAACACAGGTATTCATTTCCATTTGTCGACGAAGGAAAAATGGGCGACAACGGAGAGAAACCGAAAATCATAGGTTTCGTGAAGCAGTACTTTCGCACTGCATCCGGCATCAGGGCTCTTCCATCTTTTTCACGACTGCATCGTTGTCAACATCCGTTGATCTATGATAGACAAAGCATGTCGAAAAGATATTGGCTTTTCTCGGAATATCATTTTCTTGCCGCTGTGTAGTTCGCACCCCAGAGTCTGATTCGATGAATGTGTGATCAGACTACTTCACGCCCAACTAAAACCTAACTTCAATATGTTGTGATGTGACAAAGCATAACCATATGCATTTTTTACCACGGCGATTAAACACGTGGGTAATAGATACAATTATTGCAATCAATGCACGAACTCATTGATTATTGAGAGATTCCTACTGTATGTAAATAAAACTTGTGTTTGAGTAGCATGAAGGAAAAATAGAAATGCCGTAACTCGAACGATGACGATCCATCACAGGATCGAAGAACGTGCATGCATGCATGGACATCAAAACAGATACAGAAGAGATGAATGCACTGTAAGTTTTGCTCAAACAGCAAGTGGAAAGCAAAAGCGGAAATAAGCCCATTTGGCTTCATCAGTATTTCATTCACTGCATGGTCGTCATAATTGGTGCTCCAGAAGTTGCGTCTTCAAAAGGAGTCAATGCGATGATTAATGCTTTTTCGTAGCTCCCCTCGTTCACAAGTCGGCCGCTCGCCCGCTTATAGCAGGACCACGACGACCGGCAATCGTGTTCGTCTTTCTGCTTGAGGGCTCGGCCACCTCGTCCTCGCCACGATTTTGATACAGGAGGTCAAGGGGGACTTTGTGGACTTGTGTCCCGCTTACAAGCACGGACCGTCCATTGTGGTAGGTCTGAACATCGAAATACACCACTTGCTGGACGAAGTTGATTCGATTCTCTTGTACTTTTCCACCCAAACGGGAAGATGTAGGTGTAACCGGCGCAGTCTTGTAGCTTACTTCCTTCCGCAGCGTGTGCCACACGAAGAGCACCACCTGTGCGTAGTAATTCCGAATCCTCATCCTTTCCACCGTTTTGCCTCGAAGGGAAGTAGGGGAAGCCGACGGCACAGGAGATGATAGACCATCGTTATCATCTCCACCGCCACCAATCCCCGTGGCGCTCCGATCAAGAACGTCAAGTGTTTCTACCACACCCGTCAGGTCGATCGGCAGCCGGGAGTTCCCCGCCGCGCTCAGCAGCGTGCTCACCACCGCTCGGCTTTCCCGGTATACCGCGTAGCCGAGGACGGTGAAAGTGAAGGAGTAGAGGTGCTTCGTGGAAAACTTGTGGGGATGTCGGGGGTCTGGCATTTGTTTAACAGGAACATCGCGGATTACGACCGAGATGGTGGAGCCAGCGTTTGGTCCGCAAGTTCGAATGAAGGACTGCGCGGCGGAGACTAGATTGTATCAAGTGGAAATAATGGTATCTGTGCTGCGAGCGAGTTGTTGTAGCTTTTTTTTTAGTTGGACAAATCATGAAGATCTATGTGCGTCGCTCTCGTTCATCTTCATTGTTCCTGTCATGCAATCTTGAGGAGCAGCTTGGTGTTGCTGTTGGTCCCTGTGCAAGGCCATCTATAATGAATCGTAGGCACTAGAGGCACGGCATACTTTATGCATGACAAGCGGTGGTGCCTGTCTGTCTACAATTTGTTCCTCTGCTCGCACAGACTAGCAGTTTTCCGTTCCATACAGCAGCAGTGACCGCGTCGTTGTTCCTCTTTCCTCGCGCCGCTTGCTGCCAAGTAGAACTCGGATGATTGATTTCCTTCTGAAGCATCTGCGCCAAGTTTGACCCGAGGTTCTTGCAGTGTCGCAACGCCCGTTCACGTTGGTTGGGACCACCTGCTTGATCTGACTGCTGGTGTTGGTGCCCAATTTCCACTTGCCGATATTTCGATCTTACTTCTCCATCACAAGTAGCGGGCCTCACCTGATGGCGCTCTCCTCCAGTGTCATCATCTGCAGATAAAGGTGCAGCATCCCCAGCGCTGTTTGGCTCGCAGCTACCTTCAACTACGCCGGCGACTGCAGTTGAAGTTCTTGTGCCAGCCGCTTCATCTGCGTCGTCCCCTTGTTCTTTTTTACTAGAAGTGCTCGGTCTCCGGTGTAAGCGGCTCAAACCATCGGCACTATTGGCGATCAGGAGTGCGTAAAAAGCAACTACCCCGGTCGACGTCCATAGGCGGAACGGCTTCCGAGGCGGCAACAGAGTCGAGGATACTGCGCGGCCCGGCATTTATCGCTGCTGCGGCTAACACGGCGCTGCTTACTAATGTGGGTTTGATGCTTTGGCCGTCAAAAAAAACTTTTGTGCATATGTTTCTTATCGACGAGGAAGGTCCTCTCTTTCTGTTTGCGTCCTGTCCGATTTGATGTCGCGGCACGGCAGACAAAAAAAATCGTCGTGAAACTTAAATAACAGTAGAAGTACTGGGAGGAGCAGCGACTACATGATTGTGCTTACCTCATCCTCAACAGAAACAGATATACAGAAATAACGGTAGCACCGAAACCATTTTACCGAACAAGGAACATCAACATCATCTGCCAAAAACCGAGCGTGGAGGTAGACATCGTATATAATACCGAAGATCGCGTGATCATAGAAGAGCCGCAAAGGTCCAATCCGACGCTTTTTCGCTGACTTGACTCTTCCAAAGAAGAAGAACCGATAGCGATGCCGAAGTATATGTGCACTAAGTTTCACAAAATGTTTCATGTTGCTGAGCAGATCGCGACTGCCGCGAGCTCTCTAGACAAAGCAAGAGGCTGCGGAGAGGCACGTCGCGACCTTTTTACTCGTGGTCCCTCCGACGTTTTGCTATTTTGATGTCATTCATCTCTGTATTCTTTTATTCGTGAAGTGCAGAGCATGCAGAGTAAGTAGCACTGCAGCTTGCGCCGAGATTTTCTGCGAATCTTGTGGATCGCAAACACACAGACCGATGCACGGGCGGAAGTTCATCTTACAGTTTGTGAGGATCGCATAGATTAGTGCAAGACGACCGCGGGCCGGGAAACAAGTTCTTGATCCGCACCAAGTCTTCCACCGCGCCAAGCGCCCTTTTCTACTCTCCGCAACGACCTGCTCCACAAAGCCACACATTTCCAGCTCCCGTCGTCCCCTGGTGGCCCTGCCCCTGGACGATCAGCCGCATTCGCATGAAGACGCAGTTCTTGCGACCACGCCCCCTCAGTCTACTCACAAGAACTGGTTAATATCCGCCATTGCAGGAGTGGAGATTGAGCAGGTGGTCGTGCTGTCAGTCTGGTCGACGAGGCGTTTATCTCTAGTACAACTTCTACTTTGCCGCGCTGCCCTTGTTTCCGGCTCCTGCGTTTGTGGGGGATGAGGTAGACTTTGCTGCAGATGAAGAGGATGCTCCACCGCCCCTTCTCGGCGACTTGCTGCTGCTCTCGGCTGCTCCGCCACTACTTCTCCCCGCAGACATCAGCATGGAGTTCACCGTGGCCTCGTCGTCCTCTAGGAAAACCCGGTCGGTGGGCACCTTCAGCTTCAGTTTGTGCTTCATGAACCCGCGCACGTAGCTGCTGGCCAGGTCCCACACGTCGTGGCAGTCCGGGGACGTCAACAGGTTCACGTCCGCCTTCTTCTTGATTAAGAGGAGAAAAACCTGCTGATCGAAGTTAATCGCAGCTAGGTGGAGCAATGTCATCCCCGTGTCCGGATCCCGCGTGTTTGGCGAGACGAAGGCCAGTATGAAAATGTGCAAAAGTCTGCTACTAGTATGTACCTCTTGCGTGGAAGAAGAAGATGAAGAACAAGAAGACGAATAAAAATGCAAATTCTAATATGGTGAAAAATGAAGTAGGTGACATTATATTTTCAACTTGTGGTGCGCGGATCCTCACTTGACTTCTTTGTTGTCAAAGTTCAAGAGGCAATAAGTACAAGTGACAGACTCTTCCATATGCATAACGTTCAAACCGGCGCGAAGCTTGGGAACGTCTTTCTCTTTGACGGCCTGGACGATCTCCTTCGGACCAATGTCGTAATCCGCAATGAGCCCCATCATCTTCTTCACCTCTTTCTCTTCCTGGGACTTCTTCTTTGCCGCTTTCTGCAGAAGTAAGTTGTTTTAAGACATGTGGAATTTTTGTGGAACTTCTAGTACAACGGTACTACCGCTTCCTTGGACGTCGAAGTACGTAGTCTCTACGTCTACTCACCTGATCGATCATGAGCGATATCGATTTTTGCGCCATGCATTAGCATGGCATCACGGGTGCTTTATTTTCTCAGAAATCATATATGAAAACAGCTACTGCAGTACCCTTATCACGTCGGTAACCACTTCTTGCGCGACCATGTGCCATCGTCCAATTAGCGCAGGATATGCAATGAAAACTTGTGCCGGCCGCCTCGGCGCAGCTTGCAAACTTGTGGTCATTCTCATTGTGCTTGTCAATGAGAAAAATGTTTTCATGGAACAGATGCATTTATAATCTCATCCGCGCGACAAGTTTGGCAACTTGACCAGTTCGGCTTCGCAACAAGAATTCACCCCGGATACTGGGTACTGCTCCTTCAGAAACATAGTTTCCTCGATGGCTGCTTCGATTTGTTCCGGGTTCTTTGACGCGACGGAGCGCATCAACAGGTCGACCTTCTCGTCTAGCTGCTCCTGCTGCACTTGTTTCAGCTCCGCGACGCGTTTCATCATCCCTCGGCATCGTTTGTTCAGCGGCCAGCAGTCCACCGCGTCGGCGATCGCTTTCGCCCGCTCCAACACGTCCTTCGCGGCCTCCAATTGCGGGATCGATAGAAAGTCGCACTTCCCGTTCTCGTAGCGCTCTAATATTTCTAGCACGGCCTCCTTCTGCAGCTTTGTGGATTTCGTCTCGTTGTCGCACTTGTTGAACTCGTTTACCCAGTCCGCCTGCTCCGCGAGCGACGGGACCTCGGCGTTCTCCACGAGCGGCGCCTGGTATCGGAGATCGGTGCCACCAGTCAGTGGGTCGCGAATCGGGAGCCCGGAATGGTCGACGGCGTACCTGAAATTATTTTAGCAGCCAGTTTTTTTTTTTTCGTCCTTACCTTATTCAGCGTATGCTGATTTTTGCACCTTTTTATTTTCGCGAAAACTTGCGAATGGTGTTCACTGTTTAGGAATGCTGGTTGGCAATCTACTTATCACGACGCAATGCTTTTTCATTCAGCCATGCCATTTTCACGTCTAACCAACTCCTAGCCCGCGACACGTCGATGAACGAAGTGCGACTTTGTTTTAAAGTCGTGCTTACCTTTGGTCCGTCGGTGCCATGAGGAGCAGCGTGTCGGGGTCTTCGTGGTCTTCCACCTGGAACACCGGATTCCTCGCGTCAAACTCCAACGCTGCTTGTTTTTCTTTCTCCCGCAAGACGTCGTCCACGAGACGCTCCTCTTCCAGTTGGTCTAACTCTGCTTCTATCAAATGCAAAAATGTCTGGGTCTGGAAGGATGCGAACTTGTGCTGCATACTTGGATCACACAAAAATCTGTCATGCTTAGACAGCAAAAGGCGCTCCTTTTCCTGTCGCCGAACGAAGGTTTTTGTCATGCGGATTTAGCATTGGGAAACCGTCTCAAAACCTGTGATGCTAGGCCTTGCATGGCACACCTTCCGTGTCAAGCAGACACAGCATCACAAACCTCAGGAGCAACCTTCCAGACACGGACATTTTTGCAATGTATAGCTTCTAAAAGGTACCCCTCCCGCACCAGCTTACTTGCGGATTCGTAGTTCTCCTCCACCAGAAAGCCCTCGTACGCCGACATGTAGGCGGATTCCACCAACGGAATGTCCTTCTGCAGCGCGTTCTGCCGGGACAAGTCCGCCAACTCGGACAACTTGTGCAGTTCCCGCCGCGTCTGCTCCTCCGACTTGGAGCCGTAGTCCAGCTTCTCCGCGCCGCCCACCTCCACTTCCCCAAACTCGTTGGTCCGGTGGATGGGCATCCGTTCCCGCTTCGACTTTTGGTACTGCTTCGCGGTCTGCGACGGCTTCAGCACGTTGGTCTGCCCCCCGGAAAAGTGGTTTTCCTCCGCGACCATGGTGCACTTCGGGTCGCCGGCGTAAATCTTGGTCAGGTCCCGCTTCACGCGCCAGTTGCGCCAAAAGTACAGGCCGTACACGACCACGACGAAGAACACGTACAGGCCGGAGAGCGACAAGGTGGCCACGACGCAGACCGTCGGGGGCATGGGGCCCCCGCGGCACTCGCCGGTGGCCGGGACCAGGTTGGACCCCGTGCACCGCAGCACCGGGATGGCGGGAAAGTAGTCCTGCGCGCACACGACGGTGCAGGTGGGCCCGCGGACGTAGGTGGTCCAGCCCTCCTGGCAGGGCGGCTTGCCCGCGTTCTCGATCTCGGGCAGCAGGCACTCCCGCACCTCGTGTTCGCAGGTCAGCCCCACGAAGGGCGGCTCGCAGGCGCAGTTGCACTCCAGAGTCACCTGGTTCCGGATGGCCACGCCCTTCCCGTTGCAGTGCTGGTCGCGGAAGCAGGGGCGGGCGCGCATCTCCGCGCGCCAGGCGTTGAGCTCCGACTGGACGAGGCACTGGATGGTGGTGTGCACCGGCTGTAGCAGCATTTCCGGGCGGCGGCACTCCTGCGATTCCACGGTGGGAAAGTACCCCGACTTGCAGTTCACGTTGCACTTTTTCCCCGGGTATCAAATGTAAAAATGTCTGGGTCTGGAAGAATGGAACTTGTGATGCTGCATTTGGATTCCAAAAAAATCTGTATTGCATGAGTACCAAAGTAGGGAATGCAATTTTTGCTACGCTGGTAGTAGTAGTAGTAGTACCATTTAACTCCTGGCGGGTGGGCGTTGGAACAGATTTAGCCTCTGCCAATACCTGGGCGTTAGAACAGATTTAGCCTCTGCCGATACCCCTAGGTGGAGACGCGGCCCACTTCCTAACTACCACCCGGCTGCACCTGCAAAACCGCTATCGATTGCTTACGCATGGCTACAACCAGTGGGCGCTATGTGTGGCTGACCTGCCTTACCATCCAAGCCCGCGAGCAAGGTGGAGCTCCAGTATTGCCTTGATGGGTTAGTCTTACAAACTTGCTCAAAGACTTACTTCTGTGACCGGTTGCGCGCTAAAAAATATACAGGGGGTCCAATGATCAGACACGGCGATCCTATCACGATGGCGGACGACCCAACGGCGTGCCCCTTTCAAACACTTCTTACCGATCTGCTTCCCGCACCCTTTTGTATGCGTTTTCAGAGAATCGGCCCGCGGAGCTCCGCGCTTGCAGAGCCGCCACCGCGCCCGCCCCGGGGGGACCCCTTGGGGAAGGGGGGCGCTGCCTTAGCGCAGTCTTTAAATTAGCATCCCTGGCGCCACTTTGGTAATAAACCTAGTCCGAACGACTTCGACATGCAAACTCCCAGACAGTTGCAGCTCTTTTTTTTGTTCTTTAGTCCTTCCCCCCCGCTCGTCTTTTTTTCTCTTCTTTTTCCCTAATGCCCCACTCCCCTTTTCTTCTGTGCCCCGCCTCCGTCTTCTCTTTCGTGCTTCTGCTTTTCCCCGTCTCGAGGTTCTTTTTTAGTGCGCCAGCACCGGCAAAAGGCTCACTTTAGGAGCGCCTGCGAAAAGGGGTCTAGCGCTACTAGGATCCAGCGATCGCGTCGCGGGGAAAAAAAGCACCACGATGGTGCTGCCGCTCCACACTGGAGGAACAAAAAGAAACGGATCCGCTGATCTCGGTCTGCCTTCTCGACCAGACCCCGGCAGGAGCTTATAGCGCTAGGAAAGTGGTAAAAGAAAGTAAAAAAAAGGGTGCCGATTTTGTACGAGGTTATCTCCCCGATGAGTAAACCCTAGTGATCTTCTACTTGAAGCTCCTGCCGTCATACAAATCGATCTTCAACCTGCATCTGTGTCGATGAAAAAAGAGAAAACGGAAGGTGATCTAAAGCAGCAAGCTAAAAGCTAATCTGAACACAGCGCGATGCAGAAACGCAGTTTGTCATGCAGAATAGGCAACACCTAGAAGCTCAGAAAATTGTCATGCTGAGCCAGCACCTGTGGCCTCTTCGTGATACGCCACCCAGCATCACAACTTTCCAGACCTAGACATTTTTGCATTCCTACGCTGAGAAGGCATTTGTCATGCGGAATAGGCATCAAGAAGCCTGCAAAAAATCTGTATTGCTAGGGTATGCATCACAGACATCATGGCTCATGCAAAACGTGCATGATAAATCTCGCATTCTTCCAGACCCAGACATTTTTACATTTGATACTGGGGAAATGAACTTGCCCTCCAAACACGGTTGGGCGGCGTATGGCGTTCTCAAACGTTACATTCTCAATTGTTACATGAATTTGTAATGCAAGAACCGCAACAGTGAAAGGGGGAAAATTGCAGAAATTGCATTACAAATCCCGCGCAGATTTAGGTGCTCTTTAGCCCTTCGCAAATTTGTCATGCGAAGCAGCTTGATCTTGTGGATTTTAACTCTAGACTGCGCGGGCTGTAATTCTAATTCAAACCAATTTCAAAGCAATTTCAAAATTCCAGCATTTTCATGCTGTGGCAACCCCGCGGGCCTCCGCGGTGTGCGATTTTTCATTGCATACAGCCCCACAAACTTGACTGCAACGGGAATGCCAAAAGCCCGCCAAAGAGCTGGCGGGCCTAACGACGGGCCGCCCGCGGCCATGAATGTCGGGGCCCGCGCGTCTGGTGTGGCCTTTCCACACGGAGCCCCACACCCGGAGCGGCGCCGGCCTTTGCAACATGTGACAGTACGCGATGGGCCCGAGCGATTTACACTGGCGGAGCAAACCTGCCGCACGCAGGGGCGCCACAATCAAATAATGGGCGCCGGGCGCCTGGCTGCCGCCCCGGTTTGGCAACCCCATACAGGCATAGACACTGCGCCATGGGCAGCAAGACACGGGGCGCCCACGCCCACCCCCGATCGGCACGGGCGATACGAATCGGGCAGGCGCGGCACCTCTCCCAAGAATACCGGCGCCGGCAGGTAGTGCCTGCGCCAAGGGCCCGGCGGCGCGGCTCGTTGGCAATCAGTGGGCTGCGGGGCTTCGCGGCAATCGGCATCGACACGGGCGAAGAGCTGCACGCCCCTGCCCGATGGACCGCTTCGCACACCGGTACGCGAGGCCCCACCGAATTGCCGACGGCTGCCCTTCGGAAATTCCGAAGCCCATCAATGCCCTTCGCTGATTTCAAAACGCCATCGGCCATCTCGCTCGCTTTCAAAATCCCATCAAGCCTCCTGCGCAATTTCAAAACGTCATCAAGCATTTTGGCCAATTTCAAAACGTCATCAAGACGATATTCAAAATGCCGTCAGAATTCCGTCAGATTCCGTCAGAATTCCGTCAGAACCAAGCTACCCATCGGGGAACGGAATTCTGACAGAATTCTGATGGCGTTTTGAAATGCCTTGATGATATTATTTGGAATGTGCCCAAGCCCTATTTTTCTTTCTTTGCCCAGCGGGTGTCGCCGCCCGATGGAGTTTACTGAACCAGGGGCCCACCCCCTCCGGCTTTCCTCCTTGTCCTGTCGGGCGTCGCAAATTTGCTCCGAAGAGCGGCCACGCGCTGCAGGAAGGATGCCGCATGCTCCAGGCGGCCCTTCGCCTTCACGGCGCGACGTTGACTACGTAGCGCAGAGCCGCGAGGGAGACTATCCCCGCCGCGGCCCCGTCTGCGTCCTCTTCCCGTCCGTCTCAGGTAGCCTCGCGACCTACGAGCAGGCGCGCGGACCACTGCAACACCAAGACGAGGAATTTTCCCCGGCAAGTCGCCCGCGCGCTGGTTCTTCAGAGCCCATCCCGAAGCCCGCCGCGCTTGCTTCCCTCGGCGATGCTGCCCTCCGGGCGCAACGTCTGCTTCTGACGGTCGCAGGGCGCTTTTTGGCTTGCCTTGCGACGAAAAAAGGGGCAGGGGAGGAACCCATGCAACAGACTGCGGTGCTCGCAGGCGCCCACCTAACGAAGCCGAGAAACCCAGCGTCACATGGACGCTGCGAGTCTATCCTGTGGCCGTTCGGATCGGAGTTACGACCCGCGGGCAATGTAGAGTTGGCCAACGACGAGAGCCGTATTTCGGCCCAAGTATATTGCCACGCACTTCGGCGCGACCCAACGCACACAGTGGCGCACTAGCTCCTCCGCTGGATTCAGCCCGCAGCGGTCTGAACTGGGCGAAAAAGAAGCAAATGCGCCGAAACATCAAGACCAAACCGCAGCGCCTTCTAGCACGCAGGCCGCGCCATTGGAGCTTTGATTTTTGAAAAGCCCCACAGTTTGAAAGTAGTTTGAAATTGTTTTGAAATCATTTCTGGGCCGTGCGGTCCAGCGTTAATGGATTACGATGGTAGTTTTGCATGACAAATCATGTAACAGTTGAGAATGTAACGTTTGAGAATCCCATACGGCGTTAATGTTGGGGATCTCCCGTTCGGTGGCGCCCACGCACTTCCCGGTCAAAAGCACGTTCCCCGGCTTGTTTGCCTCCGCAAACGCTGCCATCGCCTCGTCCTCCGACAGTTCCGTCAGCGAAAGCGGCAGCATCGCACACACGGAAGCCACCGCCGTGCCCGTGTCGGCGTCCTCCAGGTTGCCGTCGCTGCACTCGAGCACCGGCTCGTAGTACCGCCGATTTGCCTCCTTGCCGCCTGTAGTCATGGTGCGTTGGAACAATTACAAGATTCTATTTCTTTTGTTGGGTTTTCGTTTTTTATCTGAGTGAAAAAAAACAGAACGTCTCAATAACAATAAACATCGACTGCATAATATTGCAATGTAAAATCAAAATTGAAGTTTAAGTAGATCACTGCTCAACCTATCAGTATCTCTATCTTCATCAAAGTTTCCTACTTATTTTACCGCAAACAACGGTGCAGATGTCCCCGCCGGTGAGTATGGGGTTCTCCCCCGGCCCATACTCTTTGCAGTAATCCGTCGGGCCCAGCACGTCCCCCACGTCGCAGGTCTTCGTGGTCACGCAGGACATGATGATGACCGGGATCAGACAGGCGAGGTACAGTATCAGCCCGAAGCACACCACCTTCAGCAGCGCTATCTCTTGCGGTCCGCATTCCGGTACCATAATCAGGTCGGTTATCTCTTTGATCGACGTGGCGCTCTGCAAAGTCGCGAGCTTGGATTTTTTCGGCTTGGCCACCACACCCTGGACTACACCAGGCTGCGAGCCTGGTTGTAGTGTGGCTAGCTGCATGCTGCCGGGTGGATCAGGCTCGATGGCCTTCATGGCGCTAATATTTCTTGCTGAAGATGCTGTGGTAGTTGTTCCAGCTTTCTTGATTTCTTCGGGGTGTTCTATTTTCACCGGGTGATGTATCGCAGGACTGGTCCTCGCCACTTAGCGATATTGTCAAGCTTTCTTTGCGGAAGATGTTGAAGCCTTGCATCGTCAAGCACGGTAGAAGTTGGGTCCATGTTCGTGTTCCTCGGTTTCGTCTCTCTCATCAGAGAAGTTGGGTTTCAAAAAAAACCGTTCTTCCGCAGCGTGTTGACATGATCAATTTGCACAACCACGCTGTGTCCGTGGCGCGGCCAGGAAGCTGCTCTACTTCTCAATGCTTAGCATGTTCCACTGCATCCGAAAGCCAGCTCTTCTCTGCCAGGTTTTCGTTTTTCTTGTTCGGCAGGAACTGCCCCTCTTGGAAAGCGGCCGGCGGTAATTTCACACTTAGTGTACGAAGAGCAGGTCTCACTGAAGAAGATCCACGCGGGGAGAAGCCGTGCACGACCCTTCACCGGACATAAGAACGATGTGCGGCGAGGCACCGTCGAGCGATCGATGCTCTCCAAATGTGAATATCGCTACGACCGATGAAGAACTGGAATGAAATAACAAATTGCGCGACGACCAAAATAACGGTAACATCAAAATTAATCTTTAGTCTCTTGAAAAAAACAGCGCCCGAATAAATAAAGCTCAACACTAAGGATGACTAATGCCAGAGAAGATATGAGTCGTCCTGGAACTGAAAATCGCGGTATTTCGAAAGTGCAACAGCAACACTAGGCACCGAAAGCGAAACTGGTGCTTGTTATGATAGCTCATTCTCGTCATACAGATAGCATGCATTCAGTGCAATGGAGTCCTGCGAAGGTAGATAACGTTGTATCGCGAACGAAAATGACGATCCAAAGTTTGCACATCCTGAGCGATGTTGCTCAGCAGGAATCTAACAGTAGCAGTCCCGGGAAGTAAACGATATTGGCATCGACATACTCGTCGCTTCCTAACTCTCGACTCTTTCCTCTCATCCTCGTTGAAGCAACTAGTTCCCTCGCTCTGCTCAGCAGGTACAGACGAACCGGTGTCAATGTCTCTCTCTCGAATGCTAATATCGGGCAACGATCCAACTAGTCTACGAGTTTTTAGACGAAGGAGCGACCCTCTTTTTCTATTCTTTTCCGAACCATCCCTGATAGACAGCGTTCGTTGAAGATGCACCTTATTCCATACGTACCTCAGCTAACAAGTAACAACGAAAGTCTTCAAAAATTCAAAGTAAAGAACAACCTTTCGAAGCCGAGCTAGTGCGAGGACAGTTAACGAGTCATTGGATTCGAACGAGATAAAGATGGACCGAGAACTTGTACTAGCGGTAGCGCTGCGAACAAGACACAGGTAGCGTTGCTGAGCTATGCGAGGGCAGTCAGTCATCAAGCGAGACGCCGCAGTTCTCGTGGGAGCAGGTGTGTGGCCTTTTCGTTTCATACAATCGACTTTAGCTTCCGGCTCCATGCAGTTCGTTGTCTCTTTCCTTGATGTGGTCCTATGTGTAATAGTTGCGCGGCTGAAAAGATGAACAATGATCTGTCGAACTAGTTTCTCGACGAACAGCTGTGCGTGCGGTGCCTTTGCTTTTCGCTAGCGGGTAAATATGATCAGAAGTAAGATCACAAATAATTTAACAAATTGTTTACATGCAGACCAGAAGTACAACTAGTACAGGAAGACGGCAACAGGATCAAAAGAAGCAAGTGGCTAGTCGTGCATTTCTTTGGAGCAGCATCTTCTAATGCGTAATATGCGTAAGCGTATTGTTACTTTGGCAGAAAAGCTTGTCATCGTTGCAGTGTCGGTCATGATTCGACGTCCGCGATAATGATAAATGGGTTCGATTAGTTCAGAGTCGTCGGTTTTCTTTGGAGGGAAGCGGAAACATGCTGTACGGCTTACTACATACGCATATCAGGTGGGACTAAGCTCGACAGCTAAGATTTTCTAGTGTGCTGATTGGTGGATTGAAGCCAAAAGCTCCAGGCGCACCCCCCACAACATCCACATGCACCTAATCATACTCCGGCATAGAAATGTCGTCAAAAGTCGACGTCAAGTTCAAGTATGGAAAACAGAAACACCACATGTCTTCAAAATTCATTCGAAGAATATGAAAGCATCTTACACTTTACTTCCTCCTTGGTCGTTCCGTCGCTCTACTGAGAGGAGCGATAAAACAGGTAAACCAGCGTTGTTGTGCGTCCAACTACATACTTGTCCTACATAAAAATTGTGTTTGTACACTAAAGCAGCATAGTTACCTTGTATTTCGTAACTGCGTTCTTAGCACAAGTCCTATAATTTTCGGACGATATTGGAAGGCCCGCGTCGATCAGGGAAGAAGTTTCCCATACGCAGGATCATCATGGTCCTCACCATCGTGAAAAAGCTGACAGCTTCCTCCTGCTCAGTTGTGCTGTCTCTGGGTTGCGTGTCTGGTGTCTCTCCGCTGAGTTGTGTCGCGCTTCGTTAATCTTGGTTCGGCTCGCTCATCCAGTTTCGTGCATCTTGGTGCATATGTCTGTATTCATTTCTTCTCTCTCCATTATTCTGGTTTTTCTCAAATATGTGCAGTGTATCGTCCGGAATCTCTATGTGTTCTTCTCTCTCTCCATCAATGTTATCTCTATCTCATCTCGGCTGTCTCTGGCAAGTCTTGAAAATGTTCATATTCTGTCGTGGTCTCATAGAGCGCAGTTTGCACTGGTGCAAGGCAATGGCGGACCTGTCCAGAGTTCCCTACTAGTACTTCTGCCTCGACCAGGCTTTTTTTCTCAAGCCTTTAAACTCGATGTTGTCAGGATCGCGCGGACATCGTCCAAAAAGCTCCGTTTCGCATCTGTGTGCGGCTAGGACTTCTTCAAGAAAAAGAACATTTACACCGGTTGGTAAATGTCATAGAACTGAGGCATTGGTAGCGTTATTTCAAGGAAAAAGGGTAGTAAATATACAGACAGCATGGGCCACTCAATGACAGAACAGAAGGATCGCCGACTCCTTCTTTATCTTTCTCTCCACGTTACCGTTAGTTTTGTCAATAATAACTACGTCATCAGCATCACCAATATAATACTAGCGCATTGTAAGTATATGCTTTCAACATCACCTCCTGCCAGTATGAATTTTACGAAAAGATCAATACAGCAGAAGGTAAGTCGGAAGCAAATACTTCTGAACCACTCACAGTTACTACCACTCGAAAAAAAATAATTTGAGAGACTGAGAGCGCAGACCCCGCGGGGTGTTGAATAGCGTGCAAAAACGTTCTCAAGTCTCAACCTGCCTCATCTTCAGATAAGTCGTCGAATACGGAATTCACGACCTAACGCATTTTCGCATGAGGAGCTCCGTGTCTCCATACGTATTTCATTGATTTTCAGTAGCATATTCGATAGTAAAATAAAGTAGCAAGCAAAATCAGAAGTAGCATAATCGAAAAAAAAATAAGCAGCAGAATGTAAACACCATGACAGAGAAGTAGCTATTTTTCATGGGTTTTGTCTGTAGTCTCAGAAAGAGAAAGTAAGTAGATATGTAGCTGCATTGCAAGCTGTAGAGCAAGAGCTAGTGCTTGCAAAGGTGACTCATTGGTCCATTTCACCTACAAAGGTGGGTCGCTATAATGCTGGGCGTCGTCGTGTTTATAATGTCCTGGCAGTTTCGTACTTATTCGTTTCGAGACGAAAAATGGGTGGATGCCTTTCGAGCCGAAAAAAAAGCTTCCAAAATCTTCCGTCAGTTCAGTTCTTGTTTGGACATTTTTCGTCGCTGCACTTTTCTTGTATAGCAGTCGCTCGGTGAGAGGCGAAGCTAATTTGGTTGTCTTCGGTGCCCCCTGTATAGAACTATACAGGAGAAACCAAAAGCAAAGGCTTATCTCAGATACTCAATCAGGGTCGCCTTTAATTTTGTTTACGGATGTAATTAGCTTCGATCGCCGCTTAAAAAAATACTGCTTTAATATGTGCAAGGATTTCTTCTTCCCCCTCGACCCAAGATTTGTCCATGTGCGAGAACTCCTACATTTTCGTCCATTCTCTCTCCACCCATTCTTGGATTCTTTGTTTGTCCAGGTATTTCCCGATAAAGACCAACTTCACCGCGTCAATCTCCGAGCCGTCCTGCCTTTTTGGCAGCTTTTTCATGTCGTATTCGGTGATTTCGTAGTTCTCCCGTCGCCCCTGAATCAAATACAGTTTGTTATCCCTTGTGCGCACAAACCCCTTCATTCGCTGCAGCAAACCGTGGCGCCCGAGCTCTTTCAGCACGGACTTCTCGTTTTGGATAAACTGCTCTAATTTCTCGAATTTCTCCACTAAGGGCAATTGATTCTCGGCGTCGGCGAGCGGGATGGTGACTGGGACGACCGTCAGGGCCGGGTGCTTGTGCGCCATGTCACCGTGGTGGTGGTGATGATGGCCACCAGGGTGGTGGTGATGGTGGTGGTGGTGGTTATGTCCCCCGTGCGTTGTGTGGCTGTGATCATCATCATCATCATCATCATGATCGTGACCGCCACAGCAGCCACCGCCACCTCCACCACCTCCGTGGGAGTGGTGGTGGTGTCCGTGGTTGTGGTTTCCGCAGCACCCACCACCACCTCCTGCTGCCGCTCCGTTGTTCGCGTTGATATTACTGTGCGGGCAATTGCCGTTGCCGCAGGGCGGGCGCGCGATGGACGCCTGGAGAGCTTTCTGCCACTTTTCAATCCCGTACAGGTCGGTGTCGAGGATCTGTGTTGAAAATTTGAAAGTGGAAGTTCCGATTCTCTACTTTGAAGATTCTCCTCCACGTAGATTCAAACTATGATTTTTCCTTTTTGAAATGCTGCAAAAAAGACAAATTTGGTTGAGTGCTATCCTCTAACTATGTATAATACCTGATTCAGCGGCACGAGCGCCTTGCTGTTGTGGATTTCCATGAGACTTTCCGCGGGTTTTTTCAGCGTGTCTTGCAAGTGTTTTCTCAGCGTCTTCAAGTCCTCCTCTTCCATCTTCCCCACCCCCGCGTATTCCCCCAATTTGTTCAAAAACAACCGGTTGGCGTGCTTGATCTGGTTCTCGCCCGTGGCGTCGAGTCCGTCCTCCCACAATTCCGGCGCCTCGTCGTTGAGAAGGCTTTGCGCGACAACGGACAGCTCGTTCTTTCTAACCGTCTTTTTGCCCTTAATCTGCTCGAGAAGCACGCGGGAGTCCGCGACACAAAGCACCGCGTCCAACTTCAACCTGAGAAAGTAAGTACATGAGTTGCCCTTCTTAAGTTTATCTTTATTCAGATCGGAGCTTCAAGAACCGAATCTACTCCAATGTTTATCAAAATTCCTGTAGGAGTGCAAAGTTTTTTCTGCAAATTTGTTGGTGCATGTGCAAAGCGCAAGACTTCATCTACATAGACCGTGCCTCTAGAGTAAAGATGGATGTGACTCTAAATTTTCGGCTAAATCCATACTACAGTACCTTAAACTGAGCAAGGAGTCTTCCTCGAACAAGTCCATGATCGGTTTCGGGTCCGCGACGCCGCTCAATTCGATGACGACGGCGACGAAGTTCTGGTTTTCCGACTCCAGCAAACTGTGCAAAGCCTGCTTCAAATCGCCCGACTTGGTGCAGCACGCACACCCGCCGGCGACGCCCTTCACCTGCCACCCGGCGTTCTGTCCGAGGAGATCCGCGTCGATGTTCCCCGCACCCACGTCGTTTTCCAAAACGAAGATCGGGCCCATGCCGCCCTTCAAGATCGTGTTCTTCAGAATGGTGGTCTTGCCCGCGCCCAAGGGCCCGGTCAGAATCGTCACGGGAATCCGCGTGTCCACAAAACTCAAGGTGTTGTGCGGTTCCGGCTCGGCGTTCCAGGAGAGGCCTGCTGGTAGTTGTGGTGGATTGTGGTTGCCGTGATTGTGCGCATGATGTTGAGGACCATGGCGGTTAATATTCTGGGGCTGCTGGGGCTGAATTGAGTTCATGATGTTCTGCAGCGCAGGCACCAGTTGTGGGCCATTATTTCTGACGAGTCCAGCTCTCGGGCCGCCGATTGATCCTCTGGCAAAGGCCTTTGGGGGAGCGATTTGAAGTGGCGCGTTGTTCATTCCGGTGTGCGGGTGGTGATGGTGGCCGCCACACGCTCCGCCGTGCGGGCACGCACCGCCTGCTCCCGTGGCGGGAGTATGGCCGCCACACGCTCCGCCGTGCGGGCACGCACCGCCTGCTCCTGCGGCGGGGGTAGTTGCTGGCCCGTGATGGTGGCCACCACACGCTCCGCCGTGCGGGCACGCGCCGCCTGTCCCCGCTGCTGGCGCGGCCGCCGGTGCGGCGGCGGGGGAATGCGAATGATGGCAACAGGAGCCGCCATGCGGACAACCACCCGAAGATGGTGCAGCAGGAGATGCAGTAACTGGCGTCGTTGTTCCTGCGGCAGGTGTGGCTGCTGCTGCCGGTGTCTGATGCGGATGCCCCGGGCAGCAACCCCCGGAATGCTGGTGCGGGCAACCGCCAGAAGGTGCAGCTGCGGTAGATGCGGCTGGAGTAGTTACAACCGGAGATGAAGCAACAGGACCTGAAGCTGTAGATCCGGCCGCCGGGGTCGGATGCCCATACCCTGGGCAGCAACCCCCGCCGTGATGGTGCGGGCAACTACCGCCTGAAGAAGGTGCAGCTGCGGGAGATGCGGCTGGAGTAGTTACAACCGGAGATGAAGCAACAGGACCTGAAGCTGTAGATCCGGCCGCCGGGGTCGGATGCCCATACCCTGGGCAGCAACCCCCGCCGTGATGGTGCGGGCAACTACCGCCTGAAGAAGGTGCAGCTGCGGGAGATGCGGCTGGAGTAGTTACAACCGGAGATGAAGCAACAGGACCTGAAGCTGTAGATCCGGCCGCCGGGGTCGGATGCCCATACCCTGGGCAGCAACCCCCGCCGTGATGGTGCGGGCAACTACCGCCTGAAGAAGGTGCAGCTGCGGGAGATGCGGCTGGCGGTGGTGGTGATGCCGCGCCTGAAGATGAGGCGGGTGCTTGCTGCTGGTGTTGGGCGGGAGGTACAACGCCGTGATTGTGCCCGCATGTCCCACTACCGCAGCCACCGCCCCCTGCAACGATGCTGGCGGGAATCGGTCCCACAGCGCTCCCCGGGGAGCTTGGAGTGGAGTTTGCTGAAAGAGATCCACCTGCAGCGGTGGTGCTTGGCGTCAGCGGGAAAGTGCTGTTTGCGCAACTGGGACAACCACCGCAGGACGACGCCGCCCCGGGAGATGCGGTCACGTTTATCTGTGCTGGTCCTTGTTGCGGCGCCGGTTCTCCTTCTGGTTCGGCACCCTGTACTACTTGCTGCTGCCCATTGTTTGTCCCCGCATTCAGCAATGGTAACTGCGATGCTTGATGTTGTTGGCCAGCCGCGCTGCTGCCAGTGCCAGAAGCCAAAAAACTTGCTGCAGCCCGCGCGGGTTGACAGACCTCCTCAAGTCCTCCTGCTTGTCCTCTAGGGGAGCCATGATTGTGCGGGCACCCAGCCCTGCAAACGCCTTCGGGATGCGGTGCCGTGTAGTTTACTGGTACGGATGCGTTGCCCCAATTATAACTCCGACTAATAAATGTACACGTCTGTTGACGAGGTAGAGGATCTTGCGTCCCTGCAATCACCCGGCAAGCAGACGGTCCGCAAGATCCACCGCAGCAGGTCGTTTGCCACCCACCTGTTGTACCGGGGCCGGGCGGCGCGAAATTGCTACCACCTGTTTGTGTTGGTGTTGGCCTCCGCTGCCGCAGCTGCCCCGCGTCGTTTGCAAAAGGGGCAAGACGCGGAGACCCCGAGCCACTTGCTCCTGGTGCTGCTCCCGCACGCTCGCCGTCGGAACCATCGTTGCTTGGGCTGTCGCCTGATGGACTACCGCGAGACGGAGAGGACGCGCGGGAACGACCACCACGGGACGTGCGAGAACGCGGAGTAGATGTCCCGGCTGGAGGTGGCGGCGGAGGCGGAACAGCTGCTGCAGATAAATCATCTCCTCCTGCTCCAGGCGTCGGAACTGGCGGTGCAGCAGGTGCACCTATTGCACCTCCCGCTGCTCCTCCGCCGAGCACAGGGTCCGCAGAAGCTGGTCCGCTGCTACCAGTCGCGCCAGCAGGTCTACTGGCACTGCTTCCGGCAGAGGGATCAGATCCCTCGGCGCCAAAGGTGGCTGGTTGCACTGCAGTGGCTGTCGCGGCTGCGACAGGAGCAAGAGAATCGTCATCTTCTGCAGGAGCTGCCATCGCCTGGTTCAACACCATGGCCGCGCCGGCAGGCGCACTTCTCCACGGCTTTTCGGTGTTCCACGTTTTCCACTCGCTTTCCTTCAATTTCTTGTACTCATTCAGGGAAATTTCCACTTCCACCTCTTCGTCCACGCCGGTTTCCGGGTTCCGCACAGTTTCCTTCTTGCTCGGCGTCTTCAGACTGACGCCCATCAGGTACAAGTCGTACACGAAAAACACCACCCACGACTTGCGGCGCGCGATCAGCAGCTTGCAGGCCTCGACGGACTTGCTGTGCACCTCCTCCTCGCTGAGCCACGTGTTCTTCGCCTCTTCGGTCAACTCGATATCCGAGATTTCGACACCGTCCGAGTCGGTGGTCGTCGTGGTTTTCGTCATGTCTTCGAGCGTTTCCGTGTAAAAGGTTACCATCACATCCCACGTGAGGGTGGTGATCCGCGTGGAGTAAATGCTGTCCCGCAGCGCCCATAGTAAATTTTGCTGGAACGCCTGCGTCTGCGACTCCGGGGAAAATTTCGGCGGACCAGTAGTGTGGCCGTGGCAACATGTAGTATTTGCCGCAGGTGGGGCACCCCCGGCCGTTTGATGATTGTGCCCGTGGTTACGAGGTGGGGCTGGTGCACCAGGTCCGTGGTGATGGTTGTGCTGGTGTCCCTGTCCTCCTGCTGGTGCTAATACGACCGCCGAGGTCGGGTGGTGATGCGAAGACCCATGTGGGTGTTGATGACCGGAAGTAGGACTTGCGGCCGCCGCATTTTGCTGCACGACCCCATCGACGGGCGACTGCATATTATTGCACTGCTGCTCTTGACCATCATTGTCAGCACCATCTGCCTCGCAGTGCAAAAAGGTGAGTAATATCCGCGCGGCGACGCCCCGCAGATTTGGCAGCGTAGAGACGTATTTGGGATTTAATACGAGTGTCAATCGAGACACCTCGTCCTCGTCCACCGGAGCCGCGAGGTTCTTCAAGGAAATTACCTCGCCGGTCGGATCTCGGATCTGGTTGAAGGCATCTTGCTCCTCCTCCGGGTCCGGGCCGTGCTGGTACACTGTTTTGGTGATTTACTTTTGGAGATAAATCGAATTTGAATTTCTTGTTTTTGCTCGAAATTAGAAAGACACGCGCTTGCTCAACAAGCGCATGAGGAAAAAGAAAAACGGATGAAATAACGCACAAGAAGAAGAAAGTCATAAATTTTATAACTCATCGGAATTACGCGGCAAGCAGCGACCTTTTACAATTTGTTGTATACCTGGATGATGTTCGGCCCTTGGCACGGTGAAGAAGATTGCCGCCAATCCCACCAAGACGGACGTAGCGACCAAAATGGCCACACTCGGGCCCGACATGCAACTCTTCGATCGCGCACTCATGATGCTGCTGGTCGCCGTCTTGTCCTTTTGATATGGTATGTTTTTCTAGCAAACAAGACAGGACACTGCAGCACAAGTCTTCGAGGTCGCGTAAGTAACAGGGTCAGACTCAAGGACAAATTGATGTGGCCGATATAATGATGTTTGTTGATGAAATAAAGGACATTTTGCGTGCGGGTTGGCAGCTGTACTTGCTTTATTTGCGGGTCGTTGCTAGAAGAAGTTTCAACGAACTTTAGAATTTCGGCAACACTGGATCTAAAACGTTCGTCAAACTTAAACCCGTACGCTTTTCATCACAAAAATCTAGACAATGGCCTCAAAGTTCATGAACAAAAACGATCGATAGTTGTAGCGGGTCTCGTTTATCTAAATTTCACTTGATGCAAATTGTTGTGGTTGATGCTCTACATTAAAAAAACTAAAACTTTGTTGTAGACCCTTGTTGCGTTGCTAGCCGTCTAAAAAACCACCTCGGACAGGCCTGAAGGGTTTTTGTTGCAGAGAAGATGATCAAAAGAAGTTTTGTCCTCACAAAAGTTCCTTCAAAGAAGTTCAAAGCTGCAGGCTATCGAACTCAAATTGTTGCTTCATCTTTCAGATCCATTTTTTATACCTCAGCAGCTCTGTCTTTCTTTCATCACTACATTCCTTCGCTGATCCTTGAATTTTGTGCTTGCGAATTTCGATTTTCATTTTTGGATCCACAATAATCATCGAGCAGATGAAAACAATGAAGATCCGAGGGTCAGGGTCGTCGTGTTTTTCCTGTCACTGCTACTAGAAGCTCACCAGAATTTTATGCGATCTCCCTCGTGGTCCCAGGTGAAATTATAGCACGGGAAACGAGCTTAGAGGAAGGCGTGATGATGCACAATCTGATCGACGGGCTGTTTAGATTTTCATCCTGATCCAGATTTTCTAGTCGTGTAATTGTGGAACGAGCTTCCAAGTAGAGCTCGTTCTTTGGTCAAAGGCGTCCACATGAACAGCTGTTGAAAGCACAGACTGCAGCGAGGAGGAAAGTCGTGCTGCGTTGCATTGCTCGATTCTAGTGTTGACCAGAATTAAGTCGTGCTGCCGACGACGCCGATGTGGCGTGCTGGGGCTGAGGGTACACAAACCAGTTTTGAAAAAATCTTTCACGCCTAATGATAGCAAACCACAAGGATGCGCTTCACTTGTGATGCTGCGACTGTTCTGCAGCTCCATTGCTATTCGCCCTTTAATCTAGATGGAGCATGATGAGCGACCACTACAATATGGCACTTGCATCGATACCCTCGTCGCGCCATGTCCATGAGATAGCAGCGATGCTGTAATCTCGAGGGCAATTAAATGTATATCGATCAAGTGTAGGCTAAGGGTGAAAGAAGTACAAGTATTCTTTTAGTCACAGAGAGAAAGATTGCGGAGAGAGTCGTCGTGGTCACATGAGGATGTTGAGATGTTCGTCAAAATCATGCAGACGTGTCTGCTGGTGCGTTTGCAGTCTACACCTTTTCAAAATTTTGCGAAAATGCTGTTGCAGTTTGTCAAGTACTCCGATATCCAGGTGCGGGATAAAGCAAGACAACTGACGCAGCAGTAGCTGATGTGTGGGAAGACAACTCTGCTACTATCGCGGAAACGCAAAACTGTATGTAATGCACGGTCGGTTCGTGGCGTGTCTTCTGCAAAACGGATGGTAATTTTCATTTTTGGTAGAAGAAGCGTGGTGGCAAGTCGTGAGAAGCGTTTCATTTGGTATTGGTATGTGGTGCAGTAAATTTAGTTGTACGTTGGACGGCAGGTCGTTGCATTTCATACGTGCCAGTAGCAGGCCTTCTACTTCTGGCGGTGACAAGACGATCTTGTTGGTATAGATGGCTTTTTAGAAAAGAAGTGGTGGGTGAGCAGTTAGTATGAAAAGAAAACCTCGTATGCGCGAATTTACCGCTACCAAGGTCCGAGGCGGGAAAACTGCTGGGTCCTCGTTGATGTGTGTCCGCTACTCGTCCCCCGAAAGGCGGACATCGTTGTGCTACTATTCTTACCTCCCGGCGCAACATCGCGATTTGTCCGCGCTGTGGTACATGAGTAGAAGTCCGACTTAGTACGGTGCGGCTTCAACTTGTTTCCACTTGCCGAGGCAGAAGCGCTACTGCAACTTCCAGTGCCGCCTGTACTAGCAGCTCCTGCAGAAGGGGTAGAGAAGATAGACGCAGTGAAGTTTTTCTGTCCTCCATAAATGGCATCTGACGAAAATGCCCCTGGGCGACGATTGTTTGCAGTGGAGGGTACAGTGGGCGCAGGTGTCATGAAGGCACTGCCAGCGTATTTTTTACTCGACGTGAAGGTAGTAGATGACTTACTCGCAGTTGCAGTGGATTCCACTAACTCGGACTGGATGCGGCGCAGGGCGGAGCGGTGAACATGGTTTGAAGGCTGTAATGAGCAGTCCTTTGTCATATCATCTTCTCTAGTGTAAGTTTCTCGCCAGATCTAGAACTAGATGGACAATCACGATTCTATACTTTTGAATCAAGTCCAAATCGATTATAGACATATATCAAATACTTAGAAATAATAATCCTCATTCAAATATACCTGCAAATATTCCTTCGAGGCGGAGGCCGAGACACCAGTTGGCTTCGACAGCATGTGCGACCGGCCGTTGGTACTTCTCCCAAATCCAGACCCCCCTGCAGCCATATTAGAAGAAGAGAAAGAACTTATTGCTGCCATAAAAGTTCGGCCCGTATTTTCTTCTCCGTCCACATTTTGCCCGTACGTTGTACTTGAAGGTAGGTGGGGCTTCTCGCTGACATCCCACTTATGCGCGGATTTTCCCGTTCCTGACCCTGCTGCACTGATGCTCCCAAGTGCGGTCGACTTTGACGACAAGCAGAGCGGGTGATTAGATTGGTCGACGCCAGCAGAAAGCTTCAAGGAAGCAGAGGCGGAAGTAGGCATTGCTTCACTCATGGACACGTGCGACCGCAACTGCGAGACGATCTTCGGTCGAGAAAAGGTGTCTGAGAGTTCGTGCACAGCAGGGGCGGAGTGGTGGACGCTGAGAACACGCGAGGGTGGTCCAACAGCGGGTCTGGTAGAAAAACTCGCACCGTGTTGCTGGTTGTCATGGTTCGGTAGAGAACCCGGACCTGGACCATACAAGCCGTTATTGTGGCCCCGGTGATGAAGCCTACTGCTCAGGTGGTCCTCGCGCTCTGCAGCCACACGAAGTGGGTCTTGGGTGTGCGAACTTGAGGTGAAACTAGGTCCTGCTATGGTGGCTGAGAATGGTTGATTTGGTCTATTTGACGACGAGCTTGCAGAGGGCACCTCTACTTGTGGGGCAGGCCCACGAACTTCGATTCCCTGCGGATATGGATATTGGTGCCCACTCCTGGTAGCTGACGTTGCGAAAGCTGCGCTGCTCTCTCGGTGATTGTAATGTCCTAGTTGAGTGCGAAAGTCCCAGCTTTCTTTGCTCGCGCTCGCAGGATGTTGATGCCGTCGGTCCACATCGTCCGGTGACACAGAAGACGAGAGAACCTGTGCTGGGTGGTTGCTTCGATGAAAATGTTGCTCTTCATCTAGATCTACATCTACTTCAGTGCGGCGCTCGGGGAAATAAAAATCACCATTTCGCAGTGTTTGCCCCGGCGGTGCGGCGCCTCTGGCAGGAAAGCCACGACGACCTCCCTCTAGATCTACTCCGCCCGCTCCCGCACCCCCTCCTCGTTCCACTATTCGCTGTTCCTCCTCTCTGCTTTGTCTTTCCGCCGCGGCGGTTCTTCTCAACGAGGAGGAAGACAGGTGGTCGAAGAGCAATTTCCAGTATTTCCGACGGATAAAGCACCGGACGACTTCGCCGAGAATGACCGCAAACCTCGAGATCCGCACCGAGTAGGCGGATTTTTTCTGAAGCAGGAGCGTGTTCTGGGCCTGGCTGCGGACCAGGTTCTCCATCACGCTCTTCGAGGAACCGTTGATTTCGATCATGGTGGACGAGGTGGAAAGGTATTTTGTTGGCTCTTTATATTGCGACCGCGTGAAACTGGGAGGGGATTCGGGTCGGAAAACAGAAGGGGCTATTGACCGAAGATGGATGAACAAGCAGCCGCTGGGTAAAAGTAATCCTTATCCTTGGGCTTGAACCCAATTGAACTTCTAGGAGCGCACTACAGACGAAATGTAAGTCACTGTTTTCCACTGAACAAACACAACACTGCCCATCAACGTGAGGCAGGTAGAACGAAGCACTACTCACCCTGACACACTAATACGGAATCACGTGTTGCAAGGCATCCTCTCTCTCATCGGAAGAAGTTATGCTGACCTGAGTCTCAATTCGATCAAAATCACATGCTGCCACTGCTGATGTGAATTCTGTACGCTTGTGAACAAGCTCACGCAGCGGAAGATCTTGTTCTTGAAAGTCAAGCCCACATACGGAGATGCAGCTCGGGTTCGTTGTGTTCTTTGTTTTGCTTTTGATTTGTGTCATCATGACGCAACTACGGCGCTGGAAATCCATCCATCGACAGGTGTACATCGGCCGGGTCTATGACTTGTTGTGGCTGCATGGCAGAAACAAAGCGACTGTCTCCTCGTCGCCGTGGTCTGCTCCCCTCGCACTGTATCGATGATCAAACCACTGTCTTCCTATCTTAGGGCCAAACCTAAAACCAATATGCGTGCTCGCTTCTTTAGGCGTGCGAGTGACTGCTGTACGTGCAAATCTACAAGCAAAACACGTATAATATTTGATCTTTTGCAGCATTGCATTATCCGAAGAGAAAAGTATGCTAAAAACGCTTCGCAAGCATTGCGGAATCCTGCCGAGCTCATGCTTCATCGTGATGATACGCATCAAAGGCAGCTAGTCCGCTTCCCTCCAACAGGAATGCCATGCAATATGCTTACAATACTCCTGATGTTCGCAGCCGCCCTCGCACCCGTAGCCGTACTGGGAAAGGATATATTTTCTGTGCGAACATGAAGCATGAAGCTAGTCATAGTCTGACAGTGCTTTGTTGAGATAGGTCTCACCCCTCTCGCACCCCGGCCAACGCCCGGAAACGCGTGATCCCAACTTCTTCCGCTATAAGGGGGCATCGTTTGCTCTCGCGACCGTGACCTTGGCGTCCCTGACCTTGGCTCCTCCGGGTTTGCGAGGTCAAGTTCGTCATCAACTGAAGTAAGTAGTGAAAGATCTAACGTGCGAACGAGAAAGTACAAGCAGCAAGAGGAAGTGAAGAGCAGCGGCTCAGCTAAAATGAATGCGGAGCTTTTTGATGAAGTGAGACGAACACCATCCAGAAGCTTTTTTCATTTTATACAAATTTTCTTGGCAATCGTACGACAACAAAGTCCGGAATACCGTCTTTACCCATTTCCCTTTCGCTTCCCTGCTGCGGGGCGACCAACAGGAGGAGAAGCATCGTCTGAACAGGCTCCGCCCGGCTCCACTCCTTCTCGTCTCCCTGGACCCCTCTTTGCCCTTGTTTTGGAATTTACACGACCCTGTTCGTGCCCTCCGAATGTCGGCGCGGATCGATCCCCGTGAAGATGATCAAGCATTGGCACATCTTCGGCGTAGTTGTCGTTGAAACTGACATCGCTCTCGTCGCTTGCTGCGGTATAAAAGGAATCGTCGTCTCGATATTGCGGAGGTTCCAGAAACGCGGAAACGGTTTCTCCCGCGTCTTGTTGCTCCCGGGTCCCGATGTGGTTAGTAGCTTGATTGTCCAGGAGGAGCCCGAGCTCCTCGACGTCATCATCGTCGTCGCAGCTTCTCATGTTCGAAATCTCCTCTTCCTGCACACAAAAGTGGTAAAATTCCCCGATGTCCGTCGTATTATCCGCATTCCTGTCCATCGCCTCGCAAGCGCACTCGTCACACTGCAACACGCCGTCGCGGTTGTCGTCCAGGGTTTCGAAAACCTCGAACAACCCGCACTTGTCGAGGAAGGTCGCCACGGTAGCATTCCCCGTCAGCCGGTAGCTCTCGGCGAAGAGGTGGGATTCGTACGGGGTCAATAGCATGGTCGTGTTGTTTGGTGAAACACTTGAATCAGGATAATTCATCTTTGTTTCGACTGCTGGTTCTGCTTGTTCCGCGAAGGAGGACGATGATTGTGGTTCTGGTTGTCGTGCCAAGTCTGCTGCATGTTTGTCCGACATGTCATTATCATCATCTTTTCCATCTTCTCGGTCATCCTCAGCTACCGCTGGTTCCGTAGTGGCCTTTCTCGCTTGATCCTCCATCTCGCCCGGCCCGTCGTGATCGATCAGTACAGTGTGCTGCTTTTTCATCATTTTTCTTGGCCTCGCGCCGTCCGCAACGACGGCCTCATGCTGCGCGTCGGGACTGAAGCGGTCAATATCAGCTCTGCAAAATGTTAGGTAGACTAGTCGTGGCGCTGCACTTCTACTCAATGTGGTGAAAGTGCAGCAAGCCGATCGACGTGAACACTTCCTTTTTAGGTGCGGAATGGTAGAAGTTTTGGCCGCGGGGCGATTTTTCTGCATCAGCGGGATTGCCGCACTGTGTGAAACAGTTGCTCTAGACGGAGACGTGGCGCAGGCTGTGGTCGTTATCCGGGAAAGATCACTTCTTGGTCCGGCCACGTGGTAGAGGCTGCTCACGTCGATGGCGTTATTTTCACTCCGAACGGCGTCGATTTCCGATTGTAACAAAGAGGTCGAGTTCGAGAGTTGACGTGTTTTAATATTTTCATCACAACTTCTTGATGAACTTCGGCTGCTGCTACTGCCACCGCCTTGGCAAAGCTGCAGTAGGGAGAGACATAAAGAGTTGCCGCTAGTGGTCTCTGCGCCCGACATTGTTGTGAGTGGGCAATGAAGAACAAAGCCACTAGTAGTCTACTAGTACTGCTGTATTGGTCCTCCAAAAGATGAAACCGATATATTTTTTTCTGGCCTTCTGAATCTTTAATTTACTCGATAATGTCTTTTCGAGTCGTTCTCGATGGCACTGCTCCTCCTTGCCGCTGCCCCTCAAACCAAATCAACCTCTTCACTCGATTCTCGATATCGTCCCGAGAAGTGCCGCTGTTCACGCTCAGATCGACCAGCCATAATGTTAATGCGCGTTCATGCAAAAATCTCTTTTTCTCTTTCCTTCTCTCTCCGACGCTGACCTTCAACAAGAACCCGAGCCCAATAGGCACAAAAGCCTGACCGGTGACCTTGTCGTATCAAGTCACCAAAATTATTAAGTCTGGTTGTGATTCTGATTTCGCAACTACGAAACTGTGCGCATTCGAAAGCAAAACGTCCATCCGTTGAGATCAATGGGCGGTCACTTGTTTTGTGTAATAGTCGACACGGTATCGGTAAGAGCACGGGGGGACTACTCATTGTACTTGCACGAGTTCATTAGGTTTTCATTTAAGTGGTCCATGATGCTGGTGCAGTCAAATATCTTCGTCACCTTCGCTGCATTCCGTCCCCTTTTGTGCCGACAAGCGCCACTAATTCGTTCTTGAAAAAATGCTGAGTTCTTTGTCGTCTGGTACGAACTCTCTCTTTTTGTTGATAACAAGAAACTTCCATCTAGGTCCTACAACTCTCTGAAACGGTTCGTCTCTCGTTGTGAGTACTTATGTTTTATTATTCGATAATCAATGCGCGAGCGCAACGAAGTCGGGATGAAACTATGAAGATGAAATCATTACCGGGGTAGCTCTAATTGTTCATACGTAGGACTAGCATAGCTTCTTCTAGGGCTCCTAGAAATTCGTTCGTTGTTGTATTCCTTTTGAGGGGTGCAACTTGTTCTACGTCTATTGCTCGTATCTCTCTGTTTTTTCCGCTGTGCACGGTATCCGTACACTGAGTACTGCTCATCATCCAACACCTACGTCTACGAAAACGCAATCTGCACCAGGTCTCTGCCACTACTGCTCGAGGATAAGGACGCGGCGGAGTTTGTGCTGTCCTGCGTGTTGCTGTTGGTCGACTGCGAGCTGGGATTCCTCAACTCCGCGAGGGACTTCAAATCATTCCCGCCCTCGTCGACCGCCATGGTAAAAATGCCTGTACTATTTGCTGTCATGTTTTCTTCGTCACTCAGCCCGTAGTTCCCCGCGTTTTTCTTCACGCCCTTGTTGTTCCGGGCCTCGAAGCTGTACTTCAGCTTGACCAGCAGCACCGTGGTGTTGTCCCCGCCCAAACCGCCTTGTTTCCGCGGGTCGTCGGCTAGGCAGGCGTCCAGCAGGTCCGCGCAGATCTGTTTCAGCGCGGAGCCCTTTTTTAACCTCGTGCGGACGAAGTCGCAGGCCTCCTGGTTGGTCATCATGTCCCACACGCCGTCGCAGGCGAGAATCAGAAAGTCGTCGCCCGGTGCAATGTCATAGGTGATGATGTCCGGTGTGGAGCAGATTATCTGATGTTGTAAGGGGGAATCAACGAGAAAATTACTTACACTTAGCGGACTTGAAAATTGTTGTTGTTCACATTTGAATCTGATTCTGATCAATCTTCTGTCAGCATTATCAAAATAAAGTTCTCTAGCAGCTATGTATACCTGTTGATCTGGGGGCAAGTCCTGTCTTTGTTTGTACTCCAGATCGCCTATCGCTCGGGACAGGTTGAGGTTTCCATTCACGCGATGGTGGGTCCTTCCGCCCGCCGCTAACGGCTTGCAGACCTCGACCCGCCCGCCGGCGGCGTGAATGCGGTTCTGTTCGCGCTGTTGGTCCGGTTTGTGGTCGTGGGAAAGGGCGTGCGCGTGACCGTCTCGCTGGCAAACTACGCACCGACTGTCACCGGCGTTTGCGACAATGACCTGTATAGAACGTTTAATTTTTAGGTGGCTTACAAAGAGAATGAAAGAAGTCAATTTGCCGCGTATCTATGCAAAACTGCATGTACAAAAGTGGCATGATCATGTTTTATCTGCACTTTTTTACTATCAATCAAGTACCTTTCCCTCCGGAGTCACCAGTGCCTGCACCGCGGTGCAGCCCATCAGCCTCGCTATACACGCTGCTGGCGGGGGCCCGCCACCGAATCGGTCGTGGCCTGCTAAAAGCCCGCCACTCATCACGCCACCCAGCCCGGCTGTCGGGTGCGATTGCGACCGGGAGGTGCAGGCGCGATCTGGATCGGCTGCTGTTCCGTCCGTGATTTTTCCGGTAATTTTGTCCTTGTCTGTCGTTTTGGAGGAACTAGAAGAGGCCGAGGTGGAGCTCGTTGCCGTGCTCGAGTTGCTTTTACTCTCCCACAAATCCTGCAAAAGCTCTGCGGGTTTCAGCCCTGAGGAACTGCTGGATGATGACCCACTGTTCATGTCGTCGTCCTCTGTGCTAAAAATGTCGTCGTCTAATTCCAAATTCCTCTTGTTTCCCGGCCCACCTCCTGTCATCCCTCCGCCTTTCCCCCCGCCTGTCATCTGCTGCAACAGCATCATCTTGACCATCACATTCGTCGCTTGTCCGGTCGACAGCGACCCTTTCGCTTTCGCCCCGGCCAGGTCCTTCTGCAAGGATTGCTGGAGAAGGGACAGCGCGGGCCCGTTTGGTCCTGTGGCGCCTCCTGGCGTCGTTCTACCATTGGGCGAGTCCCCGCTGCCATTCCCGGCGGCCCCGTTCCCATTGGAAGCGGTGGGGACGAGGGCGCGACAGTACCTGATAGGACGAGAACAAGCTTTTTTTATCTTACTTTATGCACGTAGTTTTTATAACGCATCGGCATGCTAATTACACGATGAAAGAAAGCACGGTGCGCAACCTCAAATCAATGATTTTGTCGTGTTCGCAAAAAACGTGAACCGTACTTGTCATCCCTGAGCAAGTCGTCTAATCTGTGGTGCACATCCACAAGTAAGGATTCGAGCTTAGCACCGCTACAATCGCCCTTGGAGGCCCCGGACGACGAGGTGGTCATCTCCATGTCTTTTCGCAACAGCATCATCGGGACGCAGCTGGCGCAGAATTTCGCCACATCCGCACCGCCGTGCCCGTCGAAAACGGCAAAGAGACTGTGTCCCTTCCACTGGTCCTGTATCCTGTGCTCCAGGCCTTTTTTCGCTCCACCGGCTGCGCCGTCTTTGCCGTCCCCGATGCCGACCTGTTTTTCGGATGAAAAATTGAAATTCATCGCTGGTCTTCGAAAATCTACTTCGTAACATCCTCGCGCGCAAAATTTCGCTACACCGGTACGTAGCACTGCCACTAGCCACGGGAAAAAAGAAGAAAAGTTAGAAGCTGTTCGCTACCTCGTCTAGAACAGGATGGGAGAAGGCTGTGAGGTCCGGCAGGCAAAAGTATGGAAGGCAAAATGAGGTGGTTGTCCATGCATGGCGTGCACGTGCAGCTTCGCTACATATTATCCCCTGGTAGTTCTCCTGGGAGAAATTTTGAAATTCACATCTCAATCACAATCAAAGTTGAGGAAAGTCACATCATTGCGAAAAAAAACCCGCATCCAATGAACTTCTGCAACGCATGCGCGGCCACCGACTAAACTAATGTTTTCTTGCCATAAGATGTGGGCGTCCTCCATCGTTTTTCTCCAACCTTGCATCATACACCCTGCCACTTCCCCGACTCTGATGGAAGTGAAAAAATCACACACAGCGGAATTAGCCTTTTCACAGCCACACCCAGCACGCATTGGGATTCGCTTTAGCGTAATTGAGACTCAACAGCGAGAATTGATTCATCGCGCTTCTTTGTTTGGCTTTCGACAAAGCTACGGCCCTTTCAAGCAAAGGAATAGGAAGACTAATTTGCTCTCTTATGTGATTCTTTCTCATCTGCATAACGAAGGGGTTTTCTCGCGATTCGCCCCCGCACATCTCCTTGTGCGTCACCGGGCTTGAGAGATAGGAACCCATACTGGCGGTTCTTCTCCAGGTCGCGCAGTACTAGAAGTGCGTGAAAAAGTCGAAGTTCGAGTCGTGGTACAGCAGAGGACGACTTTCAGCTTGATCTTCGTCGAGGTACGGCAACTGTGGTTGTCTGCGCAACAATAGTTTTTTGACGCTTCGATACGAACGATTCTCGTCCACTTCAGCAGAAGCGGGGCATCACATTCGCAACCCTTCGCCCGACACCAGATGAAGACCAGCAGCAGTCCGACACGGACACCTCCTTGCACACAGTTGTAGCATTTTTGAGACAGTCATCATGATATCAAGGAAGTTGCATTTCTTCTTACGAAACGCCCCAAAACGGGTTTTTCGTTTTGGTTATGTATACCGAAGATAAGTCTTCAGTTCTGCTGAGGCGCGAGGCGAAGCCGTATGAAGGCTACACTACTATAGCAGCTAATTCTTACCCACAAAATTATTTGTTTTTTAGCTTACAGACTAAAAGAATATCTTGCATCGAATGCTCTTTAATGTTGTGCATGCTGTCACTACCAGGTCACACGGCTGGAGTTGCTGGTAGCATGTGAAATCACAGCAAAGCTGCTGTGAGTTTTCCACAAGCAGGCCAATCACGCAAACTCCGAAGTTTCTGTTGCGAGACTGCTCGCAACAGAAAACTGAGCCGCTCAACTCAAGGGATTTTTGGTATATCTAAAAACTTGATGAAACTCACATGTCAGTTATGAGCACTGGAGGAAGTTGTGACGGGAAACAACCCTCTCAAAGAGGACCTACTTTTCACTATTCGCTAGTACTGCAGCAGTAGGTGCATATTCATATTCTCTCCAAACTGAAGAGCCTTCTTCTACTTGTTGGTGCTTACTCGCTTCCCGAAATCCAACTCTCAGCTCCAAACAAACTATCGCTCACCCTTGCTTATGCTTGTTTTTGCCTTCCGGTTGTTACCGGGCCGGCGTTTCAATGCACAGCTTCTTGTCTTCACTCAACCATCTGCATCTGCTGCAAATTCAGTTCAAAAACACTCTGTGATCGTGCTTCTCTTCAAGAAACCGAACTTGATCATTGACCGACTGCGGCATACCAGCCACATCCTCATTCTCTAGTCAAAATGGATCAAAGTGGATGTGCTCCTTCATCTTTTCTGCTTACGTACTAGATCGAAGCCGCCCGCCGAACTCGGGAAAGTTTTGCTATTGGTTTAGTGTTTTTCTTTTTCGATTATCGCGTTACTAACTATCCCATCTTCACTTTGATTACCGAATAGTAGCATACTGTAGCATATCAACCGTGTGTGGTGCTATCCAGCTGTTGCTGCCATGAATCAAACTCGCAGCGGTCTTCCCCTTCAAGCAAGGATTTATAGTTGCCGCATTTTCGCTATGTTGCTGCGCTGCGCCATTTGCGTAAGAAAGCCCACCACCCCCGCTGCGCGGCATTTTTTCCATCCCCAAGGCCAACTGCTGTGGTCCATAGACCTTGATCTGCCTGACGTGCGTATCCCGCCCATTCTGGTGGTTCGAGAGCAGCGCGATTTGCAAATGAAACGCGCGCACGAAGTCCTCCTCGTCGTCATCAAATTCGTCAAACTCGTCCAGGTCAACACCCGCAAAAGATCCGCCTTCATGTCCTCCTCCCATGCTGTTCAGTAGTAGCAGATCATTCGCACTGTTCACCATGCGCGTTCCACCGGTGGGGCTGGAAAAATAGCGTGGTTGCACCATAGCGGATTGGAGCTGCGGGTGGTCCATGATACTTGAAGGTGCTGGGTCTTCGCCAGTCAGAAAATTGTAGTCAGTATTCGCATCTGAGGGGGCTGCAGCCGGAGCTGCTGAGCCTGCAGCTGCGGGAGGAGCGCCTCCTGCATAATTAGGATTGCTTGCATTCGCCTGGTCCTCGACGGCTGGGTTTGCGCTCGAAGCTCCTGCCGACGCGTCGCCAGATGAAGATCCAGCAGCTGCTCCACGACCAGTTGTCGTTGATGCTCCAGCACTTGTTCCAATGTCACCCGAACCACTTGCTCCTCCACCTGCCTGCCCACTAGCTGCCGCAATTCCTTCCCCTCCACCGGAAGAAGATGAACCGGATGCAGCAGCGCCCCCACCTCCACCCGCAACGAGCCTCGCTTCTGTCACCCCCGAAATAGATCCAGCAATGTTTCTACTTCTCTCCCTCCTACACACCAGCGGCAGCCGTATCCAGCCCTCGGGCTCCTTCAAATCAAAGGCCTGCACTTCTTCCAGATCTTCGCTGCTGTTGCCGATCCGAACCGACAAACTCGCGGGTGTGTAGCTCTCATCTTCCCGGAATGAGAGGTAGAAGTAGATCTCGGAGATTTTGGTCTTTTTCGAAAATTTCAAGTCGATCAAATGGGGCAAAAACCCGTCGGACTGCCAAAACGTGTCGACTTTGTCGTCGCGGAGTTGCTGGAGCCCGTTGCCTGGCTTTGCGGAGGAAAGCGTCCAGTGCGCGTCGGTGCCGACCTCGCGGAGATTCTGGTAGTTGTTGTGCTGCTGGTGTTGGTTTTGGTGAGACATGGTCGTGTTGGGGCCGTGAATGATGGGCGGATCGTGGTTGTGCTGTTGGTCATGCTGCTGCGCAGAAGACGTCATATTGGTGCTTTATCGTGGCGTTTCAATAACTTATGCATGAATGTTTGATCGTGCATTTTTGTTCCCCAAGTGGGGAGTTGGATGATCGATCTTGGACTCGAGCGCAATTTTCTCATCGACGCGACCTCGGGCATCTGGGTTAGCTTCGCCTGGAAAAATTTCTCGATCAGAAGCAACATGACCTGCAAAAAAAACCCGTCGGCGAAAGTGCACATACTGGACGAGATCGCACTGTATCTATGCGATTGGAAATTCAAGAAAATTCAAAAAAGGAGAACAGCAAAACCAAAAGAGATCGGCACTTCCTCAAACAAAACAGATCTGCACCGGCCTCGGATGTTGCGCTCCAGCAGCAAAAGAGGACGCTGTACTGATCTGCTGAACGAGCGAACAGACAAACACAAAGTAAGCTCGTCCGCATACTTAGTCAAGAGCTCACAGCTCAAGAACTTTCGGAACGGTCGTGAGCTGCGAAAAAGATGATGAAACAAATCTTCAGCAAGTCGATTGTACCTCCCTATTCTACACGTCCAATCGTTTTGCTGAAGTCAACAACGACTCAACTACAGTCTTTGTCTTTCTCTTTCATCAATTCAAACATTAGAGATTCCAAATGACTACATACATTGTACATTCGTATTTTCTGATCATACCTGCTCTTTTTAAACATGTACCTAATCTCGATCCATATCTAGTCTTCAATCACCACCCGTCCCCGACGCTGCGAGTAGACCGACGGACTCTCGAGCTCGTCGTCATCGGACAGGATATCCTGCTGTAGAAGTAGCGAAGCCGTCGCGCTCATGTCCTCGTCGTCAAATTGGTCAGCTTCGAATTCGTCATCCTCGTCCACCGCCTCAAACAAGCTGTCGGAAAAAGTCGTAGAAGAGAGAGGTGCAGTCGTGGTGTAGTTTGCAGTCTTGGTTTTTTTCTCATTGCTATTTCTACTCATGTTGTTAGAAGCGGAGAAAGAGGATGCGATCGCGGTTCTCCCGGGGTGGACGAGGTTGGTAGAAGTACTCAAAACAACCTCGTTTATCGCTCGTCTTGAAGATGCAGCGCTCGGAGTTGCCAACAAGGAGTCTGTGTTCTCGACCCGCCTGTTGTGTTCATCATCTTCCTGTTCTTGCAACGAGATAACGACACTGGTGCTGCTGCTACTTGACGAATTTATTACGGCGGGTCGTGGGGGTGGCAGAACTACCGCAGACGTTGTGGTTGAAATCCCTGCTCCTGCGGCTGTCCTCTGTTGATCTGCGTTCGTGAGAATCCGGGGTCGTACCGGTGGAGGACCGCTTAATATTCCAGACGAATTGTTCCCGCCGCCTCTACTTTTCGACGAGGACCCTGTCCCTGCTTTCATCTTCACAGCGCCTCCTCTACTTGTTACTCTGTCTCGATGATCACCGTTTTTACTGCTCGACGATGATGATGTAGTTATCCCACTGCTGCTCTTCTCGCCCACTTTTTTCTTCAGCGCGTGCACCGGCACTTTGGTAAAGTATGTCGTGCAGCAAAACACCCACAGCCACACCAACAACCCGCACAGGAAAAACAGCGAGACCGAAACGGTTTCGTTCAACGTCGTCCGTCGCATCGTCCGTTTACTGCCCCGCAAATTTGGCGTTTGCAGCGGTCTCGGCGACTTCGGGTTGTTCTTTTCCCGGACGTATCTTCTACACCACTCAATCTCGTCCTGCTCCGTTTGGAACGCGGAGAGCGACGCAGCTTCGAGCACCGGGGTTTGGCCTTGGAGGTCGAGATTGTTTCCCCTCGTCGTGGTCGAGTTTTGGGTCGACGTAGTTGAAGGGGACTCTACTTCCAGGACAAATGACGTCAAGAAGGACACTAACGTCGACGAAACCGAGATGAAAACGCCGAGAAAACCTCGGATCAAATTGAAAACGAGAGCTGCGGTGTGGAAAACCCTCGACGAAGCAGATGAAAATGATGTTGATCCAGGTGCTTGATTCTGTCCACCATTCTTCATCGCTGCCGTTGCGTTTTCACTGCTTGTTATCTCGGTTCGCAATGGATCTTGATATTCCTCTTGTTCGGCCAATTGCTGTTGCTCCTGCTGGTGCGAAGTTGTCGCTACTACATGAAGTAGTGCCACCGCCGTGGTCGTGGTTGTGCTCGTCCAGCTCTTTGGGAATTTGGAAGAAAAATCCGATTGCAACAGCATCCTGCACCGGTCGAAGGCTGGATCCGGGAAGTTTTTTCCCTGCACTTTCTTCGTCAAGAACAGCATTTTGTCGCTAATCGAATCCAGGTAATTGTTCACCTGCTCGATGTACCGGGTTTCGTTGTACCGGTTCCTGTACTGGTTGACCCAGGTCAGCATCGCCTCGTTGGCGTACTGCTCCAAATCGTACGGAAAGTAGGACTTCGGCAGGTATTTCCGCTTCCCCTCGAAAACCTCCTCCGCTTCGGTGGAATTTAGGGCGAGCTCTTCAAGTTCTTCCGGGACAGGGAGGTGCTGGAACTGGGCTTGCAGGGGGAGAGCGTAGAGAAGGAGGATGAAAGCTGCGGGGAGAACTGGCGTTGCTCTTCGACTCGCACAAGCTGTGTGTCGTGGTGAGAAGCTGCGGGAACCAACCATTACCATTTTTTCTAACCGTTCGAATCGAGCAAATAACGCTACCGTGATTTCGTTCGCTGAGGAAGCGGCTGTACACGTACAGGTAAATAAAACTTCATCACGCGTCACAATCAAAAATCAAGACTTGGGCTTCTTTAATATTCTGCGCTGTGTGAAAAGAGCGTAAACAAGCGGAGAAGAAGTGCAAGTCGTGACGTCATCTAGTGCCTTGTTTGCGACCTCACTCGGGCTCGACGCAGCTTTGTCCTTTTGCAGACTCTGGTCAACATGCACCATGCGGCGCTTTTGGTTGATTATCCCTAGCCCACCAGGTAGAAAAACTAAAGCGAGCAGCAACCAATCCCAAGAAAAAACACCGACTCCGCAAAAAAAAAAACACGCCGACAAACGCAGGAAAAAAAGCAGAACAGAACAGTAGCTGCTGGGTGTTGAGAGAGTCACACTCACAGACAAGAGAGTAGGAGATGTATGATGGTATCAAGAATCGCCAAGAAGGTACAAATAAAGTTAAATTCTTTATGTTCAACAAGAAAGATCTTGCTTTTTACAAAAACAGCAAAAGACAGCTTCAATCCTGCAAGAGAAGATGTACAAAAAAACGATTTTTACCATTACGTAGTGAAATTTTTACAATGGTGTGCTGCTCCTGACACACTGGATAAAGCTGATGACAAACATGTGTACAGTAGAAAACGTCGGTTGTCCGACTCTGAAAAAATGTTCTCAATATCTTCTTCTTGGAAACTATACACAAAAGATCTAGATACAAGAGCAATGTCGTGTATAACAACTTACTAATTCAATTTTCTTCGATTGCTGAAACGAGACACGATCAGGCTAGCTTAATTTTTACAGTTTTGACGGATATAGATGGACGCGCGTCAGGACATTTACGCGCGTCGTAAAAAAAAGTTACTGAATTGTATACAATCTATCATGACAATACAGATTTAGCTTTGCAAGAAAGAAAATCTGTTTACGTAACGGCGTCAAGGATAAAGACAATCAATTTTCCAAAAAGTCTTGCATTAGAAAAGGATTCAAGTAGATACCATTCTAGTTTTTCGCGAAGTTCGAAAGAACTCCTACCCCCTCACGCAGCCGCCACGCATTTGTAGTCATCATCATTTGTCCCGAAGATCCTCGGGCAAGGACTCGATTTGAAGGTTTGTTCCTCGCCGCGTAAGATCTTTCCTTCGATATTACCCGCGGCCTTCGAACCGAAGAAATAATCCGCTGATGCTCCTTTCTTGTGACTGTAGCTGTTGTTTTGTCCGCTGCCCTGGTAAAAATTGTGATGAAAACTGTTGTTCTGATGATAGTACTGTTTCTTTTTCCAGTGAGGTTTTCCTCCCTTCCCCTTTCCTTTATTCTTTCCGCCCTTCTTTGCACTGTACTTCCCCTTGTTCGGCGTCGAAATGCTGTTCGCTGTGTAGCTGTGGGGGAGGTTCATCGTATAAAACCCCTTGCTCGTCGTGGTGCCACAGGTAGAGTTGTCTTTGTTCTTCCCGCTTTTCTTATGGGAAAACACCAAACCCGCGGTCAGCTCGCTAACTGGTGGCCCATTCACATTGCAGGTCAGAACCTGATCGTAGTAGAACTGCGACTGTTCTTGCTGGTGTTGCCGTTCTGCATCATGATTATTGTGTTCTTGTCTGCAACTCAGACTCTGCATGGCGGAGTCAAAAATGTTATCGAGTTGTTCTGCCGCCGCATTTTCCCTTCTTGCTCCGGGAGTTTGGTGAAGTTGTGCCCCCAGTTCTTGGAACGTAGGGGGTAAAACCGCCGCGGCGTTGTTCCAAGAAGGAGCTCCGCCGTGCTGTGGTTGCATCGGAGCAGGTGGTGGGGGAAAGCAGGGCACGTTGTTGCTGTTGAAAGAACGATGCCGATCCTCCTGCTGATTATTCCATGCGTTGATGTTATTGGCGTAGAAAAATTCGTCTTCGTCAAAAGTAATTTCGTCTTGTTGCGACGTGGAGCACGGGGAGGATTGGTATTTTACTTGGTCTACGTGAAGATGTTCGTTGTAATTTCGCGCAAAAACCACGTCGCGATCATCCTCGTCAAAGCCCGCTACTTTCGTCGTCCTTGTCTTCGTCGAGATCCGACTCCTACTGTGGTCGAAATCGAAATCGTCAAACGATGGCCTTCCACCGTCATTTGTGGTCATCGTCAAATCTGTTTCTATTGTAGCTTTAGTGTTCGCGCGGTTGTCTATTTCTTGTTTCGACCTCCTGTGCTTATCATTTGTGGTCCCGGCCCCGCTCACGCGTGGTGGGAAATGCAGTAGCAGCTGCTCCTTGTAGCAACCAGACGACGCGTCAGAAGATGAAATCCTCCTGTTGTGGAAAGAACTACTTCTGCGGTCACCGCGGTCGTCGTGGTGGGCTGGAACATCATGAATGTCTTCGTACCCGTGTAGAAGGGGCACACCGGATTTGGTAAAGTACTCATTGTTCGCGCTGTTCCAGCGACTGCTTTCTCTTTTATCATGATCTCGTCCTCTGTCTTGATGCAGGCCTCCACCACCTGGCATCCAAGAGCTACCCGGTGCTTCTTGCTGCAGAATCGATTTTAGCACCACGGGTTTCAGGTCCTGCAATGGATTGAAGATTTCGTTTTTTTATTGGCTTTCGTCATGCGTCGATTGTGTTAAAGTGTTATCTTCATCATGATCAGAACCTGGTGTTACTAGCATATCTCAAACACACAAAGCCATTATCAATAGATAAGTACACTCCCCTTGTCCGCGTTTATACACGCCGGGTACACACCCTCCCCGACCCGCACCGTCAGTTTCCCCCTCGCACACACGTCGGTCTTGTCGAAATGATACGTAAACCGCTTCTGGAACGCTGCCTTTTCAAAATCCCCCTTCCAATCCCGCAAGTAGTCCGCGACGACGCTATTTCGCACGGAATCGAAAAACTCCTCTTTATCAAATGTAAAAGTGTCTGGGTCTGGAAACTTGTGATGCTGGGTGGCGTCTCATGATGAGGCCACAAATGCTGGCTCAGCATGACAAGATTCTGAGCTTCTAGGTGTTGCCTATTCTGCATGACAAACTGCGTTCTTGCATCACAGAAAAATGGAGCTCTTGGGCAACGTGCATGACAGATTTAAGAGTCATGCCAGACAAGCATGACAAACATGCATTCTTCCAGACCCAGACATTTTTACATTTGATACTCTTCCGGAAGTTGCAAAATGCTCAACCGCGTCCACTTGTTCCGCGCCTGTCTCTGCTCCGTCGCGTTCACAAATTTCTCCACCGCGAGACACTTTCGGAGGAACTTGAGACAAATTCCTCCGTACTTCTGCGAAATTTTCGTCTCCCCGTTCCCGAGAAACTCGTCGTACAGTAAAAACTTCCTCATTTTCGCGCTGATCCTCTTCCCTTTGTCCGAGTTGACAAAATTGTCCCCCGGCTTCTCCTCGCTGTAAATCGACCTTGGGAAGGGGAGTTGGTTCAGCAGCAAGCGGTACAATATCGTGCCGATGGACAAGACTTCCGAAGCATTCGAGTAGAACCCACGGTACACCTTATGGGTGTGTCAGGATCGAAATCGATAAAATCAAAAAATTTGTGATGCATAAAATGTAGGGCACTGAAGGCCTGTATTGGGGAGCAGGCAAATGAGGCCGATTGCAAGCCTGTTTAGGGGTATGCAATGTGCTGCCAGAGTAGCATGACAGGAGGAGCAGTCTTCTTTGCCCAAACAGCATGACAGAGGACTGGATGTGGGTTCCCCCGAAATTTGTCATGCGCCACTTGGAAACTGAGGCTCCAACTGACATCGATTTTGTGCATCGCAAATTTTTCGATTTTGTCGATTTCGATTCTGGCACTTCCATACACCTCCGGCGCGATGTAGTGGTCGGTTCCGAGAACCCAGTAGGGTTCGAAACAGTTCTCGACGCATTCGCACGTGTCAAAGTCGATCAGCTTCAGGCGGGGTTTCGAGTTAATAATGGACGTCGAATTCTGCATGATATTAACATTCTGCTGCAGAAGATCCACTGTTGTCATCTCGAAATTCGCAATCACCATGTTTTCCATCTTCACATCCTTGTGGTAAAATCCCTGCTCGTACAAATCCCGCAACGCGAGCGACGCTTGGAGCAAATAGTATTTGATCTCTTCCAAGTAGCTGGTCCGGATGTGGAGATGTTGATTGGAGGAAGTTGTAGTGCTGTTGGTGCAGCCGCCCGTGATTGTTGCTGCACCAGTAGTTATGTTGATATTTGGATTTTTATCTGGATTCATGTTACTCGTCGTGTTCTGTGCAGCAACGGCGTTGGTCAAAATACCGTTCAGGTACGTCCACATGTCGACACCTTTGACTCTTTCCATGATCATGTAGTAATTTTCGTCGTCGTAGATGATCTCGATGATTTGCGCAATGTAGGGACTGTAGTACTGCTTCGACAAAAACGCGTTCATATTCACCACCCAGCTGTCGTGCGTATCTTTCGTCGCGAACGATTTTTTCGCTCGAACTTTCACGGTTACCTCTTGATCAGGGACGAGGACGAGCGGGTCTTCAGAAGAAGTGCAAGTGGTTGTAGTCCTGGTCGACGTGGCCGTCCTGTTGTAAGTAGAACAAGAAGTTGTTCCTCCGGCTTGTTCTTCGGCATGAGAAGAAGTACAAATTGCCTTCGCGTGGAAAAGTGTGACTCCGCGGTGAACGGACTTCGGCAAGGGCTCGGTCATGACGTAGCGGTGTTTTATCCCGGTGCGGTCGTAGTGGAAATTCTCCCCGGTGACGGGGTCATAGTTCAAGTAATCCTGGTTTTTCTTTTCCATCTTGGCCGTTTTCAAGTGGAGCTGTTCCAACATTTTACTTAATATCCGGGCTGAGTCGTAGAAACTAGTATCATGCAAGACAAACACAAACAGTTTTTTGTTCTGCAGCCAGCCGGTCTTTAAAAGCAGTTATAGCGGATAAGTCATTATTACAAGATCTTAAACATTTTGTCGTCCTTGACCAGACCCAGAAAGAGGTATCAAATCCTCCTCAATAGGAGTGAAAAAAAAGAATGGCTTACTATTTGGTGACACAGGGACAGGAGCGAAGGCAGTTGCCCACCACGAAGATGATGTCTGTTAATATGCGTAGTATAGAACGACGACTACCGAACCTGACCTTTAACCGGGACCGAAGTCGATTGAGACTTTTTGTTTTCCTTGTCGTTTCTACTTTTCGCCCACGATAATGGTACGAGAACGATTCTGTTGCCGCTGACGCAAAAATGATCGCTTTTTTCTACTGACACCTTGTTCATGAGCTATTTTCTTTGACAAGATCTGATCGAAATAAATTACTACGAAGACGAAAGGGTGCTTACCCAAACACAAAATCCACGGAGGCGAAGACCCTTTCGAAGCAGAGCTTGATGGCCGAAGACCTCTTTGTCACGTCGTACCAGTGCCACGTTGTTATTTCATATGCCGAAGCTCCAGAGGAAATGACATATTTCTTTCCTATCCTGATCGTCCCCTTTTCCGATTTGTCAACCGTTGCTCTACCCTCAATCAGGAGAACCGAGCTCTTGTGAAGAGAACGCAGCTGCACCAGCAACTGAATCCCGCTCCGCTAGGAAAACTGCATACAACATTATCTATCTAGCACGGCTACTCAGATCATGCGGAACGAGTCAAGGTCTCTGTACTGTAAGCAGGATAGTCTTTAAATTTTTTCTACTACTTTAATTCCATGATGTCCTTGGTAGGATACTGGTGTGAACTACCACTATCTATCGTACAGGCGGGAAGGCTTGAAAACCAAAATTCACTCAATCATCGTTAGAGTTTCAACCTACTACAATTGTTTCACAGAAACGAACTTCAATTTCTTCGTGCTTAGTGTAGGTGCGTACATGAAACAGTCTTTGATAGTTACTCAGATCTCAATATCAGTCTACTGGAAGCGGGAAGCTTTACTGTAGTAAATGTTTTGAAATTCGAAACGACTTTCGAAGCAACTTTTGCAGTTACTAGCACCTGAGAGAAAGATTGAAAGACTATTTCTCTGAAGAAGTACTTATCTTTTGCAGAGGTATTAGGTGTTTCGCATTTCCTCGAGACAAACTTTTTTTGCGACACAGCAGATCAAATTCACAAGTGACTTTCAGCTTCTAGAGCTATAAATATGGTATATTCAACTCAGACTTAGACGACGAAGCTTATTCCTGTGCGAGCGGCTCTACCTCTAGTTGTGGAAACATAAACAAGCACAACATACAAGCACGCTAGAAGTATTAATAAACATTCTCCCAAATTATACCCTGTGGACAAGAGTACCCCCAACCGCCTTCAATGCCCTGTGAGTTTCGTACTTTGCGTTGACTCCCGCAGCGCCTCGGGAATCGTCTCCGGGACGTGCTGCTTCGCGAACATGCTCGCTAGGGACTGCTCCTGTCCCGGGGCCAAAGCTCCAATGTAGCTCAACCTCCTCGGAACGGCCTTCGCCGGAGTGTTCGCGGTCGGAACATTTCCGCTTGTGGCACCGCGTTTCAAAACTGGCTTTTTATTTCCCCCAGAAACTTGATCACCACCACCAGTAGTTGCTGCAGAAGGAAAATTGTGCTCCAGCTCCGGACTACAACTTGACACCGGCACCACAGTGGCCAAGGACCCACCACTACCTGCTGCGCCGCCTATTCCCTGGCCTCGGGCTTCCAGAAGTTTGGCAGCGAGAGAACTGGCTCCGACGGTGGCGCCGTTGGGCAGAACCGTGGACGGGCTGGAGGCAAGGTTCCCTTCGTTCGTCAGTTGGTGCTGCGGAATCACCATGGACAGGCTGTTTTGCTGCATGAAAAAACTGGTCGAGCCCTTCGGTCCGGCGGGGGTCGGCTTCATGAAGATACTGATTTCCATTTTCATTTTTTTACTTCGGTGCATTTCATTTATCCTTGCAGCACAGGAACCGCTGATGCTGATCGCAGGGCAGATGCAAAAGCAAAACGCACCAGCAGGCAATTTTCATACCTTCCCTCTCTTTGCAACTCTGGCGTGCCTGTAGAGGCCGGTGGCAAACCCACATTGTTATATTGTGACATCCGTGTTGCGACGTCCGGACCCTTAGAGGAGCGCTTTCCAGGCACAGCACCTTGCTGACTATGCCCTGAGTAGTATTTCTTTTGGATGATAAAATTGTAGAAGTCACAATAGCGTATACTCATTTCGTTCTGCATCGGTAAACGCGATGGCACAGTTTGTTTCTCGCTAGCGGATAAAAAAATCAAATCCTAAAGTACTGGCTGCTTTCTGCTCGAGACTTTTCTGCGCTTTTTCTTCCTGCGAGGCCCGTAGCGTTTGCACGTTCTCCTCGCCAATGCCGAACAAAGTGGACACCCGCCGCGTTATGTTCTTGAACAGCGTCGACTTACTTCGCCCCGTTGTAGATCCCGTTGCGGTCGAAGTCGTGCTTTTGTTCAGCTCGCTCGCATTACTCCCGGAATGGTCCCCTACCGGCTGGTTGTAAAAGCTCGCGTTATTTTGTACTCCAACTCCACCGCCGATAAAACTGCCGGAATATGCCGCTTCGGAGGGAGACGGCGTCAGCCCGCCGCCCATCCTGTGTCCGTACCGGAGACCGCGCTTGTACTCGTTTTGGATGAACTCCAATTTTTGGTTCCGCATGGTTTCGAAGCTGGTGTCGACGAGTTTTCGCGTCGCGATGCTGGACCGCCGCGCCATGTGGAGGACTTCCTTGGGGATCGCGATGGGCTCGTAGTCGAAGGTTTCGTCAAAATGCACCTGGTCTCGGTCAGACTCCTCCTCGTCGGAATCTTCCGACTTTTCCGAAGATTTCTTCGAAACCGAGGGGCTCTGCTCGTCCAGCTTTTTCTGATCGATTTGCAAAACCCCGGTGCCGGTCGGGCTTTCTGCGGCTGCTGCTGGGGGAGTTGCGGTCCCGGGATGCTCATGTTGTTGAGTGTGCAACGCCGCCTCTGGCTCTGCTTCGGGCTGTTGCTCTTTCTCCTCGAGGACGAGGGCGGGACCCTGTTTGTCTATTTGGCTAGTGGTGTCATCTGGTGGCTCCTTTGCAGACTTCTCTCCATCTTTCAGTTTTTCAGCCTTCGCGCCCGGTTCGTGGTCTTTCAACAAAGTGGCATTGACATCAGCAGCTGCACCAGATTTTTGTGCTGCTGTTGTAGCTACTACTTTGTTCGCCGGCAAAGCGGGCGTTTGCTGCGAAGTGGAGGAGGAGGACATTGTTCCGCCGATCAGTAGCTGATTTGGGTCGACATTGTATTGCAAAGAACCACCGATTGCGGAGTTTTCTGCACCTGCTTTATTTGCACCACTTTGCAAATCCTTCTGGGCCTTATTCAACTCCAGCAATGCCAAGGACTTTCGCTTCGCATTCGCGGTCAATTCCGCCATGTAGTCCGCGGCGGCCTGTTTTTCGTCTTTTTGGTACTGTTTCTCCTTGTCCCCATACGTCCGCGTTTCCTCCTCTTTGTTCTCACAACCAGCTATGCCCGGTTCCACCTGCGTCACTTTGCTCGGTACACTGGATGGCGGCTGTTCCTGCGTTTCCCTGGCGGAGCTGTCATCTCGCATCGGGTACAGGCACTTGGTCGACGCAGACGCCTCCGACATAGCAGGAACAGAGGGGCCCGTGACGCGACTGGCGTTGGATTCCTGGGGGGAGGAAAGCGCCGCGAGCTGCGACGCCGCTGCTGTTGCGGTCGTTGGTCCTGCTGCTGCGGTTGCTCCTTTGTCCTCGACCGCAGTCGTCGTGTCTTTGGCCTTTGCGGTGGATGACGTAGAACCGCCGGCACCACTTGCAGGCACTGCTGTGGTTTCTTTCGTTTCTACTTTATCTTTCCCTTTGGAAGACGATCCGGAAGTCTGCTTCTCCCTTTCCCCCCGATTGCTGCTCTGCGCGTTGGGCGGCGGCGCATTGAGCTTCTTGTCACCCTTGTTCCGATTGTTGTCAGATTTGCTGTCTTTGGCGCCGGATTTGTCTTGCTGAGCGCCTGGTATTCGAATTTCTGATTGGCTGCCTCCAAAGGGAGTAACACACATCAACGGAATCAATGTGCAACAATTCACTAAAGACACAAGGCGGGAGTTGAAGAAGAGAGCCACCACTTGGAGGTACCATCCGGCGGCTCTGCGAGCTCCTTGCTTCCGTGTCTGCTGAGTGGCATCACCCGTTTTCCATCGCGGATTAGGTCTTGGATGTACTTCAAGGCAAGGATGTTGGTTTTGTTCACCGGCTTGATGTGCGTTTCGACTCGCAGCATGTTCTGCACGATCCAGTTCTGCTTCATCGCCTTCACTGACGTGTACCTACAGGGTGAGATTTCGACTCCTCGACGTGCTGGCTCGCATGGCTTGACAAGCGTTGTTCTTGTTCCGCACTCACATTCATTCTGCATGACTACAGAATCTTCACGACGTGAGCAGCAGCAGCTAGTGCACATGGCATAGGTCTATTTTTAGTACAAGAACAAGTACTTAAACAAGTACGCTACCTGGTCCTAACATCGCGATCGAGCAAGCAATTCAAGAATTGCTTCGCCGCATCCCCGATTTTCGCTCTGGGGTGCCGCCACTCAACTTTCTCCGTCAAAATCTTCACCATCAGCTCCTGGGGGTCCTTTGCGTCATACGGGTACCGACCGTAGAGCAGGAGGTAGAGTAACACGCCGAGAGCCCACAAGTCCACCAAATGGTTGTATTGCTGTCCGATCAATTCTGGCGCGAGGTAGTGCGGTGAGCCGCAGAGCTCGTGGAGGACTTCTGTATCCCGTTTTACGGCCATGCCGAAGTCGATCAGCTTCAGCGGCGTGTTGTAGATACTGCCGGGAGATGTGAACAGGAAGTTTTCGGCCTGATGGTGTTTATTCAATAGTCCGCTGGGATGAGGATTCGAATCGTATTTCGAGCATGAGGGACAGTTTGCATCACAAAGTACGGCAACAGTGAAAAAATATTTTGCATCGGTTTTCACGCTCTTTCGACAAGACTAGTACCTTCACGTCCCGATGCACGATCCTCAAGCTGTGAATGTATTCCAGGGCCAGCAGCATTTGGAACCCGAGAAAGGCAGCGTCGCATTCACTGAAGCGCTTGACTTCCAAAATTCGCTGGAACAGTTCCCCGCCGGTGTAGAACTCCATGACAATGTAGTAAAAGTCGGGGTCCTCGAAAAAATCGTAGAACTTCACGATGTTCTCGTGGTCTAACTGCTGTAAAAGCCCCACCTCCCGGACAAACACGACTTGACGGGACCTTCATCAATTTGCATTGGCGATTGCATACATAGTTCAAGTGAGCAAGAGAGAGCAGAGTGGTGTGGCTACTTTTTGTTTTTTACGACTCAGAGCATGAGAAAAAAACGTCCTCGTCCTCTACACCCAAGTACTGAGGTACCACTCCCCATCCGTGTCATCTGCCTCGACAATCTTGACCGCACGGACATCTCCGCCCTGTCGACACCTGGCTTCCCGGACCTGCCCGAAGCTTCCGGAGCCGAGAATCCGCCCGATGTCGTACACGTCCCGAATATCGACCTCATCTTTGCTCTGCAGTTGGTGCTCCTTCGCGTTCTGTTGGCCAGTTTGGTCATTGCTCTGGATGCTCCCGGACTGGGAAAATTTGCCGGACGCCGAGCCCCGGTTGGCGGTCAGAGACCGCAAAAAGGACTTGATCTTGTTAAACGGCATGACGAATCAATTCTTCCAGAAGGAGAAGCTCGCGTGGTCCGAAGATCTTGTAGGTGCCGCGCTAACCAGTCTCCGCTCCAGTTTCTACCAGGAAGTAGAGCTATAGCACACCATGAGTAAGGTGGTGCCGGCAGTGGGTCGGATTATGCCCATGATGAACTGTATGCGACATACCTTTCATCGTAACTCAGCTGCAGGTCCGCCCGCCACCTGCTGGTAACAAAACAACGGTGAAGATCAGAAGCCTCTCCTGCGATGAGCAGCGCAAACAACAAGTAACCACAAAAGGAACAGAATAAATCAAATGCAAAAAAGTGCCGCTCGGTCCACAACACACCCTCGACGCCGATCGCTGTGTTTATCTTTAGAAACGATACGCGAAGCACTGCAAGACCAAAAGGGAGGCCCGGTCGTGACATCATGATATTACCTACGTACTGGAAGGACGAAAGACGAACACTTCTTCTTCTCCGCCCCGACGGGTTAAAGCCAATAGATACTGCTAGAGGCGGTCGCAGGATGAGCCATCCACAAAGGGGCCGGCGGGCTTCAGGCGAAAGCCATGCACGGACAGTGCTGAAATCCACCACAAACACGGCGCTGCGACCGTCCACTTCTGCCTATCGTTCTATCAGGGGCGCCAAAGGCGACCCATCGCAAGCTTGCGTCGCTCGCTGCCCATATTGCACACCCTCTACAAAGGAGGGGCGGGCTCAACCGGGCGCAACCTCCTTCCATCCTTCCCACAGGGCCTAAAAGGCCAGCCGCCCGGGCCTAGCCCCCCGCCCGGCCGGCCAAGCAGCTGAGGCGCGTCACACACGACGCAAGGAAGAGGGAGGGCCGGCCACCCTGCGGGCGGCGAGGGCCAGCTGCGAGGGAGCCTGCCAACGCGCCACGCCGGCCGGCGGGGGCAGGCAGGGGGCGACAGGGCGGCCAAGCGCGGGGGGCCGGCTGCCGCGTGAAATGGCGCAAGGCCGCCCGGGCCGAAGAAAAGACACGGGGGCCGGGGCGGCGGGCGAAGACTTACCGACGGCGACGCCCGCGCCGGCCGGCCGGGAAGGTGGGGTAGGCCGGGCATGCCCCTCGCAGTTCTTTGATTTTCGCTTCCATCGATCCGGCGCCGGGGCGCTTTCTTTCCCGGCTCTTCTCTCGCGCGGCCCGCCACCGCCTTGCCGCGGACAATGAATGAACAGGGGGCGGGGCGCCAGCGAGCTCCGCGGCTTCTTTGCCGCGGGCCGGCCGCCCCATCGAAAAAGCACGAGCCGCCCCGCCCGTGCGTCCAAGAAACACAGGCCGCGCCGGGCCGCTTCCGCTTGCGTGCCCGATTGGCAGCATACCTCTGCAACGCAAGCGCCTCCGACTACCTTTTCAACCGGAGCCGCGAAGCGCGCCGCCTATGACTAGCACAACAGACCAGTCCAGATCTGTCGCTCGCGGCGCTGTCGCTGCCGGAGGAGGGGTTTCGCGCTGCGCGCTTCTTGCTCCGAGGGGCAATCGCCTTGCTGATGCCGCGCAGCGCCATCCATGCGCCTGTCCCTGTGGCCCCGACGCGGCGAAATCTGGCGCGCCAAAGCAAAGAAGGGCCCACATCTTGCGCGTCGCCCGGCCGTCAACAACGGGCGCGGCTTGGCTGCCATCTGCGTGTCGTTGGTCCCGCGCAGTGTCCTCCGCCTTACGCCACCCAGCCCCCAAGTGTCTGCGCGAAGGGCCCCGCCTGGCCAAATTTATTAGCACGCGACCGACCAGGCAGAGCGCCGGGCGCCTGGCCCCGGCGTCTAAACAGCGAAACGGCCCGGCCTTACGCAGCTAGGGCGGCGCCGCCTCTTCGAAGCTTGCCCCGACAACCATGGCGATCGCGCTGGCGTCGTGCTGGCGACCCCCGTGCCCATCCTCCAATGTTCTGGGCCAGGTTCCGGGCATTCGAGAAGCCTACGGCGTCCGGGGGGCTGTATGCCCAGGACGTCACACGCCTGCCCTGTAGCCCATAGCCGCGGGGCACACGGGGAGCGCAAGCATGCCCGACAGTGGGACTGCGCCAGAAGAGCACCAGCGGGGTCATAAAAGCGCCCGGCGGTAGTCGGGCTGCGCGCGGCTTGCCGTGGATTGCGTAAAGCATCACGGCGCAGACTGCTTCTCTCAGGTGCGTGGGCAATTTCTGTGACCGCAATAGCTGGCGCTGGAGGTCGCCACCATCGCTCTCCGTTAAGAGTGCTAACCGGTCCCTGAGCTGAGGTCATCCCCTGCTCGCCGTATCGTCTTATTTTGCATGCAAAACAAAGAAAAGGGAACACCTGCAATACACTACAACCAATCGAGACCAGTGAATGGCGCTCCGACCCGGCGCTTCCTTTTCGTACTAGAATCAAAAACGTGCGATGCGTCCATGCACCTGCTCGCTGTCATCTGTATCTTGGATTTTAGTTCCTAGCGGAGATGAATGACGCGCGACGCTTTCAAAATCAGTGCGCCAGCTTATAGGCTTTCCTTCACGACAAGCTAGAGGGGCGTCAGCATAGATTGCAGTACTTGAAAGATAAAACTAAAAGAGTTCATCTGTGCATCTACATGTCTTCTTCGTGTTGCTCTATCTTTCCGAAACAAACGTTCGCATGTCTGTGATGAATCGCAATATCATCCATGTCACTTCATCCGACCAGTACTGATGAAGTCAAAGCTTCACCACAAAATCATCCACGTCGCTCACTGCAACAGCCTGCCCACGTCGTACATGAAGTTCGGATCGTTTTTCGGGGCGTAAAACCACGCCTTGAAGTCTTCCACGTTCATTTTCCCCTCCGCGTTCACCTCCGCCTGTTTGAAGCACTCCAGCGTGGTCACGCTGGCCAAATCTTCTGCGCCGTCGATGTCGTATCCGAGGTTTTTCATCGCCTGTAACACGCTCGGCGTCAGGACCACCTTGTAAATTGCGGTCAAAACGGTCCAGAGCTCGTCGTTGGTCAAAACGCCCTCGTCATCGAAACAGTCGAAAATTGCATGGATTTTGTCCTCCTCCGTTCCCTGGCAGAAGAGAGCGATACCTGGAGTCAAGTAATGTCAACAGCCACACTTCGTATTTAAACAGAGTTTTGCTTTTGTCATGCGCTGGCAGAATACACAGTCACAGATGACAGACCGGATGATGCATCAAAACCAGCCCGTTCGCTAAGCACTAGTACCGCAGCACAATTCAAGTGGGTCGACAACGCCATTGTGGTCTTTGTCGAAGATCTTGAAAACTTCGTCCATTGTGTTTGGTGGCGGGGGCTCCATCCGGCACTTTGCGAGGACCTCAGTATACCCCTGGCGGAAGGTGTTGTTGTCTAACCTCTTCTCCCGGGCCATTTGTCGAAAGGTCTGAACAGCGACCGCGGCGGGGACCTGGGTCAACGTGTATCGCGAAAATGCTTCCATTTTTCATGCTCACAGCAGGTCGCGGTAGAGAGTGCGATGGACATCGATTTCCGTGTCGTCTTCCATAATATGTATAACGAAACATCTGGATATGGAATTTATTTATCCTAAGTGTAAGTACCAGATTCAGTCCGCATCTCCTTCTCACCGCCTTCAAATGAGCCATCTCGGTATCCTCTTCGGTAGGGAGGGGTGGTTCTGGTGGCAATTGCCCAGAGGACACTGCTGGCATTCCCAGTGCGCCGGTTTGCGGAAGAATGACTCCGGGAGCAGCGGCAGGACCTGGTATTGATTTTCATTTTTGCATGTAGATGCACGGTAGAGTTACCCAGATGCATACGCATTTGCATTTGCAGCAACTACGGCAGAAAGTGCTCTTGATGTTGATTTCGCTGTGTCAACATCCCATGGCAAGCATTACCCGTCAACCCCTGCACTGGCTTCAGCACCGGCATCGACAGTCCCATGGGTCCTTTGTACGTCGCTGGCGGCGCGGTTCCCACTCCGGGTAGGGCACCCCCTCCCCCCGCCGCCCCGACCACATTCCTGCCCAAGTCATCGAGTCGGTGGTTGGGTTGAAACTCGCGCAAATTCGCCTGGTACGTGATGCCCGTAAAATTCGCTCCCTTTGTCAGCGGCCCGGCGCCACTCACGACACCGGGAGCCGCGGCGCCGCTGAGCAACGACCCGGGCTGCCCGGCCGCGATCCCGCCCGGGTGAAAATGCCCGCCTGTTGTCTGCGGAAAGCTGATCCCCTGCGGGGCGGGGATGGCGGCGGGAATTGAATCCGAACCGTCCGCCATGGCCATGGGCTGCTGGTGGAGGAAGGCACTGCCCGGCTGGTTTCCAACTCCAATGTTGTTGTCCTGTTCCGGGTGCTCGTTCCCCTTGTTGGATTTAAACTTCGTCCAGTTGGAAAGGTCCATCATGCTGTTAAGGTTCTGTTTCAAAGAAGAAAAATCGTCATCGACCGCGTCATTCACTTCTGCTCCATACTTGAACATAGACTTCATTTTCAACAAGATCCTTCAGCTTCAAAAGGCTGAGCCTCAGAGTGGTCTCCTCTGGTGATGTGGAGGCCTGCCTCTTCGTTTTACATGGAGTCGGTGGCGTCAACCGAAAACACAAAGTAGAACTTGACTCATTTTGGCATGACGACAACGAGAACGACAGAAATGAGAGTGAGGCTGAAGATGCACTTAATACGTGCAGGTGCACTGACCGAGACACAGAAGCTATACGGTCACGCTCCTACTACCACTTGTAGTCGTCTCTTGGTCCCCAGTGCCATCTTGTCTTCTTTGACGCTCTCAGAGATGGAGAAATCATGTTTGTAATCAGCATGGCGTCGATGCACGCAGCCGGAGTGTTGTTTGCGCAAAGAACAGGCTTTGCGTCAAAATTGATCAAAATCAGAAATGGACTCCCTTGCCCATCAACCTTGTGCGCGCTAGACAGTAGTACAACATCGCGTATCTTCGGTGGTAAAAAGTCGAAACGTGTTGTGTCGGATCGAGTTCTTTGAATTCGGTGGCATCGAAACTTTGTTTAAACTTCTGCTCAAGGTGCGTTTTCGCAAAGCCTCCTCCTCACGCCTCTGCCCCCTCCGCCCCTTCGGCTGCAGCCTCTGCTGCTTTTCTCCATTCCAGCTGCTTTTTTGGATTACTATCAAAACACTGGTCTACGATTAGTCCGGCGAAACAATCGCGCCCGAATTCTATTCTCTTCTGCGCGGACTTGTTCACCTCGGCCTCAGCCTGATAGTTGATATTTTTTTGAGAAAGAAGTGGCCACTCACCTTCATGTTCGATTCTGTCATTGTCAAAGCGCAATAGTATCAAGAAACAGCCGAGGATCATGGGCGATAACCGCCAAGAACCGGCAAAATTGTGAAAGTCGTCAAAAATACCTGTGTCTTCCTGAGTTCGTCGAGCGTGACAAAGCCCTGGAACTCCCCGTCGAACAGTTTTCCGTCTCGAAATTCCCCCTGAAATTTTCTCCCGCCCGGCCAGGAATACGTCCCGACGCCGTGAAATTTGTTGTCGACAAACGGACCCTCGTACTTGTGCCCGTTTCGCGATTCGTACACCCCGGAGACGAACAGACCGTTGTCGAAAGTGCCAGCAAATCGCTCTGGGCCGATTTTGTACTCGCCTTCGCCGTGGAGGATGGGCTCACCTGCGGAATCGATTTCGCTTTATTGATTAGACCCGCAAAGTTTGTTGTTGTTCATACTTCGGGCTCGGAACATGCTATACTAGCTCAGTCGCAGCGCAACTAACATGTTAATGTTTGAAATTCGTACTTACACCAAAAATGCAGAAAGTACCTTCCTCATTCTTCAGATACTGACCCTTGTAGGTTGCGCCGATGCTTTTTAACCTGAACTCGTCCGGGCCGTAGATGATTGGACCCTGTTCCTCTTCGACCTCGGCTTCGGCCATCTTTAGACGAAAAGTTTGACTGCGGTGTAACTTTTGGTAGTAATCTCAGTCCTCGCCACTTGTCGGCTTCCTGATCCTGCTTCCTTGGTGAAGCAACAAAGAAGTGCAGGATACAAGCTGTTGCAAGCCTCTCTCAACTTCCTCTGCTCTTCTCTCTTATCGTTTTTTTCGATCATCACGACAACCTTCGCTCGCGTCTGCGGAAGACCTACGCTGCCTCCTCAACCTTCGTTCGCGTTAGCGAAAACGAGTTTCAACTTTCCCGACCACCTCCGAGGGCGGGGTCTGCAGCTCTCTCCTGAAACTGTCGATGTTAGAACTAGAACTAGAAGTTGCAAATAGAATATAGCGCTCCAGCACAAAAAGGAAAACCAACACAACGCCACGTGCCTATATTGCAAGAACGCCCCCGCGGGGGCTGCAAGAACATCACGCCCCTGGCGGGCCTCTGACCACTGATTGCGCAAGACCCACTGACGCGCCATGGCGTGAACATCTACGGAAAGAACAACACGGGGCGCCACGCGGACCCTGGCTGTTGCCCAGGGCCCGAGGCGGGCACGGGCTGCGCCAAGTACTTCAGTTGCAGACGCGCGAGCGGGCGCCACAGGCGGGGCAAAGAAAAACCCGGCCGCCGGGGGGTGGGGTGCTCGCGCATCAACAAGCCCCGTCGCCCTGCCCCACCATTATGCTCCTTCACGTAGCGGGGCGCCAGGGCGCGCCGTCTGGAAATGCAAAGCCACCACGCGATGCCCTCGCACACCAATCCCGAGAACTCCGTCGGCCGCGAAAGGCGGGCCACGGACGATGCCCGGGCGGCGGCCGACGCGCAAAAGTAAGCGGCGGGCCCGGCCCGCTGCGCGGCGGGGACCACGAGACGGGCGCAGGCCGCGCCCCGGCGGGGAGGCCCTCCCCGCAAGTAAGATAGGGGGGCCGGGAGCTTCCGCAGCGCAGCCATTGGCGAATGCTTCCGCGGATAGCATAAATTCTCCGCGGCCCGGCGCGCATACTCCCGGACGAGTGAAACGCTCGGCCTCGGCCAAGTCAACGACCGATGGCGAGGCGCCCGGCCCCGGAAGGGGGGTGGCCCCTCCCTCCGAGGGAGGGGCCGCCCCCCGGCCTTTCTAGCCAGCCAACGAACTGCCACGACGCACGACGGGGGCGGCCGGCGCACGCCCGCAGCTGGGTATCTGCGCCGCCTGCCGCTCGTAATAGAAGACATAGGGGCCATCTACGGGGCGAGGCTACCTATTAACAAACTTAATATGGAAGGCCATGGCGCTCCGCCCGGGAATTTCGCGGGGGGCAAGGCGCGGTCGCCACCGTGCGCGGCCAAGCCATCTCCCGCTAGAGCGGGCGCAGACAGCGCAGCGGCCCGACGTGCCCGATCTGCCCCGGCTCCACACGAGGGAGCGAAGCTCGCACATGGGCCCACCCAGCCAAAGAAACCACGAACGCCCCCGGCGCCCCCAGGACCTTCGCCGCCCTGCGTGGTGAGGGGGCCTGCGGCCGCGCGGCCCGAGCGCCCGGAAGTGCCGCCAAATGGCGCCGGCCGGCCGTGTTCCCCCACAAGCGCCCGAAGGCCGGCGGCGCTATTACCACGGCCCTGGCCCGAAAAACGAACCCGGAAGGAGCTCCTTGACCAAGTCGGTCCCCTTCACTTCTTTTCGGCGGCTTCCGCTTCGTCCTTGGTGAACAACTTCGGCCACGTTGCAAAGCTGCCGGCCCTCCCTGCCCTGGGCTGCTTCACGGCTTTTGCGTGCCCACATTGCCCATACCGAAGCCCGTCGCGCGTGCGCACCCGGAAGACCTCGAGGCCTTCGACAAAGCTGCCGAAGCGCCGCGCCTGCGGGCCCTGCTGCTGCTCCGGGCCGGCGGGCGTCCTGCTCCACACTCACCGCCGCTCCTGCGGCCGCGCGCACCCTCTTGCTTCAAACACCGGCAGGCGGCCGGCGCGCAGAAAGAAGAGGAGCGCGAGTGCGGCCTGCGACACGGGCGCCCACGAAATTGCCCAGGCACGCCAGCCCGACGGAGGAGCCACGGCATCCCCTTCCCCGGCAGGCTATCGCAGAACGCACGGCAGGGGGCTCGCTCTCTGTGGGCCGCGTCATCTTCCTGGCCGCTTCTTTCTGGCAGCAATCTGCGAAATAGTGGCAATGAGCCAGGTCACCTGCGTACTCACTTTTTCTACGAACGACTTGCGCTATCCAATATAGAAACGAACACTGCTAAAAAAACCCACATAAGTAAAAAGACGCGCGCAACAGAAGCAGACACGTCTGAAGTATTTTCCGAGTCTTCTTTGATTCGTTCCTGCTTCCGCTTCATGGAAGCCGCAGATCTCGTTGTTGCGTTGATCTCAACTGATATTCCACCACATCTTCACTGCTACCCGTGCGCAACGCACCAAGGTCGCCGTGCGAATAAATCAATGCGACACCCTGCGAAGCGGGCAAAACCGAAGACAGGTGATATTACTTCAACCTCGGTCAGTAAATCGGTCGCTTGAAGTTTAACAAAGTAAATAGCTGCGAATATATAATCTTGAAAAGCGAGCTGCGATTGCGAAGAAATCATGATAGAAAAGAGGACTACACGTTCATCCGGTGGGGTACACCAGTCTGGGGTGATACTAAAAGCATCTTGATCTTTCATCGCAGAGAGGTCGACACCCATCAACTACTACATCCTTCTCCCTGCGCGCCGAGCGTCGTTATCTCTTCCAGGAATTGCTCCGGCGATGCGAAATTGGTTGCGACGTAAATGCACTCCTTTCCTACTTCTTTCGCCGCTTCCTGCATCTGTTGCGCTTCGACGAAGTTCCCGCCGCCGACCATGCAGACAATGCTTCTCTTGAAGCTCGCACGGTATCTTGAGGCGTTCATCCCAGCCGCGGCAGCCTGTAGGGACGAGGTGCTCACTTTTAGTTTTATTCTCAAAAGAAAGAGGAATAGGAATATATACAGATACGACAGTAACAGCAAGCGTCTTCTAGCATAAAATAACACGTCTCGTGGTATAGAGTGAGCACATTTGTTTCCAATCAGCTAAAATACCCTGGTGCTCGGCGGTAGTTTCGGATCCAAGTACACGTAGTTATCCACTTTTGCGGCTGAGCTGTCCGCCTGCGAATCCGGTCTGTTCTCCATCAGCGTCTTTACGATCTTTGTCGTGAGCAACTCCCGTTTCGTGGGCAGGATTTTCTCCAGATTCCGCATCGTGGCTTCCGCCGCCTGGTTGAGTAACCCCCCGAACATCCGCCCCACCGCGTGCGCGTGCTGCCCACCGATGACCTGGCCTAGGGCGGCTTGGCCGTGGTTCGCGATGGTGTTTTGAAGGTCGTTCGCGCCGGAGGAAAGTTGGGGCCTGGTAGTGCATTTTAGAAACAATAGTTAGGCGCTGGACAATGCCAATCATGTCGATGACCAACGGAAACTGATACTGGAACATCACCACAATCAAAAAGACCTACTCTATACTTGTGACAGGTTGTTTTCACGATGTGCTCCAAGTACGCCAGCGGTGCTCTTGACGCGCCGATCTTGTCCAGTTGGAAAAGCAAATCGGACAGTTTGTTGTTGTCCGGACCTCCTTCGGCCTTCCTGGTATACACCGCGCTTTTTGTCAAGAACAGCACCAGTATCGCCCGCATTTTGTCTTGCTGCGTGGCGTTCGGGACCTCTTTGAGAAGCTCCTCCAGTGCGGAGTAGGCGTTGGGCACGGATTGCTGCGCATATTGGTCTTCGACGACGTAGAACCTGTGGGTTGGTTTTGGGTTGGGTGCAAAGAGGCATATGGTAGAAGCACTAGTGGTATATTGAATCTTGGGGATTAGGCCACCGCAACGTAAATGATCTAGATGCACATCATGCACAAGCACATGTAGTTCTTCGTCTGCTGCACATTAAGCATCATTAAGCACCCTACCTGTCCAACGCCCGCTTCTGGATCTGCTTCAATATTGAGTGCGCTATGTTGGTGTGCATCTCTAACGATCGTTTTCTTTCCTGCATCTCGGGTAGTTGCGTTATTGCCTGGTTCAAGTCCCCGGACTGCATGTGCTTGTGCTTTTTGTTGAATTCCTGGAGTTCCCGGTCGACAGCTTCAAACTGCTCGTGGATAATGACATGCTGGTACTCCGACCAAAACTTGTCGTTGGGCTGATAGTGTTGTTTCGTATGGTATTTCAGAATTTTGAAGCTAATATCTGAATCACGCTTGTACAACATGTCACTATGTTGTGTCGCTGTCGTCAAGCAGGTCATGCAGGAATAGCGCGCACGAACACGATCGTCGAAGCAACATCAAAAAAAACACAATAGATACGTCTATGTCATAGGTCTTCTTCTGCGCTTTCACGGGGTCGTCTTCGTTTTCTATCACACTCAGCTTGTTTAACCGCATCCCCAAAACGTCCTGACACATGGATTCGTAGGTCCAGGTGTGCGCGAGCATGGTCCCCAATTCCAAATCCCGGTCTAACAGGCACAAAACCGGTCTCGGCTCCCCCGCGTGGGCGAACGAACCCTGGAATAAATCACCGGTTTTATTTGCGGACCCACCTGACCCGCTGTTCGACGTTAAGTCGTAGATTTTCTCGTGCAATTTCTGCGCGACCAGCTGCGCGGCATCGTTCGGCGGGCAGCGGATGATGGGAATCCCCACTTTCAAGGTGACCAACAAGGAGAGAATTCCGGTGGCGATGGAATCCAACAGTTTCTCAATAATGTCGTCCGTGACGAGTGAGGACCGGAGTGTCTGGTAAGACTTCTCCAAATTCAAACTCACCGAACTGGTGCCCAGGGCGACGAAATTGACAAATCTATCGACCACGCTCGTTATTCTCCGAGCCTCCTGGATTTCGTTCAGGCCAAATGCGAGTTTCTCGAGCAACGGGCGCGGAACGGAAGAAGTGAAATTCACATAGAGCCTGATTTTTAGGAAGAGCATAATTTTAACACTAGCTACTTACTATGCGGGAATTGAAATTGATGCAGTTGTGCGAAGTTATTATATTCTCACGACAGATGCGAAGAGTAAAGGTAGACAGCTAAAAGAACAACATGCATCCTAAGTGCAACAAGATGATCTTTTCTCAAACATCGAACTTACTCTGGATAGAGTTTCCGTTTGCAGTCGTCGATCATCTTCTGTATGTTCGCTTCTGTCGGCTCCAAAAAGTAGATACAAGGCACGTCCGGGACCTCGCTCCTCTCACTGGTGATCGACCGGTGGAGGGTGACGCCGAAAAGGGATCGCAACGATCCGACTGTGAATAGCGGGGCTATTATGTCCTGGCCTTGCTTGTCGTAGACGAGAGCCTGGTTTTGTGTTTCAATTTCTCACTGGAGATGAATCGGTCACGCAGCAGGAGCTAGTTTATTTGTAATTTCCAACGCAGTGAGGAGAGGAGTTGTCCGTCTATCATGCGGACAAACCATCACAAAAAGGTGTCAATACCTTCCATTGCGCCTTATTGTCGTACGACTTGACGTATCAAATGTAAAAATGTCTGGGTCTGGAAGACTGCAACTTGTCATGCTAAATCTGAAGCATGCAAAAATCTGTGTTGCATGATTACCAAAAGTCGTCCAGTTTTGACCAAGTCGGGAGGGAGGTTCTCATGCAGGATAGGGATGAGAGAGATCGCGCAGAATCTGTCATGCTAAGTTCTGCATTCCAGACCTCATGGGTCATGGAAAAGCTGCATGACAAATCGCGCACTCTTCCAGACCCAGACATATTTGCAATGCATATGACGTCCTCATCTGTCAGCGCCAGGTGGAGCATGCGGTGCACGCTCTTGCGCTGCAGTTCCCGTGCATCCAGCCGCGAGGACATCATACTGCGCTAGGACGTCAGGAACCACGCCACTTCTGTGGCGTGCAACTCGACAACTTCTCTCCTCTCCTCAGGCTGGCCGCCGCGCTTTTCCGGCTTGCTACAGCTGACGTCGCCGCATCAGCGGCCTTTTCTTGCCACGTTCTTCCGTGGAAAAGTGCAGGGTACTTGATGTCAACGCCTTGAGGACTACATGTTGTTATCTTTTAAATGCGCGTATTTGTCAATGAGTTTGTTACTTCTGGTAAAAGGAACAGCCCAGGCGGTAAAACATAGAGGTACCCCTCGGCCAAAGGAAAAAAGCGTAGGAGTTCGCGTTGGAAAATGAAAAAAGTGAAAATGGAAGTATTGGAATCGAGATCAAGTCTTTCTTTGAAAGTCACAGTACAGCTCCCAAAGATCAAAACAAGAGAAATCGCTGGCAGGAAAATTGGGAACACTTTTGGTTTTTACCGGTGTAGTGTTACAACCGTCGCAATCAAGCATCGAACTCGCTTCTTCTTGCTCTTTCGATTTTTCATCCAACCATAACCCGGGTAGTAGTCCTAGTGAGTTACAGTTAGGATTCTCAAAAGTTTGGGTTCTGATTTGTCGTTTTCAGGAAAAAACTGTGACGGGTAATTTCTCTTGTCGTTCTAGCCACGTCCTCTTAGATCGACGAGCGTGTTGGGAGGGAGGTCGCTTCTATTCAAAAGTTTAATTATGCTCAGGCAAGTGTCCTTCTTGTTCTGCTGGTGGTGCACTGGTGGGGATGTTGCAACTCCATACATTCTTTCACCGGCATCGGGATCGGCATCCTTCTGCTATTTATCGCATTGCCTAAAAACTTGTTGATGTTGGAAATGGCCGAACCCGGAGGAACCTGGTGCTCTTGACGAAAAGGCAGCAGAAAACGAAATAAAGACGACGACCATCCGACCTCGGGGGCTCACACTCTGAGATGGCGGGGGAGCGCCAGAGTGTCGGTGGGTACCTCTACGACGTCGACCTGTGCTGTGTGTAAGAAGGCCGCGAAGGCCAAATTCAATCGCGGCGGAAATTGTAGAGGCACGGAAATTGACGCGGACAAGTGAAAAACTGTAAACGCGGAGCTCGGTTCGGTTGGAAGTCTCGCGCGCCTACGTCAGAAAATGGTGGTTTCCAGCATGTTCGCATCGCCACTTCTCACTCTGGTTAATTCTTCGCACTACTTTCATCAACACCGCCTGCCACAGTCTTCTCAGCACCTGCAGTTGAGGAACCGTCCGCCACAGAAACGTCATGGAACTTTTCGTTCGGATGGAAGCCCGCGCGACGCAATGCCTCGTTCTTTTCTTCCGCGGTGATGACAGCACGCCGCGGCGACGTCATCCCGTCCACGTCTGCGACATCCGCTACGTTCGGCGGCTGGTCGCAGACCGACGAGCCGTCAGAGGCCTGCTCGAAGGAGTTATCCTTCGGACTGGTACCCCCCGTCGGGGTCTTATCAGCACTGTTTTCGGTGGTGGAGGCGCTGCTCTGGGGTTGTGATGAAGGTGGTGGTCCTGCTGGAACAGCTCCTGGTGCTCCACCTTGGGCTGAAGATTTGTTCTGCTGGTCTCGCAGCATCTGTGCGTGGAGTGACGTCGCTCCAGTCGCGGAGTTTTCATTCACTGGTGTCGAAGACGACGTGTTCGGCGTGCTGCCCGAGGACGTTGTCGCCTGCGGTCCTGTTCCTGCTGCTGCTGGCGCAATGGACGCTCCGCCAGCGTTGGCCGCCGCAACCGGCGTTGACGGCTTACTCGAACCGCTCTTCTGCTGTTGCTGCTGGTGGTGTCCCTGAGATGAACCACCTCCACCACCCTGCTGGTTCCCGGACCACTTTCTTTCCAAGCCGATCTTCAAATTTCTCGCGTTTAGAATGATCTTCTCGAACTTCTGCGCGACCAGCTCCAACTGCTTCACAAGCTCCTCCGGGGTCGGGGACTCGCGGAACTTGATCGTCTTGATCAGTGCCTGGTCGAACTGCTTGCCCATCACGTGCACCGCCTCCATCTCCATGTTGCTGTCGCCGAGCGACACGAGATTTGTGATGATGGAGGAGTTCAGCTCTCTCTGCACCTGCAAAAACGCCTCGATCTTCCACTGCCCGTAATTTCCCGGAAACGCATGCTCGTAGTTGCCGCGGGCGGAAATGATGGTCATTCTGTTTTGTCATGGGTTTTGGGACATTTGCTACGCAGCCCAAGGACGACAAAAACGCTCTGTCATGCAGAATGTGGCAGATTCACCTTATGCAAGCATGAACTCATTTGTGCATATCTGTCGCCTGTATCTAATTTATGTCGCGATGAAAACACAAGAACTGTTCAAGATGTACTTTTGCAGCGTCGACATTAGTCTCGGAATGTATTTGCTTGCCGAGTACTCGACCCAGCCCTTCATGGCGTTGGTGATGATGAAAACCGTGCCCAGTTTCATGGCCAACTCCAACAGCTGACAGCCTACGCGTTCGAGTAAGACCAGCTGCTTCTGGATGTGCGCCGGGATTTCCGGGGTGGGGAGACGCAGGTTGAGGTAGCTCGTGCAGAGGAGGGTGTCGTCCCAGTCGAAGATGATCACTGTGGTTGGAGTTTCATGTTGCGATGATCAGGCTCATTTCAAGAACCACTTCTACCTGCATGTAGAAGTACAAGGAGCCTATGTATCTATACGTACCATATACAACAAGACACACTTTTCAGACAAAGCACATTACCTGTCTGATGCTTGGGCGCCCTTTCCCTCTGCGGCACCCAGATTCTTTCGTAGGACAATCTTTGCAGAAACTTGTGGCGGAACGCGTCGGGCCTTTCGTTCGGAATCAGCCGGGCAGTGTCGTTTTCCCCGATGATCGTCATCTGCCAGTCCTTCGTTGGGGCCGCGGGCTTTGCCTCCTCTTTTTCCTTTTCCGCGTCGACGTCGTTTATACTGTCGAACAGACCGGCGCCGGGGGAGTTGCCAGTTCTGTCGATCGTTTACAGTGGATAATGTTGCAAATCCGGTCTGCAATTTACTAACTTATCTTCGCATATACCAAAATTCAGTTTCAATCATTCAGCAGCACTGTCTTTTTCATATGATCTACGTACTGCGAGCAAAAAGCGACAACCTCGAAAAAATCTATTATCCAGCTCTACCTTGCCGCCGGTTTGAATAGATTATCTCCCGCCCCGTTTCCGCTCGTCGTTTCTGGGCTCTTTGCGTGTTTCTTCTCCACCGAATCCACAACGGTTTGCTGCGTTGCTTTTCTCCCCCCTTCCGCCGCCGCGCCGCTTCTCGGGGGGCTGTTGTCGGCCTCGTTGATGCCGTTCGTGCCATTGTTCGGCCCCGGGCTGTTGCGTGAGGTGCGCGTCACCCCCTGCTGCGTCGCCGAAGCGCCAATGCCCAGGCGGGTGAGGTAGCTCCCGCGAAGCTTTTCGTTACTGATGTCATTTGTCGTGGCGGAGGCAGCGGCACTGCCCGCAGTACTACTAGAGTCTTGCTCTGGCTCGCCTCCTACTTGCTGTCGCTCTTCTTTTTCCGCAGGCGGTGTGGCAGCACTAGCTGGAGCGGCAACATCTTTGGCTGCGACTCCCACTGCCTGTCCCTCGTTCATCTTTGCCGCTGCAGACGATGCAGATGGGGAGATGGAGGACTTCTTGGATCCAGATTTATTCTTGTTGGGGTTCTCTTCTTTTTGTTGCGTTTTGGCTTTCTCGGTTTTAGTACTCGTGCTGTTCCTGTTCTTGTGTTTGCTCTTTGCACTTCCAGTTGTATTACTAGTTGTAGTAGTACCAGATGAGAATGATTTTAAGTTATTTCCTTGTTCGTCTTTGCTGTCGCCGGCACCCATCGGCTTCTTGCGGCTGCTGACAACCTGCGAAAAAAAGCTCCTGACAAGGCCAACACCAGTGCCAGCGAAGGTATTGCTCTACCTAGAAGTACAACTGCAAGAACTGAATGCTCGGAAAGTTCTCAAAAGCCGAGGTCGTCGTCACGAGGTCACGGCCAGTAGGCCACTTATGCCAAGATTTCTTGTTTATGGATGAACGAAGGCCCTTATGCAGCTGCGACAGCAGTCATCCGGTGGAATTGGCCGTAGCGTTTAGTGCTACACGTATACCCGCACGCGGCCTGTGCCGATAGACTTCGCTTGTTGTTGTTTCATCCCGGCTTATTTTCTTAATAGGACTATCTCCACACTAGGTTCCTGTCGGTATTGTTTCCTTCTCGTTTACGTATATTTCCTATTCTACACAGGCACAACGTCGGGGAAACTCTAAAAAATTCCTTCAAGAGGTAGTTCCGTCGTGAAAATGTCGCCTGTGCAAAAAACAAACCAGAAAATGATTTACAAAAAATCAAGGTGGAAACGCGCCAGCAGCTAGATCTGATGCTGATTTGATCATCCCGCTTCTGCTTCCGCCTCGTATCTATTTTCCGGTGAAGCAACTGCAGCATGGCGACATTTCCAGAATCAACTACATGGTCATCGGCCTAGAAATTTCATTAAGTGTGTTGATCTTCATCCTCGAAAGTTCGTGACTGTACAAAGCAGTGACATAGTAGGTCTAGCAGATGGTAACGCCAACCTCGGTGGGCTAGGACTAGGTAGATCATCGGGCAAAAATAAAGAGTACCGGAACGTGAAAAAAAAGCAGAGAATCAGATCCACCTCGTTTTGCCGCTCGGTGCGAAGACAAAGCGCTTAAAAAGCGTGGAACATCACAGCAACACACCCGTCAACTTCTAGCAGCAGCTTCTCCAAGCGGGGGCTGAATCATGCGACTGCCATGACCTCGAGGGCATATGCAATTTCAATTTGTCCTCTTCATCTTCTACTTCTACACTTCTTACGGCTACGCATTTTTGTGGAAATCACCAGCGCGAGCTGCCTAAAACCTCCACAGCAAGTCGCTTCTCAACCTGCAGATGTACTATCAAATGTAAAAATGTCTGGGTCTGGAAGGTTAGAACTTGTCATGCTAAATCTAAATGATGCAAAAATCTGTGTAGCATGAGTGCCAAAAGCTGTCCGCTTTTGACCAAGTTGACAGGGAGTTTCTCATGCAGGAAAGGCATGATAGAGCCCTCAAAGAATCTGTCATGCTGGGTCTCGCATTCCAGACCTCATGCGTCATGGAAAACCTGCATCACAAATCTTGCATTCTTCCAGACCCAGACATTTTTACAGTTGATATGTACGTTCCGAGAACCACTACGCCGATGGAGAACCACTGGATTGCGTACTGGAAATTCGTGTGTTCATCGAAGTTGAACAACAGAAAATCCTCCTTCCGCCGCATGTCGAACCTCAGCTCGTGCTTCTTTCGGTCTTCGTAGTAGCAATCGTAGGCGGTTATGAGCCCCTTGCAACATTCCTCGTAGTTCACCGCGGAGCTGTGGTAGGCCAGGTCTTCGGCGATCAGCCAGGTGAATTTTTTCTGTCCTGGTTCGTTTTTCAAGTACAGCAGGTTGGTCTCCTGGTTCGGAATCTCGCCCTCCTCCAAGACCCCCCGGACTTGCACGAAGCCAGGCACCTCGTGGTCCTTGTTGCGCAGCACCTGGGTCGTGAGGAAGCCGCGGTTCACCAAAATCGTTGATCCATCTTCCAGAACCAAGGGCGTAATCACCAGATACCCCTGGCCACAGCTGTTCCCCGCCGGATCGCCCTGCGCCCGGGGACCCACCCACATTTCTTTCTTGTGCTCAAACACTCCGCGGGTCTGGACTACGCGGTATTCCCAACCTGCGTTTGTTGAAGAGCCGATATCAGGTACAAGTTTGCGTATGATTGTTGCATGCAACTTGTTGTGATTGCGACTGAAATAAGTACGCAAGGAAAACAAGTTCCACATATTCTACATTATACCCTCGATCCCGTCCCGCCAGGGAAACGGCGACTTTTCCAGCCTGACCAGGGGCATCGCGAGGCGCTTCGCCCGTAGTTCCACCAGGTATTTCTTGTACTCCATCCGCTCTAGCTGCCAGAACCCCAGGCTGAATGCCCAACAGGCGAAGAAGAGCCCGTACCCAAACCGGTCGTACTTCGCCGTCCCGTGGGCCCCGGGGTTCAGGTTCCTGTTTGTCCGGTACACCGGCGAAGTCACCGGATCCGATAACCGCACAATCCGCAAGATCGTCGCGTTCTCGCACCACCGGGGGTGGGCGTAGAGCCGGTTCGAGGCGGAGAGGATTTCGATATCCTCTTTCTCCGCCGGAAAGAGCGTCTGTCCGGGGGTCCGCGCTTGCGGCGGCTTGTAGGCGTCGGGCAGGTTCTCTTCGGGGTAGTGGGGCACGTTTTGGTCGCTGGAAGTGGGCGAGGGGGAGTGATTGTTCTTTTCCACCGTAATCTCCTGTTCCAACTGCTTTATCTGCCGGTGGTGCCAGAAGCTCGGGAAATGCTTCAAGGAATCCGGAACTTCGCCAGAGTACTTCTTGTTCGCAGCGGCGGAACTGGAGCTAGACGTACTTCCACCGCTTTGCTCATGATTGGGATTATCCGGGTCCGAAGAAAAGCGGCCGCGGAAGGTGCCCGACCCGGTATTGCCGTCACTCGCATTGTTTTGGTCCTCAGACGTTTTTCGTTTGTCTTCATCATCCTTAGAGGTAGAAGAACTTGCACGACCACCTCCGCTGTTGGCTGTTGTGGAGAACGACGCTGCGTGGTGCTCGAGGGGGCCTCGATGTCTACTTCCCGGTAGCGATGCTGCTGACGTTGCACACCACGTAGTAGAAGAACTGGGCTGTGCTATCACACTCTGCCTCGTTCCGAAGATTGGCAATCTGAGTCGCGCTTGCACCAATCGAGGATCATCACCCGTTCCACCGATTCCTGTCTCTTTGGCCGCACGTCGGACCGAGACTCGCCAGTACAGTGGCTCTGCTGGCGGCGCGTTTTGCAAACAAGTAGAAAAAGTTTTGCGCATGGTGTTGTTTTTCTTTCTTTCGCGGTAGAGAGAATGGAAAGCGGTGCCGTGTGTTTCGTTTGCGTTTCCTCAAAAACATCTCTCAAAAAAGACAAGCGTAGATGGAGAAAGAGCCGGGGATTGTGATTGAATTTGAACGTAGAAAAAATAAAAAACACCATCGCAAGCTGCAATAGGACGAGATTGCGATGGTCTGCCGAACAGCTGCGCTTTTTCCGGAAACAAACGTATGCGTCACGTCAAATCAACGAGCGAGATGAGCTACTAGCCGACGTCTTCGAGCTGGCCAGTGCTGCCAAAGCCAATCAGTCGAACAATAACAGTAGGTGCAATATTCAATCATACTACACGCACAACTTCATTCATGGTAGGTACTTAGCTTGTATGTTGCGACTCCCAGTTTATGACATGTCAATGTCCGAGGTCCCGTCCTCCCCAAGAGGCAACGGATGACGACAGTGCTCCACGGAGCGCAGCTTGCCTCCGTCGCACTCCGGCATGGTTCCTTCCAACGACAAGTCCTTCCATTGCTCAATCGTCATGTGGTCCATCCCCACCCGTTCGCCCGCTTCCTCCGCCAGCCGCTTCATCTTCTGCTCCGGCGTTTCGATGCTGCCGTCGGGGTTGCAGCGGTGACAAACTTCCCCCGGGCCCGGGTTGCACTTCTTCATGCACTTCTCCGGTTCCTTCTGCTGAATCGGGTCCACCAGGGGGGAGTCCCGGGGCCCCTGGGCCTGCTGCACATCCGGGTTGAGGTCGTTGATGGACTGATTCGCTTTTTGCGGGTGGTGGGCCAGGAAAAGGGTGGGAAAATGGTTCTTTCCTGCCCGTAAGCCTCTAGTTCCTGCTCTCCGTGCTGGCCTTTGGACCAAGTAAACCACTCCTGTCGCTTCTGGTGACGAGGTTGCCATGAATTCTTGCTCCTTCAAAAGAACTCTGGTTCGCCCTATAATTCCGCTGCGATTGGTTGTGCGGATTCGACCGGCGAAGGAAACAGCCTCCATGGCCATACCAGTCTCCTGCTGCCTCTCGGAAAAATGCGTTTTCTTTTTCGCCCCCGGCCCCTGCACGAACCGGTGTAAATCAAGTTGATCCTGCAGAAAGCTCGTCGCCCTCTCGAGAAACGCCGAAATATTCCTGATTGGATTCGCAATGTGATGAGCTAGTTCTTGTGCAGCAGCTGCCTTGTTTGGCTTTACGCTCGTGGTGCTTGCCTGATGAATCGACCACGTCGACCTCGGCTTCACTTGCACATGCGCGAGCCATGCGGCGTCGCTCGAAGAGGACCGAAAAGAGGCAGCGGGGGAAGAATAGTCCTCATCCAGCAGAAGCTCGTGGAGAAGTCCTCGTGCGAAGCCCATAATTTTCTTTCCTTTCACAGTGACAGTGTGTGATCCTCTCGGTTCTTTCCTGAGAGAACGCAAAAATATTATGCGGTATCGCTATCACGCGCAATAAATCTGAATGACGAAGACCACACTATTAGATAGAAGCATCACGACGCAATATACGCAACATACGATCAATGTCGTGCTTCCTCGTCTCATCTCTCGATGACTACACTCTACTCCCGAGGACCACGATCCAACTAACTTTCTCGAAGAAGATCTGGCAGCCCTATGAAAGCTGCAGCGCTGTTCGACGACTATGCTCGAGCCCGTACGACGTGGAACAGGGAAATTCATTGCATGTTCACAAAGTCACAGCAGGTCGCTATCGCTCACAGCGCCCCTGTTGAATGACAAAGAATAGTTAGTCTGCGTCAAGTTCCACGTGAAGCAGCGGTATCATGGATAAGCATCTCGACTTCCACATACATTCGTTGATCTTTCGTTCTTCAACTTGAATGTTTATTGTGTTCATTGGACCAGAAGTGCCCCTATTGCTACCTCTTGCGGATAGACGTGAAACAGATGTGCAAACTTCTAAAACTGCATCGATCTGGCCGCGTTTTGGCACCGCGGTCCGCCTCCTCGGCGCTCTTTTTTTCTCGTCTTTGGTCTCGGGGTGCCGCGCTCGGTTTTTTTTAGCGGATTCGCTCATGGCAGATTTTGCTGCAGCGCCGAAAATTAAAAACATGAGGCGCCGGCCCTTTTTTTTCTGAAAGCACGGGGGGCGAAGCGAATAGGACAACCTTCTCCGCGCGCGCAGCGCGCGCGAAAATTTTGTTTCATCTCGCCCCCGCCGCCGCGGATTTTTTTTCTCTGGTGCCGCTCGGCGGCAGGCCGGCAGCAGCTGTGAGGCACCCGCGCGGCAGCTGTGCAACAGCCCGCGCAGCAGCCGGAATCAGGTGCGCAACAAGTGTGCAACAAGTGCGCAAGAAGTGCGGATGGGTGTGAAATAAGTTCGTTTTCTTTTAGAAAACGACTTACTTCACACCCATCCACACTTGTTGCACACTTGTTGCACACTTATTGCGCACCTATTTCGCAACTCTCTCACACCTGTGTAAAATTTGTCGCGAGCCTGCCCCCAACCGGCCTCACACCTGTCTCGCAGCCGTGCCGCAGGTCCCGCGCAGCGCGGCCTGCGTTGGGGCCGGGCTGTTGCACGGCTGTCGCACAGCTGTCCGCGAAGCCTCTCTTTTGCCACCCGCGAACGGTTTGGGGGCCGGGGGCCTGGCTCTTGACCCGGGCCCGGTGATCCGGTCGGCCCACGCTCGCCCTAGGCAACCCCAACGCGCGATGGCCCGCGACCACGGGCCCAGTCGATTACTTCTCGCCGTGCTGTGCATTGTGAAAACGCGATGGCCCATGCGGAACGGGCCACCCCTTTCGTCCGGCTGGAAATTTCTGCACTACTATTTCACCTCTATCCGCAGAGTAATCCTATAGGGTGCTTTGGGGCCAATGTTCAGACGTTGATGCGCGTGCATGTATCATCTTCATCTTTGAGAAACCCCCACACTGTCTTGCACTGGTGCCTGCGACGGTGGGGGTTGAGCTGCCCCTGAAAGATGATGCCCCTCATCCTCCGATTCCGACGTAGCGTCAGCATGCGTACTACTGCCATCTTGAGCCTTGTGGAGCGCATGCTGAGCCTCCGTAGCAGCGCCCACTTCGTCTCCAAAAGCCTGCGGAACATCACCGGTAAAGGAACCCCCTTCGCAGCAATTCAAACTGGGACCCTTTGGTCTTAACATCGCAGTAACCTCGCCATCCTGTACTTCCGACTGGTCATGATCCCCCGTTGGGGCCAGGTTCGTTTCGTTATTTTGCCAGGTGACTGGGAGGTAGGGGGTGCCGGTACTACTGTCAGCATTGCTTGGAGAAGTGCTGCTGGCACCGCCGGTGCCAGGTGTAGTAGTTGTCGTGGTGACCGGTGCTGTTGTGGTTGGCAGCGGATTGACGTCAATGTACTCGCAAACCCAGGGCATGTGCGACCACTCCGCCCCGTCTTCCAGCCGGGTTCCCCCCGGTGTGCACCCGCCAGGAAAACCCACAGGCGGAATGCAACCCGACCAGTACTGGTCTTTCTTGTAGCAGCGCAGCGCCGGGTCCGCGCAGCAGCGCAAGGAGCTGCAATCTTCGTGCGAGCCGGCGCAATGTTGGCTCGAATTATTATCGGCAGATGATCCGCTTTTATCGCGGGCGGCGGTCTGCTTTTTTGTGCTCGTATTTTCATCAAGGCGCCTTTTGCTATTCTCCGTCCTACCCATTTCTAAAACCTTACTGTGCACTTTTTCCTTTTCTGTCGATGAGGACGAAGTCCTCGCTCGCGTGTGCTGTAGCAAGATCGAAAATCCGTCGGCGTGCTGCAGTAGGGTAGTTGCTCCTTCGAAAAACAGTCTGGCGCGGAGCATGGGAAACAAAACCAATCGCGTTGCCTCGGAGACTGTCATGGTCTACGCTTCGGCTTCGCTGCCTGCCTGTGCCTAGCAGGGAGCAGGCCTGCGAACGACAACTACGTAAAAGGAGAACTATGAAGATACATGGATGTTTACCAATCTTCAGCCTTGCCCCACGACGCAGTCGTGGGGAGTGGAGGTTCTTACGTACTAATAGCCCGAGATTTACACTTCATTTCTTCTGAAGATGAGGCGAGGATAACTGGAAATCAATTTATTCGGAGCCCGATATTCTGCGTTTCAACTACTTGGGTTGCTTCTGCTTCAATCCACCGACGAAGTACGAATTAATAAATCGAAATGTGCGAGCGAAACGAAAAAAATCAGATATCAAGCACGGCAAATTGCGATGCATGCACGACCATCACGAAGACGAGTGTCATGAATGGACGACAATTCGAACGACAAGAACGTGGAAAAAGGACGAAAATAAACAAAAGCAAAACCACGAGCAAGACAAGAAAACTCAAACTTTTTTTCTTCTTCTGAGGAACAGTGGCGAAAATAGAAGGCACCGATGTTCACCTTTACGAGAAGACGTTCTGGGAAATATTGTTGCAGATCATGTTCTGGAAATTTTATCACCCTTAAAATTCGACTTCTTGATCTTGTGCAATGGTAGAGATTTGGTCTATATTACAGTGAGGTTGCTGGGTAGGGAGCGTTGTAAAATACCGTTTTAGTGTGGCACGCTGCAGTTTGTTATGAATGTTACAACACTAAAAGCATTTGAGATTGAGAGTAATAAACTACCTGAAACTACTAAAGCTAAGGATGAACTAGAACTGGTACTCACGTATTCCTGAAGGAGTTTTCACGATCGTGAATGGGATTTGAAAGACAAAAAAATGGAAAAGTAACTATAAAAGTAGTGCGGCCTTGGCGCCACTTCGGATCGAACTCGTGCTGACTCAACAAAAACCAGTATCGTGCGCATGATGTGCTGTCATCTTGTTCTATCTTCGTGGAATCCTGGCACTGTCTTGCACTGGCGCAAACGATGGGGTTAACCCAGCGAGGTCACCAGCCGACGTAGCACCTTCCTGCGTTGTTGTAGAACTGCTGCCTTCTGCAGCCTGGAGCCACCCATGCTCCGCCTGCGTAGAAGTATCCGCGCCCACCGCTTCTTCGTAACCTTGCGGAACGGTTCTAGCGGTACCTTCTTCACAGCAGTCGAAACTCCGTGGCTTGGGTGTTCTTGCCAAATAAGGTGTCTGCTCTGCAACGGACCCCGGGACAGCACCCTCGCCATGCTGTGCTCCCGACTGGTCATCCTCCGTCGGGGCCTGATTCGCTTCTTGTTGTTGCGCTTCTCCATTTGCATCGCCATCCTGTGATGCTGGCAAGGAAATGGGCGACTCTCCGGTGTCACCGTTGCTTGGAGAATTCGTCGTGCTTAAAGGAGCAGTTGAGGTACTAAGCGCGGTGCTTGGAGTGGCAGGATTCGTGACCGGTGGCGCAGCCGTGGTTGATGGTAGCGGATTGTTGTGGGACGAAAGATCGCCTTGTGTAGGTACGATTGGATCTTGTCTAGGGACGATTGGCGCCGTTGTCGTACCTGGCACCAGTGGTGCTAGGGTAGCACTAGGGGTAGGCAGCGGATTGACGTCAATGTACTCGCAGGCCCAGGGCTGGTGCGACCACTCCGCCCCGTCTTCCAGCCTGGTTCCTCCCGGTGTGCAAGCGCCAGGAGAACCCACGGGCGGAATGCAGCCCGACCAGTGCTGGTCTTTCTTGTAGCAGCGCAGCGCCGGGTCCGCACAGCAGCGGGAGGAGCTGCAATTTTCCGGGCCCCCTCCCCCAGAAGCACACCAACTTTCTTCGATCATGGTCCCGCTGCTGCCGGGTAGCGGCCCCGCGCAGTTTCCTGACACAAGCGTCTGGCCCGCCTCGCCGGTCCAGATGGAGGCGCCATCGTACGAGTTTCCACTGCAGTCCTCCGTCAGTTTTTGCTGGGCCCGCGCCGCTCTGGTCGCGGCTGTGCAGTGCTGGGGCTGCTGCGTCCGCCCCGTCACGCAGCGCCCGGCACTGTACAGGTGGCGATTGCCACCCGATATACTCCGTAAGCTATCGTAGTACCCGTCGCTATCGAACAAGTCGCAGCGGAGATACTTCTTCTCTTTCCAGTCTTTGTTCAGATTGCCTTCACCGTCTCGCTGCGGCTGAATAACCCGCCAAGCGAAGCAGCGAGAATAGGAATCAGAGCTCGTCTCACTGTGCCCAGCGTCCCGCTCGCACAAGGTTTGGCACACGCACGACAGGTCCTGGTCCCGAAACAGCCTCAAATTGAAACTGCGGTAGGGCTGCTATGCCTTGCAAATTATCTCTGTGCGGTGTGGTCATCTCTTGGTCTTCGTTGGGGATGAGCATGACGACGGAGATTTTTAATGGATCTCAACCCTTGAAGTCACGCAGCTCACGACGCTTGGAACAGATACAAAACACCTCCTGCTTGTTTGGATAAATAACTCACTCGTAGAAGAACAGACGCGAACGTGTAGGCTCTAACAGGTTGCAGTTTGATTTTCCATAATGATCTACTATATATTTGCAGCAAAAGGAAGATCAGGAGCGGCCGTGCATATTGTTTTCCCTTCTCAGCCCTGCATGTTCATCGGAGGAAGACTCACAAACTGAAACTACTTGATCAATACACTTATATTGATTTGCTCTTTGTTCTTTACATGGCCTCACGAGAGGCGGAGGGACCAAAACACAGCACAAATACAAAATTTCACTGGATAAAAGAGACTCGTCCGGGTCGGCCAGATATTGGTCCCCACAAGCCTGAATACTGCAGTCCCTTTGGACCGGCATTTGCGACTGCCGCAGGATGCAAGTAGTGTACTCGTTGCGGTTTCCATCCCTGTCGTGTCCAAACAACTTAAAATACCAATCGTTATTTCCCACCCGTTGCCAATTGTCGTCGCAGTTCGGTAAAGCTCGCTCTGCGTAATCGAATACCGGAAAAAGATCCCAAAACGTGTCGCACCTCGGCTCTGAGTGGCACTCGGCGTCGGAGAGAATCATTCCGAACAATGTAGTATCCTCCGAACCAGGTAACACGTCCTGCCTAAACGACTTCGGGTCCCAACAAATCTTGTCTTCGTCTTTCAGTCCGCCACGACCCCGCATGCTTAGACGCCTCTCTGTCGTCCTCTCGAACTTCTTCGTCGTCAACATCTTGAACAAACTGCCTTGCTTGTAGGTTCGCTGGTGCGCCGCCGTCCCCGACTTTGCAGCGCTGCGTCTTGCACTGCGCTCCTTCTTAGTGTGCTGCAGCGTGTGCAGGGATAAGCCATGAACGGGCTGCGGGACATCAAATGCTACCTCAGTTGTACTACCAACACCCAGTAGTAATCCGATACCAGCAACTTGATGTCCCTTGGCTGGGACTGTCATTTTCGCCTTCATCAGCTACTGTGCCACACAAATCTCGGAGGAACGGGAGTAAGTCGTAAGTCTGTATTAATGGCGAGCAAACAAAAGACGGATTTAGTTCTTCTGCAAAGGCAGATACAAACACTTATCTTTCTAGTCGGTATTAAGCCGAGACAACTTACTATACACCTGGTGAAGGGAACAAGAAGTAGAAATCAACTTACATTTGAGGAACTGTCGTGTCGTATTTTGAGTTCGGAATTAGTTTGCTTGGAACTCGGAAGGGAGGTCATATTCACCCGAACGCACAAAAGTGACAAGACCCGTGGCCGATTGGCGATTGAGGTGGACGACTTCCGTTTGTAATAAAGACGAGTTCAGGATGACGAGGTTGGGACGACAAGGACAAAGACCTGGTCTGTCACCAACGACAACAAAACCAGTAGGTACGGGCAAGACCAAACTCGAATTTTTTTCGATATAGAAAACGAAAAAGAAGTTCAATACGGACGAAGACGACGACAGTAAGTAGCAAGGGGGCTCCTGCAGGAGCGTCCTCGAACGACGTTAGCTCCTGCACGCTAGCGAACGACGGCACACCGTAAAGCTCCACAGACAGAGACACCAAGAACGCCAGTGCGTTTTCATATCATCTTTCTCATTCACGGTCCTCGTTATAAACGTAAACAACGAGCTCAGCAAGTCACGAGTTTTTGCTGTCTGTTTGTTTCACGTAACGAGCAGCGGCTGTTAGTAAAGAAATTTTACATTTTTCTCCTTGCAAATCTAGTTCATCTCCGAATGCGATAATTCAAATTCGAAACAGCAAGCAGGTGCAGGAAATCGAAAGGTTTATAAAACTACAAACCATAAATCACCGTTATGGTTTCTTTGAGGTGAAATTTTTTTTTTCTCAAGACCCAACGAGCTGGTCCACCACCATTTTTTTCCTTTCCCAACTGTCAATTTTCAAGAATTCGTCTCCGATGGCGGTGAACTCCCGGATCTCCAGTTCTAAGTCCTTCAGCTGCTTTCGAAATCCCTTGTTCGGATCGCAAATGGGGCGGTTCTTCTGCACCAGCGCCAAAGCACCATTGACCGAAGTCGCCAACCTGGCGCACAACAAGTACCAGCAGCACACCGTGGCGCAGCGGGACACGCCGCGGGCGCAGAAAATCAGCACCGTTTTCTTTCGGGCCCGGGCGTCGTCGATGAACTGCACTAAGTCGTCCATAGTATCACGGTTTAAAGCGTACTTCGGGTGGTCCGCGAGGGCGAGGGAAAAGGTTGGACGGAGCGGACCGGCTATGGTGGACGAAGAGGCTTGATGCGACGGTGTAGCGGCCGGTGGTGAAGACGATGCTCCTGGACCTCCTGCTCCGCCGGTGGAACAATTGCTATTACAGCTAGACATGCTCGTCACGGTGGCGCAGGCGTTTACCAAGTAGTCGATCTTGTGTCGTTTCAAAATGGAGCTGGTACAGATTGCCATGCTGCCAATGTACAGGTACGGACAAACCAACGCCGGGTCTTCCGAAGTGTAGATGCTGTTGTTTCTTCCGCCCCCGAAGCTTGACCGGAACACGTGCTCGATCTTTTCTCGGGACCGGCGATCGGTTTCGCTTAAGTAGTAATGGGTCGCCGATTTCACCGGGGAGAGCGGCTCCGGAGGGGCGAGTGCGACAGGATGTTGCGCTTCATCTGGTTCTGACATGAGTCGCTCAGTTTCGCTGGTGAGTGGCGTTGGAATCTGCAGGGACATCTGATCCTGCTGTGGATCATGAATATCTTGTTCGGACGATTCTGAAACTTGCACAAGATTTTGGAAACCGGACACGACTGTGGGCGCATCCTCGTCGTACGAAACAGACTTTCGATTTCCCACGTTTGCCGTAGACCCAGTAGCACCACCAAGAACGACTTCCCCGCCTTTCTCCTGTTGATCAACATCACCCAACAGACTTCTCAAAAAGTCTTGCTGCTGCAGCGTGACCTTTCCCTTGCTCGGCGGAAAAACCTTCTTGATCCAGACCGCCGCGCCTCGCCAATTTGCAGTGTGCCGATCGTTGGTCGTCGAAGAAGCACGGGTGGACGAGAGTGTGCCCGCGTCCGAGGATTGTTCATTTCTATCCAACTCTCCCTGGTCTTCATTTTCACTCTTCCAGTCATTCGCCCGCTCCCGGGAGTTCTTCAGAGCCGCTTCAGATTCCTCAAAGTCGAGCCCGAATCGGTTCTCATTCTTTTTCTTTCGCGGTTTTCCGTTCAGAATGTAGGCAGCGGGGACAATTTCCGTGTTCAGTGTGGTTTGGCTTGTTGCAGCTTCTATGTCGTCTTGCAACCCGTCATCTCCACTGAGGGAGTTCGCTTTTATCTTCCGTGAAGATAAATCCCTACCATTCTCCTTCGCGATCGGGCTCCCCGTCACCACGCAGACGCGGCTATGAGACCCCCGAGCCCCGGTTCTCGTGCGGTGGATAGTAGGCTTTGACGTAGCGGGAGCTGTTGAAGGTGAAGCAGCGCTTGACGAGGCCTTCATATTGTGATTGGTACAAATCCCACGCAATGGAACAGTCGACAGGAAACGACTAAAAAGGCGATCCAACAAGAAAGACCACGTTGGCCTAGGTAGTCCTAGTTACTAGCGTACTCAGCCACAAAGAGAAAGAGAGAAGATGAAGAGAAAGAGTCTGAATAATTGATTCCTTCATTACATTGTATCGACATCGCTCGAGTCGGAAATCCTACAGCACGTGAAAGTAGCAAAACGAACGAAAAAAAAAACGAAAGCTGTTTTGATTTCTCGCTCCTCTCAAGAACGAATGCAGCTGTAAAAACAGATGGTCGCTCCACGAAGTTGTGGACTAGTGCCACTAGCTGCTTGAAAAACGAAAAATGGAAACGGCGCCGCGCTCTGGCGATGTTGCTTGTTACTGTTTTTTCATTCCGCGGCGGCTGCAGCTTTGCGACGTGATGCGTCTTCTTTTCCTTTTTACAATTTCATCGTAAAAGTAGTGCATTTCAAGAAGGTGTCAAGTTCAAAAATCACGCACAATGGTGTGACGAAAGTTCTTTGAGTAGCGAGTTCTCGTGCGCGTTAGATACTAGGATATGATGAAACATCAGGAAAACTAGAATTTCTTGTTGAATATTATAAAAGGCATTTTCTCCGTGCGTCGGTCTTTGCTATCCCAACATACAGTCTGATTCTTGTCTATTGTCTGCGTGTATTGTAAGTAGTTCGTCTGAAAGGAAAACACTACTCGTTTTCCAGATACTGTGACAAAAGTGGAGATCTGCTGATGTAGATCCACCTGTGCAAATAGTAAATCCTGATACTGATAAGATTCTGTAAACTGTTTAACACTGAACTAAACAAGCTAAAATTTGTCTGATTATTGCTATTACTGTCTGCTGCTATTTTTGCTTGAAATTTACACATATTACCTGCTGAATCCAGTCTGATTCATCCAAAACTGATGTTAGTGTCTGATTAATCTTAGCTATAAGTGTCTGATCTGTCATAATTTGTCTGATTATCGGAAATCACTTCCGTCTGACGCCATAGTTTATAATCCAGGTCTATAACCGTTATAAACTTTAATATTTTCTGGCGAAACTTTGAAACCTGTGTCTGTTGTATTTCTTGCGAAAATTACCTGCTCTGCGTTGACGATTTGATGCTCTATTAACCTGTTGTTCTGATTCTGATTTTTCGTTGTGTGTTGAATCCAAATTCATCTGAAGTTGTTTTCTCTTTTTCTTTTTCTTACCCGTTGTTGTTCATCGCGGTAGAAAGATGCTTTTAGTTCGCCTGCGCCGAGTACTCGTCCATCTTCTTGATCAGGGTTTCCGCATAGTTCGGCGAGTAGTAGTTGACAATCTCTGGCGGGTACAGGTTGTTGATCTCGTCAATGTAGTCCTTGAGCTTGGAGCCAACCTGGTTGAGGTGGGTAGTGGTTTTGGCATCATAGAGTCCAATTTCGATTTCGTTCCAAATTCAAGCGAGCCAGCACGCATGACAAAATTGACCACAAAAGAGACGTGCTAGTCCTAGTACTTAGCAGCTATCACAAACTTATAGATACCTCGGCGTTGACTTCCTGGATCTTTTGCAGGGAACCAGACTGGACAAAGCTTCTCCTGGCTTGCAAGTCGTGCGGTAACACCTTGGCGAACTGCTGCACAACGTACCTACGGAAGATTTTTGTGAACTAATTGTTGTGTGCCACAGGCATGACAGGTACACAATGCGGGTCTACTGACGCAACGACGAGAGATAGCTTACTTTATCAAGTGAGTCACTGCACCAGCGTAGTGTAAATATATGTGGCTCTTCTCTACATTCAGTATTTCTATTTGTGCACCATGACAAACATCTATATATCGCGCACTTCAAGATATTTGGCGGGGACTCCTGCAGCAGCGGCTCCAAAGCGGTCAAGTGCGTGCACTTCTGGATAACAGACTTCAACGCGCGCTTTGCCTTGGTCTTCAAATCCTCACTAGAATCCTGGTGCAAGTACCTGTTTCATTTTATCATCACATCTCGTCCAACATGGAGTCCGACTCGGAGTCTGTCACGCATTTTCGGCGCAAAATGAGTAAAAGAACGCTTGTCAACAAGACAACAAGCGGAGTTTTGTGGTCGTGAAAAACAAAAAGTAGAAATTTGTACACAGCCAATAATCTTCGCAGCACGTCGGCCTCTGCGAGTGCTCTTGCGTGATCTGGGGAGTGTCGGCCGATCTGCCCCAAACTCCAGGCCGATGCGGCTTTCAAGTGGTCCTCTGGCTCGTTGATCAACGCATCCTTGAGTGGTGGGATACCTAGGGCAGAGAATAAATCGACATCCAGGTGGTGGATTGTAAAGCACAAAACGTGATGCGGCTTCAGGAGCAACACCACGCACGCAGGACGAGGACAAGCTAATGCTAATAAACTCAAGTCGCATTCTGGATCGGATCTGGATCTGGAATGAAAGTGAAAACCGCAAAATAGACGCATTGTCAGGCAAGAAAGAACGTATAGATACCCTTCGAAACGACCACCGCCAAGGCCAGGGTTTCGCTGAAGGCCGCCACGTACCCGAGGGTCATGATACCGGGCAGTCGGTTGTTGCCCCTAGCCTCGGTGATGTAGTCCACCATGGCGGCGACACCGCCGGCGTTGACGATGAGCTTTGCGAGATCCGGGGTGTGTCTGGCGATCTCGCGGACGCAGGTCGCGGCGTTTTTTCTCACGTACTCGTCCACGTCCTTCAGGCAGTGCAAGATGCGCGGGAAAATCTCTGCTTCGACGACCTGGTTTCGGTTTCGAAGAAGATAGGATAGAACAACAACTGAATCTGAATGAGAAAAACACAAATCTAGTCACCACATTTTCGATTTTCCTAATCGGAGATTATGAAACAAAAAAACGAGCAAGTAATCCAGTACCACTTCCGCCAAATCGACGGAGTGTTTTGCGATTTGCGCGAGGCAGGAGCACACCTGTCTCTTCAATGGGGCATCCACATGGGAGATATCCTTGGCAATTAATGGCACGGCACCCGCATCTTGGACCTGAAATTTGGATTTTGTCGCTAGCTTTTCTACACATACCAACACCAAGCTATCGGCATTACAACAAGAAAAGCATGATCAACTCAAAATCATCATCGTGCAGTCAGGTACTAGTACGCGATCATCGTAAAAACAATCAATAACAACCAAAAACTACCGTCTGCGCTAATTCCGGAGAGTGTTTGCAGATATCGCTCATGGCGCTGGCCGCAATTCGCTTCAAAGTGATTTCTGGCTCCTGGAAGCAGAGGACTAACAGTGGCACTGCACCGGCATCCACGACCGTCTGCGCGAGCTCCTTGGTGTGTCGGGCGATGTAGCCCAGCGCCCATGCGGCGGCTTCCTTTACGCTTGGGTCAAACTCTTCCAGGCAGGTCACCTGAGAAATGGGTAGTAGAGGCACTTGTTGCAATGCGAAACGAGGACTTCTACTTTCGGTCTTGCCCGGACCCGGTTCCTCTGTTTGCGTTGCAACTAAATGAGAGGAAGTTAGAGGTAGTCTGGTGCATCTCCATGTCCATCTGTGATGTTTATGTTAGGAAAACGAAAAACAACAAAAGCAAATACGAGTGCGTCCAAAGCACCGCTATCGACGACTGCCTGTGCCAGCTGTGGGCTGTGCTTGCTCACTGCTCGCAAAACAAATGCCGCGGCCTTCTTGTAAAATCGGTTTTGCTGGGACAATGAGAACCTGCGTTTTGTCATTCGGAGGACAAGAAATTTTGTACGATTCATTTTGCTACCAAGAATCACCCCAGTGCGAAAAATGAGTCTAACACTGCTCACTCTTGGACTTGTTATGCACAAAAACGGAATCATAAGTACACTAATTGCGGCAAAATCTCGTGTGTAACGACGCTTTCTGCGAGCTCATCACTGTAGTTGGCGAGTCGTCCCAATGCCAGCGCTGCGGACTGCTGGATTGATGCGACGTTATCGAGCAGAAGAGGTCGCAACAAGGCCATAACCTGAGTTTTTGCGTTGATAATTTCTTGTTTTTTTCGCGTAATATCATCAATATGAAGGTGCACGACTCTCCATAAGCGATAGATTCAAATTCATGAAAACGAGGAAAATCAATCCAATACTCCTGCATTCTGCAAGGCGTCGATGTTTTGTGGTCTTGTGGCCAGGTCTGCGACGGTCTGGACGAAGGTCACCCGAGCCTTCTGGTACTCCTCGAAAACTTGGAGCACGGCGCGACTCATCTTCGCTTAAATTCCCGTGTCGATTTCAAAGTGTTTTGATATGAAGTACTTACAAACTCTTCTTGTCCCCTCGAAGAGAGTAGCTATCCCTGGAGCTCGATGTTGTAGCCCAGAAAAAAAAACACCTTTTCCAGCTGAAATATTTTCAAATTGAAGGCGATGATTTGCAGAATATATAATGAATTTTTGTTCGTGTAAATGAGAAGTGTGCGTCGACTTCTACTTTGTAATGTACATTGTGCAGCACGAGATACGCAGGTTGATGTTCCTTGTGGAGGAGGCTAAAACGTTAGCGCCAGACCCAACAATATGACGTAGTGCAACGAAAAAATCCAAATGCACAAACTAAGATGTACGAGTCGGGCAACGTCAACGTCATCGCTCAAGAATCGCTTCTAGTTCTAACAACTCACTCTCTCCACAATATTGCTAAGTAAGCGTTCTCATTTTGTTCAGATGAGGAGGTCAGATAACAAAGGTTTTACCTTATTTATGTTTATCACAAAAAGATATCTGACTGTAGTACTACTACGTGAATAGCACTCTCTCTCGTCTCACGGTACGTCTTCCCACGGGGGGACGAACAGATTCTACTACGTAGTGCAACGAACGACTTCTTTAGCGTTACGAAATGGAGACCGGCATCTCACGTCATCATGTGGTCAGGGATCTGTATTCTTTTTCTTTCTTCAGAAGTGCAAGACACGGATCAACGTAGTATCGGGGGTGGAGATGTTGATGTAGTACAAACAAAAACCACCGCTAGCGCGTTAGCGACTGGTTTTTCGTGACTGTAACTACGACACAGGAATGTGACTAAGCTATGGCTTTACCACTAGCTCACCTATTCAATGTCGAGAAATTGTATGGGGAAAATAAGGGTAGAATTCAAATTCATTATCTTTCTAGACTTCAGAGGTGAGAGCGTGAGACGGGTACTTCTACATCGAGGGAATAAACTTTTTGAAGAACAAAAACTACGTGAGGATTATTGTTGTTCGTTGGGTGGGATATTAGCAGAAATCTCACAGCCCCGTAGAAAAATTCCTGCATCCGGAACGGCCGCTCATGTAACTGCGCCCGACGTTCCACCTCCCGCAAGCCCTGCGTCGTCGACGGCGACAAAGGCTGCGACGCGGCCGCGACATATCGGGCACTGATAGCTCCACGTGGAGCTGGTGACGCCCGCGCAGGCCTTGCAGAGACAGACGTGCTTGCAGTGCAGAACCACAACCTCTCTTGGCGCGGAAAGGCAGACGACGCACTCCTGACCGTCGCCCTCTGTGTCGCCCGGGAGCGTTACGGTGCCACCAAACAGATTTTGTAGCAGGTATGACCGCCCTTCGCCTGTTGATGAATTTTCATCTTGTTTTGATTTGCATAGTGTTGCATTTCAAGGTACAACTGCAGCATGGCGAAGGAACGCAACCAAATTGAAAGTTTCTTTTTATTTGACGTCCTCAATCCGATTCGGTTCTGAAAAAAACCAAAGAAAACACGACGTCGAAAAGTATGAAGTAGTACATGCGACCATCTTCTTCATGACCAGCACCTCGTATTTTTCGTTCTCGGTCTCGCGCAGATTGCAGTAGCACCAGACCGCGTTGACGTTATGGAAGCGTCAGAATCGAAATTGACAAAATCGAAAAACTTGTGATGCATAAAATGTAGGGCACGCGAGGCCTGTATTGGGGAGCAGGCAAATGAGACCGGTTGTAAGCCTGTTTAGGGGTAGACAATGTGTTGCCAGAGTAGCATGACAGGAGCAGTCTGCTTTGCCCAAACAGCATGACAGACTGGATTTTGGTGGTCCCGAAATTTGTCATGCGCCAGTTGAAAACTGAGGCTCCAACTGGCATCGATTTTGTGCATCACAAATTTTTCGATTTTGTCAATTTCGATTCTGACACTTCCATAGACGTTTTTGGAGGAGTAGTTTTCCTGCAGTGACCTTATGTGAATAACCAAGGGTATCTCGTTGGGCAACTCCGACTCCTTGGGACTGCGCATGGAGGAGAGCATCGTTTTTGGTATGCCCATAAACGCTACTTTGTTTTGCCCAGATGCCGTTTTCTTAAACTCGGAAGACACGTCCGGGGCGGTGACAGAGGGTATCACATTGTGCTCCTGCGGATCTGCGACGAAAGCTGTTGTTTTGTGAAAGGATTTTAACTTTGACATGCAAAACGCACAATCGAGATCATCATCTGCCGTATGAGACACGCATCACAGACGACGAGATCTCTTCAACAAGAATAGCTGACTTGCATACAAATATTACCGTTAAATGTCGCCGTGACTTCGAACCCGCGCATTCCCTGGAGCACGGACAGCTGCAAACCAAGTTCATACGTCCCCTGTCCTTTTTTCTCCAGCTTTATGTGTTCATTTTCCAAGGCGACCAGGGCCTTCACTATCGGAGCCTTACGGACGGAGCGCTGTAGTTTAGGATTGTTTTTGAAATTGGAAGAAAATTCTCTTTCATATTGGTCACGCACCGCTCAATTTTTTGAAGCGCGAGGTGGAGGTTTTCCCACCCTTGTTTGCGTAAAAAAGCTTGCTACTGCGCTACCAGATCATGGGGGCAGCGCAACTAAACAAGTATGTTTGTATAAGTACATCTCTCTGCTGCCTTTGTCTCTGTGATGAGGGCGAGTCGGGTCCTCCAGCTCCCCCACCACCACCAGGCCCTCCTGGCCCGGCGCCCGCTCCCCCCGGCAGCTGCTGCTGATTCTGCGGGTCCTGATTCTGCTGGTTCTGCTGGTTTTGTTGGTTCTGTCTTCGTCTGTTCGCTCCATCCTGGGAGGCGGCGCAACCCATAGTACAACTCGGGCTGGAGGGAAGAAGAAGATGGCACTGGGAGCAGTTTGTTCTTTCTGCTCTTCGAGATCTTTAATGGGTTGGCGTCAGAAGTGGTTCTTTCTGGAAAGATTGCGATTGGTAATTTTTACTTGGTCCTGTGCGAAGATGATAGGCAGAAGTAGACTTCTTTCTTCATTTGCTTGTGCGCTCATTACGTCTGCAGCGGTGGAGGATGCTCGTGCATTGATTCTTTCGAATGCGACCGAAAATCATTATGGCATCCGACCATTGGTTATCCTTTTGAGTTTTCAGACGGCATCAAACGCAAACGCCCGACCGTGTCTGCCTCCATAAAAAACCAAGGTCAGGCCGCCGGTCGTGAAGTCATCAAAGTATCTTAATGTGTAGCATTTAGATTCGTAGAGCTGCACCGATCATATTTTTGATTTCTCTGGCTGTAGTAGTCCAACCCTTTTCAGGGACCTATTTTCACTCTCACCAAGACACAAGCTTTCTTGTAAAGAAACCTCCAAACACAGAGAACTCCTCTCTCACACAGCCTCATTTGTGCAGCTACAACAAGCCGAGAGAGACTGAAGTATGTCGCCTCCCACTGCTTTTCTTTAATTCTACCTCGTCATCGATGATATCTCAACATGCTCTGGAAGGAGGGAAGATGCAGCAGCTCTCCCTAGCACATAAGTACAACTTAGAAGGCTGTTTGGAAACTTTAGTGGAGATACTCCGTTGCCTGATATCAGTATTACCGAGCCAAATTCGAAAAACCCTCTTTCAGCGCTTCGCGGCAGGAGCCACTCCGGAGATTATGGCAAGTCTGTTGGTCCCGAAAGCCGAACAATTCGTATGGATTCATCACCCCGCCTGTTGACGTGAGGACTAACGAGTAGGTGCTTTACTTCTTTTTGGTGGAAGAGTGGAAACACTAACACACAATTAAGACTTCAGAAGTCGGGACTGTCGATGCACTTAGAAGTGGGTCGCGCGTTCTAGATCTAGGCTGAGGCTGTTCGGGTTGTATTTTTGACAAATATTATTCGATCTGCCTGGGACGACCGGAGGTCTTCCGTCTTCCCACTAACAGGATCTATCATGGGTCTAAATGTGGCCCGTTTATTACTTGTCGTTCTAATCCTTGCGGTTCTTTTTTCCTTTTTTCTCTCGCCCTCCGGTGGTGCGCTGGTTCAAAAACTCCATGTCCAGGAGATACTCTTTGTATTCTTGCTGAGTCAGAACCGGTTGTCCGTTGCATCTCCGCCGCACATTCTCTTGATGCAGTGCGCTCTTCATGTGTGCCCGCAGGCTGTCGTCTTCGTAGGGCCCACAAGTCGTGCAGGAAGCGGAGGTTTGCAAGGGCTCTGTGTGATTTTGCTCCACGGGACCCCGTGCCAAAACAGAAGGAGCAGCTCCGCCGCGCACTTCGGTCTGTACCGTCGCCGCGTCCGGATCTGGAACTAGCAGCCAGTCCGCGTGGCTATTGGGAGTTGTGCCCTGCAACAAGTGGTACGAACTACCCCCATCGCTGCTTTGTGGACTCGCGAAAGGGTCGGCCGCTCGGAATGGTAATGATGAAGGGGTGTACGAATCCGTCTTCAGCTGCGTGGGCTTCATGTTTTTGCTCTGGTCCTGCTCGGGTAGTTTGCTCGGCACATACACTTGACCGGGCCGATAGCCTTGTAGCTTGTCCTTCGTGAGAGGAGCACAAGACGTCGCGACAGAAGAGGGAGGAAAGCGTCCAACCTGCTCGACTTCGTCGTCGCCTAGGTCATGATCCAAGTCACCGTACAAGAGCTGCTTGCCGCCTTGCAGTTGTTGCTCGTAGTCGTCTAGATTGCTTTCGTTATCTCGGATCACGGTCGCGTCCAACAATCGAACCTCCATCGCTTTGTCGAGGTCGCGGAAGAAAAAAGGGTCACACTGAAAAACGATCTCGCAAAAGTCGCCACCGTCGACGACTTTCTCCTCTTCTACCGTAATCCCCTCTCCTCCGCAAATCTCGTCGATGCGACGACGGGTTTCCGTCACCGCTTCGGCTGGACACCGAGCGCAAATGCGCATTTGTGCTTTCGCCACCAGATTGGGCAGCTCCGTGCAAATTTTCGCAATAGCCTTCAGGGCCTGACGTTTCGCGCCAAGGTTCGGCTTCATCACGTAGCCCGCCTGCTTGACGGCGGCCTCGGCCATCCCCATCGTGAGTGGCCGCTTCGTGTCGGGATTCACGCATCGCCGCGTGATAATCGTGTAGGTCTCTTTGTACAAGCTTTCCAACGCCTGTGCGCGCTCCTTATCGCTTACTTGGAATTCTCCCTTTTCCAGAATCCGCTTGCAGATGTCCAGCTCCGAGGCGGTGGATCCGAAGGCTTTCTGAAGGTCTTCGGACTTCGCAAGCACGCCCTGCGAAACGTTCGAAAAGATTCGCGTGGAAGTGAGTACTTCATCAATGTCCTTCTCCAATCCATCCCGCCAATTCCCCACTTTGTTCTTAAAGCAGGCGATTTCGAATTTGCACCCGTGCGTCTTCAACCGTACGATGGCGGTGTTCGTCAATCGCTTCTGACCTACCGGCTGATGCAACATTTTCTTTTGGTCGCACGCTCGATATCAGAAATATTAAACACTTCTTACTTACACTAACACTGTCACAAAAGACTATTGAGGGGCGAACTTAAAAAGATGTCATCACAATCTAGCTAGCATAGGGGAGGACTGCTAGGGGAAGCTGATAGAGGAAATCAAATAGAACATAAATTTTGGTACATCGAAAAAACATCTCTATCTGTCCCCCCGCCGATCGATTTGAGTTCATTGTGCCACCGATCGATTTCGAGATTTCAGATCCGAAATTCCGATGTGTCGAGTTCTAAGCAATTCATCCGATAGTTGTACGTTCATCATTTTTTGAGTTCAGAGCAGTGGTCTCGTCGAGCTATTTGTACCAACTTCGACGTTCATCTTCACGAAAAAAACAAAAGACATGAAGTTTTCACCCCTCTCGACCCTGCGTTGTCTCCATCAATTGTCGAACACGAAGTGTCCATCAAAAAGGTGGCTTTCTCAGTGTCCATGTCCTCTTCGAGGGGGGGTACAGGTACTTATTCCAAGCTCTAAACATCACTTCTTCCTTTTAGTTCCGTGTGGGTCCTCTCACCCCGTTCACGTCCTTCTCATGATGGTGATGCACCTTTCACGACCTGCTAGTACGTAGTGCACATTAGTTGTCGTGATTCAGATACTATGCAACATATGTTAGTGTTCCTGTCTTGGGCAGCCCAAAAAATTTCGAAAGAAACAACGGGGCACTAAGTAGGAGCAAATGAGTAGAGTTGGTGTTGGTAGACACGAATAGGGATAGACATGGGAGGGTCGTGAGGGTCATTATGAGCTTCTTTACATGCAGTCCTATTCACAGTACGTTTAGGAGATCTCTATTTCACAAAAATCTTCGTACCAATTATTCTTTCAGGGTAAACACGGTGCTATTATTCTTACGTCTATTTTTTCTATACCTTGTTTGCCAAATCTTAGCTTATACGGGTTCATGCTTGGTAGCAACCATATTGCAACTTTGTCACCAAGCTCGTCGTGGTTCTCTCTCTCCAAATTCATATAGAGTTGTAACAGTAAAGTAATTTTCACCAAGGTCGTGCTCTAAATCTATCTTGTGTTTTTAAGTATATCTTTTATAGATGATGTCGACGCAGGAGCGAAATAAAAACTCAGCAGCTCCCTCTAGTAACCCCGTCAGTTGGGTAAATCATTCACTCATTCAGATGTAAAAACTCTAATTACACCGGCGACTCCATCTCGGTCGCGAGCGTGTTGGGGTGCACGCCTTTGGTGTACTTCGCATCGGAGTTGTTCGCGGGGATTTTGTTATGCTGGGACTCAAACAGCTTTTCGTCGTTTTTCTCGTCCCCCTCCTTCTCCTCCTCCCCGTCTTCCCAGTGCCCGGCTAGTGCGTGCTATCCTGTGTAAAAACGTCCCCATCCCAGAACTATCATGCAAATCTGCATGCTTGAAATGTTTCCCATGCGGAGACCCATGAGAGGCGTTTTCTAGTGGTGGTTTGAGATTTGTCATGCTCGACTCAGCTTGACAGACTGACTCTGTTATGCTGCTGCACTAGCTAAACACAACTACATTGCGAGCCGAACAAATTTGTCATGCGCGACAGCCATAGCTTAGCGATTTATGTAGCAGATTTCCCATCTTGACTATGGGGTGGGGACGTTTTTACTCAGGATACGTACACGTCGATCTTTTCCATATCTGGGAAGAACTTCCGCGCGATCAAGATCAAAACCCACTGCCAGGCCAGGGAGAAGACCCCGCAGACGAGGCAGAGCACCCACTGGGACCCCGAGAGGTGCGTTGCGGAGAACGCCCGGTTGTGGGCGTCGCAGGCGAGGTCGATGCCGGACTTGCCGATGGCGCCGCCCTCCACGAGGAGGCACTGGATCGTGAAGCAGATCAGCCAAATCCCGATGAAGGTTTTGTTGTCCTGGATACCGCTGAAAACGTTGAACTCGTGGTAAATCTTCCGGCAGTTGATCCAGTTGAAAAGCTGCATCATCACGAACGCGTTGAAAATAATCGTGTAGTGTTGGCACGGGGGACCCTTGAAGTCCAGGCCGCGACCTGGGGGGGGGAAAGTTGGTTCAAACTAAGGTAAGCTTTTCTTTTACACATGTTGATGTCCACACGTACACAGAGGAAGCTAACAAGCGAGAGCAGCATCGAAAATTTTTGTAGTTCAATTACAACAACTGCAGCCTGATGTAGTACCATTTGGAATGTCGAGAAAAAAAGCTAGTAGGCGCAGCGCCCAACCAAAAAGCCGCCCAAGCGCCCTGGGCTTAGTGCCAGAATCCGAAACCATTGCCCAAGCCACATTTTTAGTGCCGCCGCCGAAAGCAGGGACTACCAGACCGCCCAGCGCACAGCCATCTCATGGCAAAACCTGCCAAAAACTGCGTAGCACCGCAGGCAGCACCGAACCGACCATCCCGTAGTAAACTGCATCCCCCCCGCTACCCCGAGCTGGGGTAGTCGGCACACCCTGGGGCCAGCGTGTGGCCCCAAACGTACAAGCTTCTCGAAGAGAGCAATTTCCTATGTAGCTACAGCCCGTAAAAAGGAGTGAGGCAGCGAAAAACCCTATCCGCAAGGAGATTAACACTAACTCGCTGAGCGAGACAGCTGCCCCGCGCCTGCAGTGAAATGGGCCCCACCCTGCAATGTTGAGCATCGACACCCATGCCGAGTCCGGGGGAGAGCTCGGAAGCTTCCCTCCATGCACTGATCCAGCGAGCACCAAGCCTACAGTCCGGCCGGCTGGCTGTCAAACCCAGACTGATCCTACTTACCTTCTGCCTACGTGAGACACCTGAACAAAGAATGAAATTCCCGGGTAGAAGCCACCCCTTCGACTTGCGTTGGGCCCGAATGCCCAACACGGAAATGAAGCTAATATGAGTGAAGGGAAACCCCTATTGCACAGCCCGAAGGAACGAGCAGCGCCACCCCCACGCTCGTTGCACTGTCCATCCGACACAACTCTCGAGAAGAAAGGGGGTGGGTGGACGGTAACCACCTCTAGATCAGACCCGGAGCCCAACCTCAGCCACCTGCAGTGCAGGGCGCAATCATTGTGAATTCAAGCCAGCCTCGAGCCGAAACCTATAGTGGAAAAACCCCCGCCAGCGTGTGAAACCGGCCAACAAGCTATGCGCTGGCGCCTGCGAAAAGTGCACCAACATCCCCTGCCCCAAATGAGGCAGGTAGGTAAGTAAGAAATTCCCCGAAAGACCTGTGCCGGGCAGTGTCCTGAGGAAGAGAAAAACGCCGCTGCACAAGGTTGGCCGAAGCTAGGAAAACAAACCATGCCCGGAGATGCAGACCGTAGCCCCCCATGAATTCCCCCTTGTGCTTCCTCCATACATTGCTAGCAAGGGCGCAGCCTCTACCTCCATCAGCGCCAACCTCGCAATCGGTCTGGGGCCCCGGGTCCCATGCCCCAGACTTAGATTCCTAAAAACCTACCGGCTCGGCCTCAGCCATACTGATGTCAACCAAATCCTCGGCCCAATCTATCCATTTCTGGCGGCACAGTGCCGCCCCCCAGCCGTACCCCAATAGCGTCCTGCCAAAAAGGGCGACTCCTCCGCCATTCGGTCGATGCCACGAGATGAATGTCCATGAACTAGAGCACTGCCATGCTTGTCATATTGATAGTCATATCTACAAGATCTTTGCAAGACTTGCGAGAAATTCAAAATGTTCAAGAGTTCAAGAGTTCAGTGCATCTTTTGAGTTCGGTCCACCATTTGGGTTCAGTTCACCATTTGAGTTCAATTCACAACTTGAGCTCAATTCACTATTTAAATTCAGATATCTTCATAACATAGTCTCACATTCAAAAGATTCGAATCTCAAGTCTTAATCTCAAATCATAATCGAATCATCTCAAAAGTCACAATTTCTTATCTCATCTTGGAATCATCAAAGTCGTCATCTTATCCTATCTTAGAAGTAAAGTCATAATCTTCTCAGAGTCATAGTCTCAATCTTCATAATTGAATCGGCGCGCCTTCATCAAGATGTGAGTCTTCATCTCATCAGTCATAAATTTAGATCTTGAAGTTATAATCTTAGATCTAGAAACTACCCATACAGATCGGGGCGCAATATCCTCATATCGACCGGGCGGGGGGGGCGCGGGGGGGGGGGCGAGGGCCCCCCGCATGTAAGTCTTCATCTTCAAAATAAAAATCATTCATACAGATTGAGGCGCAATGTCATCACATCGAAAGGGCGGGGGGGGCGCGGGGGGGGGGGCGAGGGCCCCCCGCATGGCCATAAATTTAGATCTTGAAGTTACAGTCTTAGACTTAAAAATTACTCATACAGATCGGGGCGCAGACTCTTAAAAATAAAAATCATTCATACAGATTGAGGCGCAATATCATCACATCGAAAGGGCGGGGGGGGGCGAGGGCCCCCCGCATGGTCATAACTTTAGATCTTGAAGTTATAGTCTTAGAATTAAAAACTACTCATACAGATCGGGGCGCAATATCATCATATCGAAAGGGCGGGGGGGGCGCGGGGGGGGGCGAGGGCCCCCCGCATGTCAGTCTTCATCTCAAAAATAAAAATCAGGCATACAGATTGAGGCGCAATGTCATCACATCGAAAGGGCGGGGGGGGGCGCGGGGGGGGGCAAGGGCCCCCCGCATGTGAGTCTTCACATCAAAAGTCATAGGCTTAGATCTTCAAGTTGCCAAGATATCTGCAAACCAACAAGACTGCGCAGGGAAGGAAGCAAACGCGGGAGCAGGCTGGGGCCCATCAGGCTATAACCATGGCGAACATCTTCGAAATCGGCCGGAACAAATACGGCGGCAGCTACTCCGGTAAAAAGCCGCTCACAATCTTCTATCATTCATATACATTATGACTATTTCACAAAGAGACCTGTCGGCAGGACTTCTAAAAAAAAAACCAATCGGACACGTCGACCCTAAGGCTGCCAAGATCTATGACCAGTGCAGTGATGACGTCGGAAGCAGCGCGACATCTGGCCGCACCGCAGAAAATGCGACGTCGATGGCGTTCGTATAGTCTTCCGAGATGCCCACGACTTCGTCCAGAAAAAATTTCGCCCGATGCCACGAAATCAGCCACCAGCCCCCAGTCGCCAGGCGAACACGATGGCGCTCGCTTTCCTTCTGGCGCTTCGGCTCCTGCGAGGTGAAAAACCACGACACAATGTGGCCACTGGCGGCCTTCGAATCCCCGGCCCAAATGTACTCCGCCGCAACTCCCCTAGCGTTCGGCTCCCTGTGCTCCTTCTGCGCACCCGTGCGCCGGTGGTAAATGACATCCCGGCGAATTGGCGCAAATCGGCCGCGCTCGCCCGAACCATGATCCTCCTTCGACATCGTGTGCGTGGCGGCTAAGTATCTCAATGTCTTCAAGAAACTAGAAAATAAAAGCGCAGCAGGAAAAAAAGACAGCTTACTGGAGGAAAAAAGTA